GATCTACCTGAGTTATCCCTACCTGTTAGAGGCGTAGATGGTGTATGGACAACCCCTACGCCGCAGCAGCAGCGAGCAAAAGAGCAGCAGCAGCAGCAGCAACAGCAGCAGCTGCAGCAGCTGCTGCTGAAGCGTGGAAAGGGTGACCGCAAGGAGAAACGAAAACAGCAGCAGCAGCAGCAGCAACAGCAACAGCAACAGCAGCAGGGACAGGTGGCACAGGGCACTACTGCTGCTGCTGCTGCTGACCCCCAGAGCAGCAGCAGCAGCAAGAAGAAGAAGAAGCAAGAAGAAGAGGATGAGATAAGTGCTGCTGCATGGACAGCAGCACGTAGCTGCAAGACACTGCAGCAAAAGAAGCAAATGATAGCAGCAGCAGCAGCAAGAATCATGGCTGCCCCTGAGCAAGCAGCAGAAGATATAGATATTCTTTTTGCTTTTTGTCTGCATAGTAGGTCTGCTGTTCGTGCTGCTGCTGCTGCTGCTGTTGCAGCAGCAGTAAAAGGAGAGACAGCAGAGCAGCAGCAAATAAGGAAGACAAGAGTACAGGAGTTGCTGCATGGGCAGCAACTCGCGCTGCTGTCTCTTGCTGCAGTACTGAGGGATGTGCTGCCTAGTCATAGATTAACAGCAGCAGCAGCAGCAGAAGCAGCAGCAGCAGCAACAGCAGATGCAGCAAGCAGCGGCAATAAATCTGCTGCTGTTAAGGCATTTAGGTTATCTAAGGATGTAGAGAAGCAGCAGCAGCAGGAGCAGCAGCAAATAAGGACATACAAAAGATTTGTTCGTTTGCTGCAGCAGGAGCTGCAGCCGCTGCTGCAGCGTAGACAAGGCAACAGCAGCAGCAGCAGCAACAACAACAACATTAGCGAGCTCCTTGTTGCAGCAGCAGCAGCAAGAGCAGCAGCAGAAGTTCTTGATGCTGTTCCTCTATTTAACGAGACAGATACATCTTTGCTGCAGTTATGTGTGAAGGTAGCAGCAGCAGCAGCAGCAGCAGCAGCAGAGATACAGCAACAACAAGAGGATGATGGTATAATATCTAAACAACTGCAGCAGCAGCTGCTGCTGCTGCAGCAAGCTAGCAGCAGCATAACACACGTACTGCAGCAAATAATAAAAGGAGACAGATGTCTCCAAACAGCAGCAGTAATAATAGATCTATGTGTTAAGCATGCAACCCTTATTGCCCTACAGCAGCAGCAGCAGCAGCAACAACAACAGCAGCAGCAGCAGCAGCAGCAGCAGCAGCAGAGGAAGCATGCACGCTATGGCCGTAGTGCTGCTGCTGCTGTCTTAGTCGACGTCGCCCTCCATCTTAATCTTAGACAAAAAATTGTATAAAAAAAAAAGAGACACTTCTTCTCTCCTTTTTTTTTCTCCTTTTTTTGTCTGCTTTTTTTGTCTCCTTTTTTGTCTCCTTTTTATTTTATTGTCTCCCTTTTATTGTCTCCTTTTTATTGTCTCCTTTTTATTGTCTTTTTTTTTGTCTCTTTTTTTTTGTCTCCTTTTTTTGTCTCCCTTTTTATTGTCTCCTTTTTGTCTGCTGCTCTCTTCTTTTTCTTCTTCTCTTTCCTTTCTTTCTTTTGTGCCTTTTCTTTCTTTTGTCTCTTTTCTTTCTTCTTTCTTTCTTTTCTTTCTTTTTTCTCTTTATTTCTCCTGTCTAGGGTTTAGGGTTTAGGGTTTAGGGTTTAGGGTTTAGGGTTTGTGTGTGCAGAGGGACGCAGAGGCGAATCAGGTAGACCCTAAATTAGATGCTGCTCTTCGTAGAGATCTTAGAGCAAGGTAACTATTCTGCTGCCTATCTGCTGCTGCTGCTGCTGCTGCTGCTGGTGCTGCTGCCTATCTGCTGCTGCTGCTACTGCTGCTGTTATTGTTGCTGCATTTCTTGTTGTTGTTACCGCTGCTGCTCATTGTCTTCATATCTAGCATGCGAATTCCTTGGTGGCATATATTGTACTGTTAGGGGTTTTAGATTTTTAGGGGTTTAGGGTTTAGGGTTTTAGGGTTTAGGGTTTAGGGTTTAGGGTTTAGGGTTTAGGGTTTAGGGTTTAGGGTTTGGAGGTATTTTGTGTGTGTAGTTCAATTCATGCCGATTTAAAATCTTTGAGACATTTTGAGGCAAAAACTCTTCATTGTCTTTTTGTACTCTATGCTAAGTAAGCAGCAGCAGCAGCAGCAGCAGCAGCAGCAGCAGCAGCAGCATCAATAGCAGGAGTAGCAGCAGCAGCAAATCCACATTCACCTTCTAGTCTCGGCTGCAATAGAAGCCACTGTTGCTGCTGCAGCTGCAGCTGCTGCAGCTGCTTCGTTCCCTGCTGCTATTGTTCATGCATGCGTCGCTGCTGCTGCTGTTGCTGCTGCTGCTGCTGCAGGACCCTACGCTCTCCTGAGCTAGCTGGAGCTCCCTTAGTGTTAGCAGCACTACGAGGTGTATGTACACTTGGTGACTTTGTTCGTGATGATTTGCTGCTGGATTTCTTGCTGCTGCTGAGGGAAGCAGCAGCAACAAATACAACTCTGCTGCTGCAGCTAGGGCCAGCAGCAGCAGTTGCTTGGGTCCTCGTGCCGTTGCTGCTTGCACGTAAACTCAGAAATTCGCTGCAGGTGAGGAAGCAGCTTCCTTGCTGCTGTTGGCTGCTGCTGCTGCTGGTGCGTCAGCAACAGCAGCAGCAGCAGCAGCAGCAGCCAATGGAGGAATAACTGCCTTTTTTTGACTCCAGCGGAGGGTGGCAGCAGCATTGCTGTTTCCGTGCTAATGTTGCTGCTGCTGCTGCTGTGTGTGTTTGCTGCTGCTGTTGCTGCTGCTCCTGCAGACCGATTGTATCTGGGCTGCTGAGTCCATAGCCAACTTGTTGGCTGCTGCTCTTCCTCAATTTGCTGCTGGAGAGAGCGGCAATAAAGGAGACGGAACAGCAGCAGCAGCAGCAGCAACAGGTCTGCTGCGTCTAGAGCGGGGCAGCAGCAAATCCTTTTTTGGCACCTTCAGCAGCATCAGCAAAGACGGCAGCAGCAGCAGCAACAGCAGCAGCAGCAGCAACAGCAGCAGCAGCAGCAGCAACAGCAACAGCAAGTTCGACACAGGGTTTGCGCACAAGCTGCTGCGAGCACTTGAGCTGCTGCAGCAGACACCGCAGCTGTGGGGCGGAGGAGGAGCGCAGCAGCAGCTGCAGCAGCAAGCGTTGCGTACAACAACAACATCTAAGGGGGTTGCTGCAGTTCGTGTAGATGATGACTTCGGGTGTATAGGCAGCAGCAGCAGAGGCAACACAGGCAGCAGCGCATGCATACAGGCGCTGCTGCCCCTAGGCAATACTTTTCTTGCTGCTGCTCCTCTTGCTGATCTATCTATCGGCCGGCAGATTGTTCAAAGGGTATGTCTTTGCTGCTGCTGCTGCTGCTGCTACTCCTGTTTGCTGCTGCTTCTGCTGCTGCTGCTGCAATGGAGGCAAGGGATGCTCTTTGTTGTCTGCTGTTGTGCTGCAGCTGCTGCGGCTGCTGCAGCAAATGCCGCGTCTGCGTGATGCAGTTACACCTGAAGGATCCATGGATTCAAAGTAAGCGCCATCTGCAGCAGCAGCAACAGCAGCAGCAGCAACAGCAGCAGCAGCAGCAGCAGCAGCGGCAGCAACACCAGCAGCAAGCGTTGCAGCAATAGAAACACCTTGGTAGCTGTTGTCCGTGCTGCAGTACATTTGGGCTCTTTTTGAACTGTGGGCTTGCTGCTGTTGCTGCTGTTGCTGCTGCTGCTGCTGCTGTGTCTGCTGCAGCACGTCATTTCACTACGTGCTGCTGCTGCTGACGGCCAGCTGCGACCCACAGACGAGCGACGCAGCCTTAGCAGCACTAGGCCTAGCACCGGAGCAGCAGCAGCAGCTGCTGCCGCAGCTAGAGCAGCAACCAAAGAGAAAGAAGCTGCTGGATGAACATACGGGTGCAGCAACAGAAGCAGCACGAACTGCATGCAGCTGCTGCGGTGCAGCAGACTGCACCGCTATGGACTTCTGCTGCTTTACTGCAGCAAACGAGCAGCAAATGCTGCAGCAGCTATTCATGCATGCGCCGCAGCCAGCAGCACTTAAGAGCGAACAAGCTGCAGCTCGTGCTGCTGCTGCAGGCGCAGCTAAAGCTGCACGAGCTCCTGCTGCTGCTGCTGCTGCTAAGAATGCCCCATCACAGGCCGCTGCAGCGGGTAACACTCACAATCCACAGCAGCAGAAACATCAGCAGCAGAAACAGCAGCACCAGAAACAGCAGCAGCAACAACAGCAGCAGAAACAGCAGCAGCAACAGCAGCAGCAACACCAGCAGCAACACCAGCAGAAGCAGGTGTTGCCGCAAAAGAAAGACGAGCAGCTTCAGCAACGCAACAAGCAGACACAGCCGCAGCAGCAGCAAACAGGAAACGCACAGAACAGCAGTAGCAGCAGCAGCAGCAGCAGCAAGGACTGCGCTTCATTCCGCAGACGTCAGCGCAGGCGTGCTGCAGCAGCAGCTGCTGCTGGTGCGGCTGCTGCAGCATCTACCCCTGCTGCCGCTGCTGCTGGAGGTGCCCCTACGGAAGCTGCTTCCAATGGCCCTTCAGCTGCTGCAGCCGTACCTGCAGCAGCAGATGCTGCAGCACCACCTGCATCAGCAGCAGATGCAGCAACAGCGAATGCTGCAGCACCACCTGCAGCAGGAGATGCTGCAGCACCGCCTGCAGCAGCAAATGTTGAAACCGTGCCTGCAACAGGAGATGCTGTAGCTGCGCCTGCAGCAGCAGATGCTGCAGCTGCTCCTGCAGCAGCAGACGCTGTGGTTGTGCCTGCAGCAGCAGATGCAGCATCTGTGCCTGCAGCAGCAGATACTGGAGCAGCAGACGCTGCAGCAGCACATGCTGCAGCAGCAGATGCCCCAGCTGTGCACCAAGAAGCGGAAGCTGCAGCTACCCCTGTTGCAGCAGCTGTTGCAGCAGCAAACACTGCAGCAGCAGATAGCGTAGCAGCACATACCGCAGCAGCAGATGCTGCAGCAGCGGATACTGCTGCAGCAAACCGTGTATCTGTACCTGAAGCAGCAGAAGCTGCAACTGTGCATGCAGCAGCAGCAGATGCTGCACTAGTAACTACTGCAGCAGCAGACACCGCACCACCTACTGCTGCTGCTGCTGCAGACATTGAACCAGTAACTCCTGCAGCAGCAGACACTGCAGCAGCAGCTACTGCAGCAGCAGATACTGCAGCAGCAGCTACTGCAGCAGCAGATGGTGCTGCGTCTAGTGTGTGCAGTAGCTGATGTTTTATTAAGGTGTTTATTTGTTCTATTTGTCCTTCGTTATTATATAACAATTGAAGGAAGCAGCAGCAGCAGCAGCTGCTGCTGCTGCTGCTGCTGCTGCAGATGTCTGCTGCTGCAGATGTCTGCTGCTGCAGATGTCTGCTGCTGCAGATGTCTGCTGCTGCAGATGTCTGCTGCATGCTGCTGCAGCAAATATGTTCTCAGGTATAATCGTTGCTGCTGCTACGGCAGCAACTACGTTTGCAGGTAGGAGCGCTGCAGCAGCAGCTTCTGCAGCATCAGATGCTGTTGCTGCAGTTGCTGCTGCTGCTGCTGCTGCTGCTGCAGCTGCAGTTTCCTTTAGTCCGTCAATACAATATATGACTCTAATCTGCGCATGCAGACTCAATTTAAATAAATAAATAACTATTTATTTTAATTAAATAAATAGTAATTTATTTATTTATTTATTTATTTATTTATTTATTTATTTATTCTTAAAGGAAATAAATAATAATTTATTTATTATATAGAGAAATTAATTATTATAAATAAATAATAATAATATTGCTGTTAGTATTAGTATAATATTATTAGTATATAATAATAATAAATAAAGAAGTAAATAAATATTATTATTAATTTATTTATTTATTTATTTATTATTAATATATAAACCCTCTTAGTCTTGCATATATATATAAGAAGAAGAAACAACAGACAGATATACCACCCCCCTAATGAGTACCACCTCCTCCCCCCCTAATTAGAGGTGTCTATGTGCATAAAATATACATAATTAAGGAATAATTATTAATAAAATTAAATAAAATATTAATTAATTTAATTAATTTAATTTAGTATTAAGATTTAATGAGAAAAATACGCAAAATGTATACAGGGGATGATGGCGGGTAGGGTAGTAGTGCTACTTTCTTACTCTTCCTGCTAGCCTTCGCTGCAGCAGCAGCAGCAGCAGCAGCAGCAGCAGCAGACCCGAAGCACTAGTGGGGAAATCTAATTTAAGGAATATAAATCGTTAATATGCATTTATATATCTTATTTATATAAATATTAACATTATTGATGAGCAAAAGGCAGCAACAGTAGTACTACTACCACGAGCAGCAAAAGTGTTGCTGCAGCAGCTGCAGCTGCTGCAGCAGCTGCAGCTGCAGCCCCAGCACCGGTGGCAGCCACGGAGCAGCAACAGCAAAGCAGCAATGGATTAACTTATACGTTATACGTTTCCTCCCTAAATAAGGGTCTGGGGTTTTTAATTTGTCCTGCTTTGCTGATCAGTCGCAGCAGCAGCAGTAGCAGCAGCAGCAACAGATGCAGATGCAGCAGTAGCAGCAGCAGCAGCAGCAGCAGTAGTAGAGTTCACAGCAGCGGATATTGCGACATCGAGTTGCTTTGAGGAGCAGCAGCATCACCACCAACAGCAAACAACAGCAGCAGCAGCAGCAAGCCGTAACACCAGGAGCCGCCGAGAATGGGGAAGGGAAGCAACGCTTGCGTAAGTCTCTCCATCTGCAGCAAGAGTAGCTGCAGCTGCTGCTGCTCCTGCTGCTGCAGCTGCTGCAACCGAAGCAGCTGTAGCTGGAGGATGCTAGGCAGGTTTTTTATTTGCCTTAACTAGATGTTTGTGGGGCCCCAAGTAGGGGGCCCCTCATGGGGGAGTTGGGGGCCCTAGCCACCTAGTTGCGTGCGCAGTGGTGTTACTGTCCATTATGCAGAAGCAGCATACCCAACAGCAACAGCAGCAGCAGCAGCAGCTGCTGCTGCTGCTGCTGCTGCTGGTGCTGCTGGAGTTGTGTAGTATTTGTTGGGTCTTGTTAGTGTCTCATTTATACACCCCTCCCTATCAACAGAACAGTCTAGTGTTTAGGATTTAGTGTTTAGGGTTTAGGGTTTAGGGTTTAGGGTTTAGGGTTTAGGGTTTATGTACAGAAACGTAATACAGCTCGTGGTCGTGCTGAGGATAAGACGACAAAAGAACCAAAAAGTCAATTGAAGACGAATCAGGCAGCAATGACTATTAAATGCAAGGTATATTTATTTATTTATTTATTTATTTATTTTATTTATTTTATTTATTTATTTATTTATTTTATTTATTTATTTATTTATATACCTTTTATTGGGCTATTAATGCTGCAACAATAGGGTTTAGGGTTTAGGCATTTTTAGTGTACGTATGTATATGTATATGTATATGTATATGTATATGTATATGTATATGTATATGTATATGTATATGTATAAGTATATGTATATATGTATAATATTCATCTTATATACAACATATATAATAAATTAAATATATTTATGTATATATATATATATAACATGTATAATTACTATATATAGAATAAATAACAATTATATATATACATAAATAAAAGAATAAAAGAAAATATAAATATATAATATTGAATATATATATTTTTTTCTTTTTTTTTTGGGGCTTTTTTTTTTGTTGATTATAGGTTTGCATGCAACCATTTATGAAGACACAAAGTGTATCGCAATTGTCTGAGCATGCAACGAATAAACATGGCAAGACATTAGAGGATTGTTTCCCTGATGTTTGTGCTGCTGCTTAGTTTTTTTATTTTCTTTTATGTATTTTATATATACTCTTATTATATTATCTTAGCCCTTTCTTATTCTACAATAATATGCATGCATTTATGCATGCAACCATATGCATACATACATGCATCCATTCATGCGTGCATGCATGCATGCATGCATGGATGCTATAGCTAGACCTACTACCGATCTCTTCTGTTGCGGCTGTCTTAGGAGGTTCTTCTGCCTCTCGTTTTATCCTTTTCTTCCTCTGTCTATTAGGACGGGGGCCCCCCTACCATGGGGCCCCTGCTCGTAAACTTATCGCGTTTGTAGTCACTTCTCTGTCAGATATTTGCCAGATACACCCTAGGGTGTATAGGGGCTTAATAGTTCGCCAGTTATTTAGTATAGCGATATTGACCAGATTAGTATTGCTCTTGCTGCTGCTGCTGCTGATCCGGCTGTTGGTGTTGCTGCTGTTGCTGGATGCTACTACCACTGCTGCTGCAGTGACAGGTCTGGACTCCCACCGCCGCTGCTGGTGCTGCTGCAGCACGGCATGTGAGGGCTTATTGTCTACGTCATAGACCTCTAAAGAATTGGCTGGCAGCAGCTGGGTTGGAGGACCCTTCGAAGTGCATGGGGCCTCCGCCTCTGCGTTGTGCTTGGGTTGAGTTGAGAGTTGCATGCCCTCGAAGGCACTGCATCTATTATTATTGTCGCTACTATTGCTACTATTTATTATGTAGAAGGGCCTACACTGTCTGTATAAAAATGTTCACAGAGTGATGTAGACATGGGAACTTTTGTTCTCTTCTTGACGGAAGCCTTCTGCAGAGAGGCTTCTGCAGGCTACTGCACCATAGAGGCACAAAAGGGCAGCTGGATGTGCACAATAAGTGGCCACTCAGTCTTGGGAGAGTGAGATGAGGAGAGAGGAAGTAGGACAGGCATTCCTCGGGCATGTGGATGGAGGCTGAGCTAGGGAGACTTGACCAAGTTTCTAAGGGAAGGCATAACATTAAAGAGCATTAAGTGACTTTTGAGTATTCAGTCGGCATAGTAGGGAGCATAGTTCCCCTTGGCATCAAGGTTAGTGGCAGATAGAAGTGTTAGGATAGGCGTATGTGCCACCCACACCATTTCTACCTGTACTTGATGAAGAACTGCAGAAGATATTCATCTTCTCTGAAGGTTAACGTTGTTATTCAAAACTCTCCAGAAGCTCCTGACGAAAGAATGCATATGAATAGAGAGAGAATATACTCAAAGAACTCAAATAATGGTGCAAGTTACCCGATAAGCATCTGGACAATGGATACATCTCCATGCACACTGGAACTGAAGTCTGCCCGGGTAACTAAGAGAAGAATCTCTGGCAAAAATTGGTGCACGTAGAGCACCACAGGGCAGTTGGGGTCCGATGGCAAATATAACGTGGCATGGGACAACGGTGTCTGTGCGTAGAGTAGGGATGCAATAGAGCAACGAGTGGAAAGGTGCACAGCTGTATAATATAATCATGACAAACATGGGAGGAGACCACGCAATTTTGAGGAATGCGGTCCTTTTTCGGGGACCCGTGAAACTTCCAGAGGAGAGCAATGAATATTTGTTCAACGCCCTCGGCTGTAACCGAATCTCTGCACAAAATGAAGTGCGCAAGGTTCGCTGTTGTCTAGTGGGTTAGCAACTCTCAGATGCCACTACGTATAGACCGATGTGCCCCTCTGCCGTATAATATACAATAAATAACTCAAAAATCCTCTAAATTGACTTGAGTAGACAGTAAAACACATTCGCCTCCACCTTGGATTGCAACGGGGATAATAAAAGGTCTGTCTCCACCTGCCCCCCAGTAGGAGTCAGTGCCCCTACTACATAGTCAGCCACAAAACCCTTATAGGCTGCTGAGCAATGGTAGCCTGTTTGCCTTATTTCTAGCCTAAGTGATGTGGTTTAGAACTAACATTTTGTATGTTCTGATATTTTCACGGTGTAGGCCTCTACAGGATCAATGGGGGATCCATTGTTGTGCCCGCACAACACAGCATCTGCATTACGATGTAAAAGCTACAGTAGCTTCCGACTGATGCCGAACAGAATATGGCATCCATTGATGCATCCGTTGTTTGGGGGACAGCGTGAGAGTGTTTCCTGTCCTTTGCTGCTGACATTCCCGACACAAAGAATGAACCCCTCAGCTAGGAGGGTTCATTCTAGGCGACCAACGTTTGCTAGACAATCTTTCCATTGTTGCATTGATCCCCCCATGACCTGACAAAGCATAGCAGGTAAGAAATTCTTCTGTCGCTCCCGCAGGGCTGCACCCACCCATCATATACAGGTAACCGGCTACCTCAGGAGGAGGGGACATTCTTCACGAACCGCTTTTGTTGTAAAACCATTCCCCGTTGGATGAGATGCAGAAACCGGGCGGGATTCTCCTTTAACTGCTCTTTCAAAGGCTAACCGCGTCCTCAGCCGAGGGCAGATAGTGATCAGCCTGTTGGGCTTGGCAAGAAGAATCTTGGAAATGCTCAAAAGTTAAATATTTCCAACGTATGTTCAATTCTAAGCACATTAGGTACTACTCATGCCTATATTGAGGACGGCTTTGCTGTGTAGATGAGGCTGTTTAGTCCCACCTGCACTGTGTGGACCGCTCTATGCTACCAAGTGTATCGCCTATCCTGGGTCTACCTACCCCTAGGACTATTGCGACCTTCAATGCACCTTAAATACTGAGGACACGCTTTCCCTCAATGCAACTGGCCTCTCCCGCGAATCTTGCAACTTCGCGAGAGCACACTTAGCAGTTGCTTAAACGCCGGAGCTACTGTAGAGGAACACCCAGTAATCATGGCTGGCCAGTCCTGAGATGCATCGTACCTTCCTGCCACTTAAGGTACAAGCACATACAAGACTTTATGGCTGTATTTACAAACACTTTAAACGGTTGTCCAGAACTTCTGCCTGCTTGTCTTCTGTCTAGTGGGGCCAGTTCAAGGTTCATGCGCTCACTAAAGACAGACTTGCAACATCACAAAGACAATGCAACAGCGTGTATCTACAAATTGCAGTTGCTGCCCCGGCATGCACGAACCTTGGGGAGCATTGCTCGAATGGCAGCAGGAACAAGCAAGTGACTGAAATTTAGACATTTGATCCCTTTTTAGCTCCATACAATAACTCCACCGAACACCACCCCCTTCCTCTGGAATCGAACAACTGACGCAACTGCCGTCGAGAGACAAGGAGAAGCATGGGTTATAGTTGAAAAAGGCTTGCTAGGTGGCTGCCTTTCTGCGAGTTTTGTATGGCGGTTCGTGATGGTCTCGCCAAAAATTTAGGCCCTGCAGAGGCTGCGACAGCCCCATCAGCCATCGAGCTGGTTGAAGCGCTGTAGCACTTTTGATGCTTCAGCAGGCCGGTAGGTTAGTGAGCCGCCGAGTTCAGAGACTTTGATTGTATAAACTAAGTCGGGTTTTACAAGCGTGGGGACTTGAATGCTTAGAGGAGAATTCGCCAGCGATACTAGCAGCCGCCGCTCAGGGGCGGCAGCTCTACAATAGCACGTGCAGCAGCAGCAACAGCAGCTGCCCGCAGCAGCGCGCCCCAACAGCAACAGCAGCAGCAGCTGCTGCAGCACCAGAGGCAGGCGGCATCGGGGGCTTTGGGGTTCATGTTTTTCGTTTTGCTTTCTTGATTCGAATATCACTTTACAGAACTTGTTATTTCGTGAGAGGTATTCAACTCGGCCTAGCACTCAAACTGCATTCCGCGCAGCACAGCAGCCTATCAAGAGCCGCGCCCCAGCAGCAGCAGGACCCCGCTTTGCCACGACAGCTGGAGCAGCAGAAACAAGTGCACGAAAGCTCCGGTTAAAAATACTTCTGCGTTCTTTCAAGCGACAACCATCAAATATCTTGTATTCAAGACCCACGAGGCGCGCTGCAGGCAGGTACTGCCCCTCACTGCAGCAGTTCATCTTTGTGTCGCTGTGAGCGCCGCCTGCTGCTGCGGCCGTTCATTTCTGTCTCTCCTTCCGTTTGTGCCACACTCTGGCCCGGGGTGTGTCTCTATTGTTTTCGTATGCTGTACATGCCTTATACTTGGCTTTGCGGCAGCTGGCTTTGCTGTTAGTGGCTGTGCTGGTACTGCCGTTGTGCTCTTGGGGTGCAACACCCTGCAGTTCTGTCTATTGGCCTGAGGCGTCATGTTTGTCTGTGTTTTCTGCTCGGTGTCTATTTTTGCAGGTCGGATAGCCTACTGCGTGCTTTTTCTTTCGTGCTATTGCAGGCGGCACTCGCTGCTTGTTAGAGGACTGGTTCCTGGGACTGCAGCTCGCAGTTCTCGTAGGGCGCCTGTGGGTTTCTAATCAGCTTTATGTGCGCGGCTGCTGCTAGGGCGGTTGGGGGCAGAAAAACCCTCTGTGCAATGAAATCTGCGTCTGCCGTCTTTGTGCCCCGCCCCGTGTTCCCGCGGTTGCTGAGAGAAGGCAGCCGCGAGTGCTGCGCTGGCCCTTGAGCTGCTTTTTCTTCTTTCTTTTTACGAGGTGTTCGAATATCTTTCTGTCAACTGCGAGCTGCGCGCACCGGCGGCAGGCTCCAGTCCAACAGTGAAGTCTTTGTTGCCTCTAAGCCGTACTCTACTCCTTCAGGACGTTCATGTGAACGCCCACGCCCCCGCTGCAGGCGGCTTTGCGTCCGCTGCAGCGCGAAAGGCTGCAGGAGCAGCAGAAACATCAGCAACAGAAACAATACGATAAGACGAACCTAGAGCGGATCCACAGCAACGACACTTCCTGTTAACGATTGGAGCAGTACAGTGTGCCTGGCCGCCTTGGAATGCGAACAAACAGCAACAAGCAGAAGCAGCAGCAGAATCGGCGGCCCCACAGCTGGTGATGGTCGACGGCTCTGCGGGGCTTCGCAGGTGAAGCGGCGAGGGTTGGGAACAGCCGCAGGGCTGCGCATCTGGAGTTCTAGAGGGAGAGAGGGGTGAGGCAGCTAAGCATGCATATGCTGTCATGAGGATCCACTGCAGCATCATTTTTTGGTTTATTCTGCCTCTTTTGTTTCTATTTCTGTTTCCTTCAGTGGTCAGCAGGAGACGTTCAATTACTTGCGTTGCATGCGTCTCTGTGTTCTTTTTGTGCAGCTTTCTTTTGACATTGCCTCATTGCATTGCAGGCAGCGGCGGCTTTGAGCCGCAGGGCACACCCCTTTCTGCTCAGCGCAGCATGAAGGAAGGGCAGCCGGCGCCTCCCAGCCCGGCGTTTCGTTTCGGCGGCGGCGCAACGCGCCAGCCAGTATTCCGGTGCCGCGAACCACCGTGAGTGGCCGCAGCAGCAGCAGCAACTGCAGCAACTGCAGCAAAAGAGCAGCAGCGAAGAGCAGCAATAGCAGCAGCTGCGGGTTTATAAGGACTTTTCTCGGCCACACCATCCCATTCTGTTTACCATCCAAGATGGGTTTCCTTTCACACATGCGCCGCGAAAAGCGGAGCTGTGACGGCAGCAGCAGCTTCTGCTGCAGCAAGAGTGAGGCGGACTCGGAGTGCAGCAGCCTTCGCCAAGACATCTTTGACACTCTGCAACACAATCAGCAGCAGCTGCTTCCGACCCCTTCTTATGCACTTGACCAGTGGAGTTTCCCCTCTAGCCGCAGTGGGCTGCGCAACAACAACAACTACAACAACAGCAACAGCAACCGCCTCTTCTCGCGACTTGCTACCCACGGCGCAGCCTTCCCAGCAGAGGCTCCTCGTTCAACTGGTCGCTGCGTTAGCGGGACAACTCCTCTGTCTCGCCAAGATAATTCTGTTGCTGGAGCAGGAACAGCATCAGCTATGGTATCGCCACATGGGCAGAGGTGCCTTCAGCTTGGGCAAAATTCGGCGGTGCCCTGCTGTTGCTGCAGCGACAGCAGCACGCACAGCGGCGGCAGCAACGAGCTGTCCCGGGGCCGCTGGTGCGCGGGCGCATGCTCTTCGGGTTTCCTATTGCAGCAGCAGCAGCAGCACACAACGAAGCAGTCAGCGCAGCCTCTACCTGCAGGCATGGTGTTGAACGTGCCGACGCTTATCGAGTCTCGGGGGGTCAAGTGCTTGATTCTGGATGCTCCGACAAACGACAACCTCCAGGCTTACCTGGCACAGTTGGTTCAAGTGGGGGTGACAGATTTGGTGCGCACGTGCCCGCCGACTTATGACGAGGGGCCTGTAGTGTTGGCAGGCATCCGAGTGCACGACTTGACCTTCCCCGACGGCGAGGCACCTCCAGCTGAAGTCATTGCGCGCTGGAGGGCCCTCGCAGCGCAGGCGAAGGCAGAGGGGGGCGTACTCGCCGTACACTGCGTAGCAGGACTTGGCAGAGGACCCGTCCTCGTTGCTGTTTCCCTGATCGACAGCGGGTTTGAAGCTGAAGAGGCCGTCAACTTCATCCGCTCACGCAGAAAAGGTGCGTCGGACTTGCCAATGTGCTGCATGCGCAAGTGGTTTGTCTTGGGAGTTTCACCTGCCTCCGAGACGGTCGGGTCGTCTGACGTTAGACGGTAGTTGGCTGATGTGGTTATTTGGTGACGGGCTCGGCTAGACAGCAGACGTTAGTGTATCAACGTTTGAGTTACATACTGTGTGGCCTCGTTTGTGCGGGTTTGTACAGGGGCGATTAACAGGCGACAGCTGGCCTTCCTCCACAACTACCGGCGCCACGCCGTGGCGTCCCGCCGGTGCATGCGGAAGTGCACTATCATGTGAAGAGTTTTGGGGGGCAGGGGCTGTGCGTGCTGGTGGGTGTCAACCAGTATGGCGCAGCCAGCCCTTGTATCAACGGGACGCAGAGGAGAACCAGCCCCAGGAGTTGCGTGCATCTCACGTCTGGGGAGCAGCTCTGCGTAAGAGAGGTGGAGGACAACAAAATAGTGGATTTCGGACACCATATTCGGGTGTATAATTATGCATGTCCGTGCGTGTGCCGCTTCATAGTGGAATCAAACCGTTGATGTGATAATCTGCACGAGTCGTGAGTGTCTCACGTGCATTGTAGAATGGCTCTCAAAAGAAAAAACAAAAAAAACAAAAAAACAAAAAAAAATTGGTTGCCCGCACAGGCTGTGGTGGGTAGACGGCGCATAAGGGGAGGCATTGAAGGAGGTGCCACTGCGTACGCGCTGAGCCGGATGTGTTGTTTTCGCACGTCCAAATAGGAGGGGACGTCGGAAGCTCACTGTAGTTGTGGCGGGGGAAGGACATATGTGCGCACATGTGTATCAAGATGCATGCGGGGTGTTCCATTAGACCCATGCAGAAGTGTTGCTAGAGCGGGCGCTGACTGTCTCAGGACTCGGTGGAGGGGGGAAAGGATGGCCAGTAGCGGGTTGTCGTGTCGTGTGACCTTAGAGTTGAAATAGGTGCATATACGCCTGCCAGTGTGTTTCAGCCTGTGTTGTTTTGCCTGTCTGTACATGTTTTCGCGTGTTTTCGCCCTAACGCGACCAGCCTAGAGGTGATGCACCTAGATGGCTGGTGCGTTCAGAACTGTGCTCATTGCTCGTCTGAGCTGTGAACTAATGGGGTGAGCATGCATGCATGCAGTGTGTCCGTCGAGTCGGCTGCTTTCCCCGTCGCTGCAGAGGGGCGGAGGGGAAGGAGCGGTGGGGAGCCCGCAGGCCAATTTTATTAATAAACGGCTCGCGGGTGGACACAGCAGCGGCTGTCGCTTCCTGCCACGGCTGGTTGTGTTGCTACACCTGAGTGTCATGCATGAGGGGAAAGAGGCGGGGGGCAGTGCCGATAATATCGCGGAAAGAAGTTGTTGCGTAGAGCGGTAGCCACCACCGCACCAAGCTGACGAGATGAATACACTCTGTGGGTCCTAAGGCCTTCACAAACAATCATCTTAATTGTCAGGGAACTAATTCGAAAGGGGTTATCAGGGTTTGGGCGCTGTGTAGTATCATCCGCCCATTCCTTTTGTCGACAAAACGCACCACGCGACTGTTCCACTTTGCCTCCCCGGACTTTGAACACTTTTTATTCCGAACGCATCTCAGTGCGTTAAGGTATCCGCAATCGCAGCCCTTTACCGTGGCCCCGCCCCAGTGTACCATTTGGAAGTGCTACTAGAAATTCTTTCAACCTGTAGCTGTTGAGCGCTGACAGCATACATAGGACAACTAGCAGGCGTAGGTAGATATTAATGATATACTGGCTAGGCCTTCCAGAGTGTCTCCCGTGTGGTACAGGTTCTTTAGCTAAGACCGTGGTAGCAGGCCGGTGCTATGTTTTTGTGTAGAATATGCCTCTGGCTTGCCCTTATGGCAGGATACATTTTCTGAGAATACCCTTTTGTTCTGGTATGGTACTACGCTGGTACAATGGCGTTCGCTGTCTCTTCAAATGCAAATACTGAAGGACTAGAACACACTGAAGCCTTACTAGATGTTGGTGTGTTGCAAGGGGGAGCTGAGCGTATCTTAGGTCATCTTCTCTGTCGGCTGGGTCATTGTAGTGTGTGGCTTTTCATGTTAGCTCTACATTTGTTTAAGTGGTTTCATGATGCGTGCTAACGGGCGGATGCACAGAATAAGTATCGAAGGATCGCTGGGGCAAATTGGAAGTCTTAACTACTTCGTGCTTGCATCTAATTCTGCCTGCCGCGACGAGGGATGCAGAACTGCACAAACAACATTCAGAAACCCTTTTCACTTACAGCTGTACTCTACTAAATAAATTATTGGATTCAAGTTCGTGGCATTTAGCGGTTTGCCATTCTTTCAATGAGTAGAGAAAGGTGGCGCTCCACCCGAGTCATGGGGACGCCAATTACGTTGTGTGGGCATCCTGAAATTGACTTGAGGTATTTAGACATTTCCCCCCTTTCAACTAAAACAGCTCCTGCCGAGTACATGACTTCGCCTTCTTCTAAAATGCGCCGACGAGCTTCTTCGTTCATTTTCTTGAAGTTCACCTGGGACTTGACACTGAGCACCTCGCGAGTGTCACAATGGTACCCTGTGGGCCCCCGTGGATCTAACATAATGTCTGCTGCATGAATAACTGTCAAAGGACAGGTACAAGGGTCTGCATCATCTGTAGGTTGCAGGTGCTGAAATCTGCCGCAGGCTTTGCACTTGTGCGGGAACTGCTGTTTTGCGGGAACAGGGGCGTTGGGGTCCCACGGGGGGCGTTCGAGTTCGCTGACGAGGTCTACAAGAACAAAACTTGTGGTAACAACGATGGGTTCGTCGGAGTCAGAGTAGCCCTTGAGAAAGCGTGCAGCTTCCTCCTTATCTTTGGGCTTGAACAGCACGCGTCCGCCAAACTCAATACCCGTGTCCACCGCTACCAGTACAGGCGCGCGGCCATCTGCTGCCTCCACTGCCATACAAGAATTTGAGAAAGATGCCAGCTGTGCAACTGCTGCTGCAGCTCGTCCGTTGTGCCGCGCTGCTGTTTCTGCTCTTTGCAAAAGGCGCAGACGCTCCACTGCTGGTATGTTCAGGATCTGGTTCTGGAACCTCAGTTGCTGCAGATGCTGCGAATCCTGCGCTCGAAGAGCATGCACTGCAGCATCCGCCTTCATATGGGCTATAAGTAATGTACGCGAATCTGCACCCATTTCAGGGTGTTGCGCTTCGAGCCATGTTTGCACGTCGTTTTCATCGAAAGGGGCAGAAAAAGCCCCAAAAGGAATTGCGGCTTTTGCAAACAACTCTCTTCGAAATTCGCTCGAAGTCGCCAGCAACAAGCTGCAATCCTTGATCGCCATTTCCTGCATATCCGGGAAGTCTGTGGGCTGTGGATACGTGTACACATACCCAGGTGTGGGTTCGTCTTCTTTGTCTGCGTTAGCCTCCATTATGAAATAACAGAAATGCAGCGTTAACTCGAATGCTTAATTCTAATGAGTATGGTACGTGGGAAACCAGCACTCTGTAAGCTAGATGAAGATCAAGTCTCTCTTACACGAGGCGCTGATGTTTGCCAGCACGCAATGAAGATGGGTGCCAAAGTTTGGAGGAGAAGAAGCCAATGAATTAACAAACAACCGATTTAAAAATGAGGGAAGAAGTACTTCTTACAGCATTTAAGAAAAAACATTTCTGAATATCCCATTACAGCGCATTTCACGTTAAGGGCTTCAGGGTCCTTGTAGACCTTCCCCATATCGGCAGACACGCGGAAACAAGGAGGTTTCCATGCAGCAATTTCGTTCCCATTTATGCTGCTTCCATACAACCACTCCCTGAAATTTACTGTCTGGCATTCACTACAGTGCTTTACGACTCCCGTAGCGCTCAACCGAAATACTGAATCTGTGATTGGGGGGCCCACTTCCCCAAGGATCCCGCTTCCCCAAGAATGCTTCTTTTTGCGATTCTCACATTCTGGCGTAAGGCAGGTCTCACAGTAGTTTTCTCACCGCCCATTCGCTTTTTTTCGTAATTGAACGGGCTTATAGGCGTGGCACTTGACTGGGGCCTAAAGGCTCCCCCAGAAACCTCTGCCACAACAAGGATGTAGAACACTGCTACTTCTGTGCTAATATCTGGCTCAGAAGAACCCAAAGACCCACAATGAGGAATTTATCAGAGCTATGATAGTGCTCCTTATCTGCAGGGGATACAAATCTACCACTGCTCCTTTTGAGAGGGAGTCTGAATTTGTTTCTAATTCACGATGCCGACGACAGGGACGGAGAAACAGCAACCGGATAAAGTAGTTGAGAAAAACCCGAAAAGTAGGCAAAGCCACTCTTCAGAACGCGAGACGAAGAAGCGCGTGGCGAGTTGTGGGCAAAAGGCGCGGAGCTTGCGGCGTCTGCTGGAACACCGAACGGATGTAGGCATTAGTTCCTGTAGTACCTCGGCAGCAATTTTATTGCTGTGACGGAGATATCGAAATATACATATATGGATACATCTTTATATATATACGAGTACATCTACACCTGTTTATCTGTCAGTCTTTCTCGTTTCGATTGCTTTTCCTTGGGATACGTGGTGTTTCTGCTACAGTTTCCAGAAGATGTGCAAGCTCGGATGCTTGCGGATGCGGAGGCCTTGGAGCAACGGCACCGGCAGAGGGTGAAGGAGTTGAAGCGACAGAAGTTCATTCGGGCCAAGAAGGCTTTGTATTCTAAGCTCAAGTTTTATGGTAAGCTGTGCACATGTGGCTGTTGGCTGAAGTGTTTGCTTGCCCACAAGTGGAAGTGCTCGTAGCATTTGTTATAGGTTGAAGCAAATGTTATATACTTCTCCGCCTAAGGCAGCGAAGGCCTAAGCTGCGGCTGCGCAGTTGTGCAATCTATCTCCCCATGATGTATCTTTATTTTGCGCGTATGCGTGGCCATATTACTTGCGAACAGCGTGTACATACGTATAATATGTATATGCCACAATATCCTCTTCTTGTTGTACGCAGAGTTGAAAAAAGTGCAACGCCGATTGCAGCAGACGCGAAAGGAGCTACTTGCGTTAATGTCAGAGCAACAGGAAGACCAGAGTTCTGCATCTGCTGCTGCTGAAGATCCCTCAGTTTCTTCTGCTGCAGCAGATGGTGAGGCCCTGGGGGGACGCATAGCGGATGCACAGCGGAGGTTGCGGCTTCATTTGGACGACTTAAACTATATACGTGTACGTCCAGGATTAGTCAGCGCACACTGAAAGACAATTTAAGCGCTTCTTTGCCCCAATGCAGCAGCAGCTGTAACTGAAGCAGCACTAGGCAGCTAACTGCATCTATCTGGGCTCGCTTGATGTATGGCGTGGCAAACATTTATTCGCTTCGCGAAATGCTGCAAATTGTCTGGTTGCAATCTGCAGTTGTACCCGGCGGATGAACCTTACGTCGCTCTCTTTCCTGGTGTGTCTCAAAGTACAAGTTGCACACATTTTTTGCCCGTTCGCCTGTATAACGTGCTGCATGATGTGCGTATAACTGATCGGGATCGGTCTTCTTTCTCCCTTTAAGTAGGATGCAGGAGGGCCAATTGTATTTCCTTGTGTAACTCGTGGCATCCCATTGACGGATTCGCCATCGGATGGTGCTCACCGTCCACTCTGGCTATTTGTTGTGCAGCTCAAGACACGGAAGAAAGCCAGAAAAAGAGACAGGCTATGCGCCGTCGCATCCTCGAGCTGGTCAGGAGCTTTGGCAATGCACTGTTGCACAGAGCAGCGAACACCCTGCATTCTCCTAGGATCACATTTGTTGGCCTTACCACTGGTTTAGGTGTTGTTGTTACACTTCCCTTCCCTAGCTCAACTGCAGGGCTTGGGACCGTTAGAGCGTTGGAGCCCGCGTGCTTCCCGCTTGGTTGGTTTGATTGCCGCACAGAACCTATCGTAGTTCTTGTGAGGTGTGATAATGCTGTTTGATTATGCCAGGTGATAAACAGCAGGAAAGGCAACGAAGCAGATGACGATGAGGAGGGGGGTACGCACCAGAGCATTTTCATTACCTGTGTTTAAACGTCTCCTTTTAACTTTTTCTTGCCTCACTATACATACTGTGTCTATGTGCATATATGTGTGCTGTTACTTCCGCTAGCTTGTCTCTTTGTCAGTGCATCGGAGACTTTCCCTGCTCTTTGTCGTGCCGTCGGGGTTATTGGCTGTCCTCTCCGTCTTCATTCCCTTGTGCTGTGTTTGTGCCTCTCTCCTCTGTGTTCGCTTGGGGGCTTGCTTGACTTCCGCCTCCTCTGCCTTGGAAACAGGGGAGAGCTGTAATGTCTGTCCGCTCGCGTGATTGAGCAATTATGGGCGTGCAAACTTGACTTCAGTGCTGTGCTAAATTTTATGCTTCATCTCATGTTAGAAAGCTTTTGCCGGCAACTCATTTGCTGCACTTCATACTCACTATCTGTGTTACTATAAATTTGTGTGATGATGGTGAGTTCACGGCTATGTGTGTCTTGATACTAGGGGGAGATGACATGTTTGTGGATGCACCGGAAGCGGAGGAGGCTGCTGCTGGCGCAGATCCGTTCGAGGGAGCCCAGGCCCTCTCTGACGAGGAATCAGGACCTGGAGGAGGTAAAGCGGTACAAAGACATGGAGGTAACAAATTCCACACTAAGCGCACGAACCGGCCTCGCGACATCAGACATGCTGGAGGAGCGGCTGTTGCAGCGCGGGGTAAGAAGGGGGCAACGTGCGAGAGTGAGGGCCAAAATCCTAGATGCAACAGCGATTGGAACAGGAATCATTCTTCTGGACGCATATCGTTTCCCCCAAACAGAACTGGCAAACAACATAGCGAACATAGGGATAAGGGGCGCAGCAACAAGACCCAACGCCAGACACCGGAGCAAATGAAGCAGAAGAAACAAAGTGATTCGTCAGCAGTTACCAAGGACACCAAAAACTGGCCAACGCGAATCGGGTTGTCTAAACAGAAGGCAACAAACCAGCACGTCATCTTCACTTCAGACGAGGAATAGGTACTCCTGGTTAATACGTGGCAGGGAGGCCTCTTGGACCGACACAGAACGGTTGTACTAGTGCGTCAGTTATTTTTTTGGCCTACTGTCTCATTTGGCGATTGCTAGTTTTAAATACTTTAAATGCGTTTCTAGTGCTATAGTGCCAGTGGCTGTATTGTATTTTACGCCGCAAAATGTTCTCTATAGTTTATAGTATGTCGATATTTCGTCTGCTATGTTGTTAAATACTTCTGCATAAACGTGTTGGCTGAACATGAGCTGCTCGAACTACTCGCAGCAGCTGCAGCTGAAACATTTGCACCTCAGGCAACAGCAGCAAAAACAACCGCAAAAGCAACGGAAGGCAGGAAGCCGCATCTATATTGAGCTCGTTTGAATCAGTAGGTGCCATTAGAGTTCTCTTTCACCTGGCCATGGCCACCCCGTTAAGCACTTTCAGAAGAGCGAACTGCCAGAAGAAGGTGGAGCTCGCCAAAAATATCGCCACGACTCCCCAACCAGCGCAGCCTACGGATAAAAGCCGCACGCGCGGTGTTCTGTCGGCCAGTAGTCCCCAAAAGAGTCCTGATATGGCCTGTGAAACGCTCTGAAAAAGCAAATACACGCAAGCTCAAAGTGAATGGAGGGCGCCCCAACCAGGTCATACAACTGTTCTTCTGCAGTGACAAGAACAACGGGAGCAACATCCCATGTGAAAGCGCCGCACAAGACCAACGGAAGGAATAGAGGGAGGTGAAAGGCTTTCCTGATAGAAAACAAGAGAGTCGAGATCCTGCAGAGCCCAGTGGAAGTCGGACTGTAGCGCTTTTAAACTGGCGGGCACGAGCTGCATGTCTATGCCTTCAATGACGCATACCACGTTTAGCGCACTGAGAAGAAAATACATACACCCAGAACTCCACAGGAAGACCTTCCTTCAGTGGGAATCTACGTTATATGGCGGCAAGTAAGACGAAAACGGCATGCGTGCGCGCGGACAGCTGCGGACAGCTGGCACCCGACCCGGCCGCACCTGGTTGGGCCCTTGCCGTAGACGCCAGCAGCTTGAACTCTCCAGCCTTCAGGGGCTTACTGTGCCTCTCGTAGTTGCTGAACAAACAAGACTCAAGCATTCGCAGGCAAACCAATCCAGTTTAAGGAAGTGGGGAGGCAAATTAGATGTGACGACGATTGAATGACTGCGCAGCCAGGTGATCCAGATCAATGCTCCCAGGTATCCCTTCAGGATTCCGAGATATTTCATGTTTCTAGTAGCTAAATGCAAGCTAAAAATATCTGGTGCTTAGAGGGATTCCACGTTCCAAGCCTCACGCATCATCTTTCGACCGTGGCAGCAGTCCCCGGTTCTCGACGGAGTTGGAGCCATCGCCGTATGCGGTGCTAGCTACCGAAGCACCAGAAGACTCCATGTTATTTTTTCGAAAACGTTTTAAGCGGTCGTGAAGTAAAGTCGCAACAGGGGAGGCTGCTTGTCCCAGTTAGACAGTCGGCTGCCGTGCGAGACCGACGCCGACAGGGAGAGAGGGACTGGAGCTAGACTTTAACAGATCTCAAAAAACGAAGGCCAAAGTAGATAGGGTGTCTATACTGTGCCGCCAAGTTGCATTCCTTGAAACGAACGGACTAGTGTGCATACAGTCGAGTACCAGCCAAGCCCGGGTGGGCACTCTAAGTACACGAGTCGTTTCGGAGGGGGGAGACTAAGTTGCTTGTGTATTCATTGACTACCCCCAGAGACTAAGTTACTTGTGTATTCATTGCCTATCTCAAAACTTAGAAGAAGCTTTCGATGCCAGATCATTCAAGTGGGGCCAGACACCGGCGAAACGAACCTCCGACCGCCAAGGCAGCGCTGCCGCTTCGCCTGCCAATCTGTGTTGCCAACGCAAAACGGAGGGCTTTAGCGTGCGTAAACAAACAAGCGTCTATCCAAATCGCCAGTAGAAAAGTAAAGGAAAGCAACTTAGGCATAAATTAGTCACGAGGAGAGCCGAATCCGCCCTGTACGAGCAGCTCCGTGTTGCTGACTGGCTGCAGACCGGGTTGCGAGAACTAGTGCGAAAGCTAGGCAACGACTCTTCTAATGAAGTAGGAATTTATTCAACTTCTACAATAATCCATGTATTGTAGACTAATGGGCATAAAGTTACAGCTTCTGCGTTAATGCCGGCTCATGCCTCCACGCATTCTGCAAGCGTAGCTGTCTCCCAGACGCTTATAGATGTACCGCCATCTGGCTGCCTACTGGTCACTGTTGAAAAGTTGTTTACTCTTTCCGCGCATGAACAGAATGGGTGAGAGACAATGCATTCTTGTGGGGTTGTTGTGTAGCAGGAGATGCAACAGTTTGTGGCGCAACACAGGAAGGGCATATCTGCATGCCAGCCACAGGCCACTCGGTCGCTCTCCTCAGGATAACTGAGTACGGGCGTGGATGGGTAGTTCGGTTGCTTTTATTTTGAATGGTATTCATTTCGTTTTGATCCTGATGGAACACGCAGCGTTCCCACCTGCAGCATGGTACGCCTCATATTGGCATGCGCGTTCCTAATAAGGTGCAGGTTGGCTACTAAGAGCCAAGTCAGTGTATTAACAATTGGCTGTTGTGTATTGTCTTCATCAAACTGTCTATTAGTTCTGTTTGCGGGCTGGGGATGCGTTGCATCGAGAGTGGCGGCGAGGGGGCCACCACCCCCTGGCAGATTGAACCAAAAGCATCGCGTGTCTGAAATGGCTCCGTGTCTTTCTCTTTTCGTGGAAGATCGCAACTAGTTGCACGAGGTATTTTTCAGTTATCTACAGCGTCGGCGCATTTGCCTCCTGTGAGTGAGGGTGTGCTTGCATCGCGGACTACCCTAAGTACTGCAAATCATGTCATGCCGCCTCTTATTTGCAGCAGAACCATACGTTGCTGCGAATACGCCGGTTTCCTGAAGACTGACATGAGGAATGTGTGCATTTGGTAACGTATAATGAATATACAGGATTTTATTACAGTCGTCGCCCAAAGGTGAAGACTGTCGTTACCCCTGGATGAGTGGGTAAAGGGCTGCGAAGCCTACTACCGCAAGTGAAAGGCTTAGCTTATAACACGGAATAGCAGCGAAGGCTCTTGGTGGTTCTTCCATGCGAGGTTTTGTCGCAGCATCCGTTATGGGGAGGCGAGTTGTAATTTTTGCAGAGCGTTGCAACTCAGCCCTTGTTGCTTGCTTCCTTAGCTCCTGGAATTTGGATCGCTGTGCTCATGAAGCATAGATAACCAGGGTAGAGAGCAGCTTTAGCTTTAGAAAAACATTTCCCTTAATTACTTTTGAGATAGTGTCATGCAGACCATTGTTTGTTACAGAGGTCGAGGGCTCTCGGTACAGTAGCAGTCCCTTTTAAGCTCTAATTCAGAGCCCTTGCCAAGTGAGGGCGCATATGCCAAGTAAGGGTCGGGAGAAGGATCAGCCAGCTGTTACCATACTGAGGCTGCTGCAGTTGGGAGGCTAAAGTGGGGTAATGACGACCTGCGAGTCCAGGGGTCGGTTCCCTTCGAAAATGAAGGACACGAATTTGGTGCCGGCGACAGCAGCACATCAGTTAGTGCCATCAGCAGTTAAGAAGGAGGAACCCATAGCTGGCAGGTCGCTGCCGGCTATTCACGAGTAGATGACGGCAGACGCCTACTCGATCACGTGGAATGCGCAAGCGCTTCCTATTCTGATTCCTTTTTCGAGAGCCGTGCACGGTTCCGAAATCGACCGAAGCCATCTGATCGGTAACATCCAATACAATTTGGCTGAACCTCAACAGGGTGTGTGGAGGGAGGAAGTTGAACAACGGACTCCTGTATCCTACAAGAGAGCAGACGATAGGGGCTGACTCTTCTGAACCCAGAAGGAGTCGTATTCGCTGTGAGAGCCCGTTACTTACAATGTCCTGCATGCACATACGTGAAGAAGAATGGGCATTTGTCTACACAGCCGACAACAAAGATAGCGACCGAGAAGCAATACGTGCTTACCTCATTGGCAGAGAGATTGGCTGCCTGAAGAGGAGAAGCAAGAAAGTGGGCATTAGAAGCGTATGGTCACGGCTGCCAGGAAGTCTACCGGTAAGCACCACGCAAGTCGGGACTGGGAGCGATGGCAGCTACCTGGCAAAGGCAGCAGATGGCTCTGATCTAGACCAGCAGCACCTAATTAAAAGTATCAAGCAGCACATGATAGGGCGGCAGCTCGATGTGTTGAGGGAAAAAGTAGACCAAGGGAAAGCTGTGGCCTACCAAATATCAGCTAGCAGCGTCGACCAATACAACTGCATCCGGAAGAGGTGGTCCTCGCCTTGAGAGCACGCTCTGCGCAACTTCCCACAAGAGCATATCTGAAGAAAGATTAAAGCTTCGAATGCATCTAGTTGTGGCCACTGCACAGCAGACCCTGAAACACTTGCGCATGTGCTTAACCACTGTCCCCACTGCCTTAAAAGCAAGACCAAAGAAAGACATAACGAGTCTTTGAACGGGATTACAACAGCACTAGAGCCCCCTTGATAACTGTTGCATTAAAGTGCCACTGGAGCTGCCAGCTGTCAAGGGGGCACATCTGCAGTGTTCAGCAGCTGTGATCTCCGAACCGTCAGTAAACGTTGCGATGGTCGTTCGTCTTGGGGGTATCCCGCAACTAGAGGAAGCTGTTTCAGCTCTAAAGCATATCTGCGAAGCCCTAGGCAAAACTGTGTGCCTTGACAGGCTCGTCGAAACGTGCTGCATGTGATTTGTTCCATAGCGTAATGCACGTGGGAGCATCCTTCGCCTACGTTAACTCACTCACGGTGCTCTCAGAATGCACATACGATCATTTCCATTCTCGGTCAAGCTGTTGCTGACACAAATTCACCCACATCGTGGGTTGCATATATCAGGCCTCCCCCACTTCGCAGCATCACTAGGAAATTGGGGCACTGTGACAACTATTCCTGGAGACCAGAGGCTTCTTTTTGATACTTGTATTTATTAGATTATCTCCGTCTTAGATCATGACTGTAGCATAGTCCATCCGCACTTGTCAGAGGAACACTACATGACTCCAGTAGACACCTTTCTTGTAAGCAGGTAGCCTGCACGCTAGCATAAGTCTACTACAACGACTTGTCTATAGCCTTACTTCGTGCACCAAAGAATAGCTGGTCCTGCCTTCATGTGGAGCCACCGTGCCGCGTGAGATGTGGCTCGGTGCGTTGCAGCTCGTGCCAGGCTGTATCCCCCTTCCATCCTCCTGCCGCCCTGAGAGCAGGGGCTGAAGCGCTTGGAACTGGAGAAGAAGGGCCAGTTGCATTTAATGAACTCTCAACTTAAGTATTTCGACTCAGTTACAGCTTACAACTTCCCCTTTCTAATATACAGGACGCCGCTGTGCAAATGAAGCTCTCAACAGCGGTCGGATTGGATCCGCGATTCGCGTTACAACGAGTTTCGACTAAAATTGAGCCTCTCCTTACGGAGCACATGAAAGCATCTACCAGTCATAGTAGGATTAAACGCTGTTGCTTCCCATGGGACTAGTTACCTATGGAACTCCTCAGCATGGTGATGTGGGATTGAACGATATTGGCTACGAAGTGCTTCATTAAGCTATTGTCACCTTCGTCCGTATTTCATGTTTTCTTGGTGTAAACGCCTGTTGTTTCAACTTCCCAAACGTGAGTGGAAAGGCAGTCGTAGGCGGTTCCCAGAGGACGAATTTTAGGCGTAGTCGCTCCTACAGCAAGAGGAGCGCCAGCGCAGCTGTTACGTTGGCCCGGGTGCCGATTGCGGCGTACGATTGGGTGCAAATAAAATATATTGAATGACTTCCTGGAAATAGCAAGTACTAATTGAAGATGAACCCTTCAGGAAGGGCGCCATTTCGCCGGGCACGTGAGACTGAACTTCTTCCTGCAAGCGCGTTGCCGCGCTATGCACACGGGCTCATCCAGCCCCAAACACTGCCACCTGTGTCTTGTTCGTTTTAGGCACAGTCCCGCTGCTATAGAATTAGGTAATTGAGCTCGTTTCTGCTCGAACTTATGTTTCTATTGTTCCATTTGACTTTTTCTCTGCGTTCCAGGCGTACTGGACAACGCCCGCCACTACAACTTCGCCCCTCCTGTGCCCTTCACTCGGCCGCGTATGCGTGTGAGCTGAGTGAGCGTGATATCTAGCTATTGATTGCTTCAGCTGCATCATCTGTGAAGTCCTCTTATGGGTCTCTTCCTCTGCACTGTCCCCTGCCTACGGCCTCCCGCCTCCCACTTCCCACAATGGCGTGCATGCTCATGAAGTGCGAGACGAAAAGCAGCCGCGTGAAAGGCGTTGCCTTCCACCCGACCCTTCAGTGGTGCCTAACGGCGTTGCATAATGGGGCCATTCAGCTTTGGGATTACCGCGTGGGCTCCTTGGTGGACCGCTTTGAGGAGCACGAGGGTACGCAGCACGTGCACAACTACATAAAGCCAAACCCACGTACCGTACAGATTAGCAGACATTTACGCATCCATCTGCCAAAGAAAAGTGCAGCGTAAATCGAAGACATCGCAAGTGGACGCAACGGGTCGCGAGACGGAGACACCATAGGGTTTTTTGGTAGTGAGGGTGCCGTGTCGTGGGGATCTGTTGAAGCATGATGCCACTTGAATGGTAGATGATGCTCTGCCTACGTTCGGAGACAGAAATAGAGTTCCACACACCCAAGTTTTGTTACCACAGGCTTCAAATGCCTTGGGCCGACTCCAGGCCATGCTCCGACAGTTGTTGATACTTCTGTTGGCTTGGGGACAACTTATGACTGCATGTGTATACACAATAAGTGAAATTCTCTCATGTATGACTATTGACTAGTTCATGAGAGTGCGTCGGCCTAGTTTTCGGGTTCATTTGTGCGTGCGTGGGTGCACATACTACCCTAACCCCGTGGGTGTTTGCGTCGGAGCCTCTTTTCCTGTTCGATTGTGCAGTAGATTCTGCCACTAGTCTTATTTGGCAGACCACTAGAGTGCATCTACGGAGCCGTGCTCGGTTGGTATCCTTACGAGGATTTAAGTCCGGGGAAGGGCTCGTTTCCGATCCTGTGAATGACGAGCAGGGCAGAACACGGAGGTGACACTAGCCACTTCGAAGTGCTTCATTTCTACGTATGTATGCATCCTGCACTACTCTCTGCCGCTCTTTGTTTCAGGTCCTGTCCGCGGCGTGGATTTCCATGCATCGCAACCTCTCTTTGTGAGCGGTGGCGATGACTACCAAATGAAACTGTGGAACTTAGTACAGCGCAAATGTATATACACCTTTTCTGGCCATCTAGACTATATACGCACGACGTTCTTTCACGATGTTTACCCCTGGATTCTCTCCGCCTCGGACGATCAAACGGGTACGTCTGTTCTGTCAACATTTTTAGTATACGTTACGATGCACGTGGACTTCTAGTAGAAGCACGTAGGCGACGTGCAGTCGCGTGAGCGCTACGCAGAAAATACAGACAGTCAAGGAGGGGCATTAGCTTGAAGCTTCGGTGTACATGCGCAGACGGCAGAGCAGCGATTTGTATTCACCCCGTAAGAGTTTCTGTCTGCTGCGTTCGGATTGCCATGTGTCTCTGCCCGTTTCTGAGTCCTTTCCTCTTCCACAAACGCCTGCCATGGAAACGAATCATCGCACTAGCGGTGCATCACTTTCATCGGGACAAGGGGGCCACTTGTGTTGTGCATTTGAAGTGGCATGCATGCACTTTCATGCACTTCTTCCATGCCTATTATTATTGACCTGTCGGCTCTAAATTGAGGTGTCGTCTTCGTGCGGTGTTCGTTTCTCAGTGCGGATTTGGAATTGGCAGTCACGCGCATGCTTGGCCGTCTTGACCGGGCACACGCACTACGTTATGTGCGCTCGCTTCCATCCAACTGAAGACCTGGTGGTTTCTGCTTCTCTAGACCAGACACTGCGGCTGTGGGACACTTCCGGGCTTCGGGAGCGTTCAGGAGGGGTTGTAGGGGCTGTGGGTCGCAGCGGCAGCAGAAGCACCGCCCATGGAGATATATTTGCTGCTACTGATGCTGTTTGCAAGCTCGTCTTGGAAGGCCATGAGAGGGGTGCCAACTGGGCGACCTTCCACCCCTCGATGCCCCTCATTGCTTCGGCAGCTGATGATAAGTTAATTAAGCTCTGGCGGTAGGTTTCACAGAATACGTACGATGGAGAAGTGCGTACAAAGGGGGAATGTGGGAACGGGAACCGCGAACGGGACTGGATTTTGCTATCCGTGTGCCGCTGGAGTTCCATTGTTTGGGGTCCCTGTGTACTCGGCATCTGCAAATGGGTGCCTTGCTCTCCTAGCATGCGGGCCTGGTGTGCGGCGATGTCCCAGAGTTCGGGGTGGGCGCTGTGAGGGTCATTTTCAGGTACAACTCTGTGAAGGCGTGGGAAGTGGATACACTACGTGGGCACAGCAACAACGTGTCTTGTTTGGTTTTCCATCCTCACCGCGACTTGTTGATTTCGGATTCCGAAGACAGAACCATACGAGTCTGGGACGTTTCGCGTCGTACCTGCCTCCACACCTTCAGGCGAGATATGGACCGCTTCTGGGTGCTGGCTGCCCACCCTACTTCAGGAGCCATCGCTGCAGGTCACGACGGAGGGATGGTGGTTTTCAAGTTGACAACAGAGAGGCCACCCTCATGCATGTGGACGGGGCACGAGCTGCTGTATGTGGCAGAGAGGCGACTCTGCTGGATAGACGTCGCGGTGCTGCTGCACCAACAACAACAGCAACAGCAGCTCGAGGTCATGCTCGGGGAAGTTAGAAGGCCTCCGAATGCCCTTGCTAACGGTCCCAAACAACTTCTTGTGAACCCTCTTAACGCTGGAGAAGTTAACGCTGTTGTGGTTTATGTACGTCATCGGTTGTCTCGCTTGAGGCGTCATTGCATTCTCCGCCCCCGGCCCCTCCGTATTACATTGGCATGTGCATCTGGGCGGTTTGCAGGGATCAGTCATTCGTGGGGGGAATGCTCCTTCGGTATTGGGGTTGCGCTTTGTCTTGCCCGCTGCAGACGGAAGGCGAAAGCCTTTCCTACGACTTTCTTTGTGGGCCCCGTGCAGATGGCCGGGGGGCCCCTGCCGCTGGATGTCTATCACAAGTTGCACAGGTGAAGCGCCAGGAGGCAATTGGCCTACTTGTTGAAGTGCCATGGGCAAAGTGAAGTTGTCGGTGTGTATGGTTTTGTGCGTTTGCTTGCTTAAGTGATTGCGAGTAAATGCGAATGAACTTCTGCCCGATTTGCAAGGGGGCAGATTGATTACTCGAAGATATCGTCTTCCCTGTTTCCCTACGTGATCGTTTGTCCGTTGCGCATTTATAGTAGATGCTGCATCATTTTTCATCATTGCATCCTTGCACCGTTCTTGGATGCCTGCACGTGGCTACGCATGCAACGCTGTGCTGTCTTGAGTAGCAACTCGTACAAGTGGCAGTAGTGGTTCCTTCGATAGCATTGTGCACGCTATAAGGCTTCAAGCTTGCAGATAGTGGGACGCACGTTCTGGGTGGAGGTTGGGTGTGCGTCGCTTAGGGGGCGGGTTTGTCCTTCGCATTTATCGCCCGCAACAAGCTGGCCATCTTAGAGAGCGCTCCCAATGGCAGCTGCCTAAGAGTTCAGACGGCTCCATCAGCTTCTTCTCACGCAGGACATGCCACGGCGGACGCCGGCCGCATTGAGCCCTTGCCGGTTGCTACCGACAAGATATTCTTTGCTGGGCCCAACAGGCTTATCCTGCTGGGCGAAGACAAGGTTAGTCCAACAAGCAAAAGCGAAGACGGCATGCAGCCACAGTTAACCAGCGCAGACTTTGCAACCTGGTGGGAAAATGCGGCAAGCAGCCAAACGCAAGACACCGCTCGTTTTGTCACACTAGTGTAACGCTCGTGGTTCGGCGATTTTCGGTGCGCCTACTGGCTGTTGTGGGCAGCCCATTTTGCTGCAGCAGAGGCAGTTCAGCGTATGCATTCTTGCTGCATCTGGTTTTTCTTTGCAAGCTGTGTGCTCCACCACGAGAGTTATTCATTAGTGCCGAGTCCTTTTGTGTCTCGTTATGTTCTTGGCACACTACAGATGTACCTTTACGACGTCCCGTCGCGTCGTTTGTCTCCCCCATTAACGCTGAATATTGGGGGTCCCGTGAGGACAGTGACATGGGCACCAGACATGCAGCACTTAGCGCTGACTTCGAAACATTCTGTGGTATTGCTACGCGTAAACTTCGCGGCATTGTCCGCCTTGCCGGTCGGAGCCACAGAGAAGGGAATGGAAGCCCCCGACCCAGCTTTTAAGGTACTGGCGTCCCTTCACGAGAATATCCGTGTTAAAGGAGGAGTTTGGGACCCCGAATTCGGTGAGCTACCACGCGCATCAACCCTCCGTTACTGTCCTCTGATAAGTAGACGCACACGGTAGATGCTCTATATTTCGCACACATTTCAGGGACAGCATTTGATTTTGTTTTGTTGCCGTCTGCTGCTCTGCTTGCCTGTAGTCTACTGTAGGTAAGGTGTTTGCGTGCAGTAAACAGATGAAGGAAGTCGAATTTTACTGGCCGATCGCCTGCTTCTGCATGTGTGCGTACTACGGTGATTTGCTTTGCTTTGTGCAGGAGGTTTCATTTACTCTACACTGTCCCACGTGAAGTTCTGTATGACCAACGGAGACAGGGGAATCGTGTATAGTCTTTCAGAGTCCATTTACATAGTGGCGTGAGACGAAACTGTGTCGCAATTCGTTGGTCCTGCCCTTTGGTATCCCTGTAAAGCCTGACATTCACTTGAAGCATAGACAGTCTGGCGCCGGTGACGTTTTCATTGCTTCTTAAGAGCTTGCAACCAGCACGGTTTCCGATTAGCTGGAAAAGGAGAGGCATGCAGCGCTGTGTTCTCAAGCGTTAATTGTGCAGAATGTTCCACTGCGTCGGTGCTGTTGCGGCCGCAGGGTGATGCAGCAGCAGCTAATATATTTGGACAGACGTTCACAACTGCACTGCAGGGCGTTGGCGTGCAACGACTATCTGTTCAGAGTAGCGCTCAGCCGTCAAGATTACACAAGGGTGGGGATGGGCGTAGGGAGTAGTGTTTACATGCTTTTCGGCTGAGCTCTATGTCCCTTCATGGCTAGTTGTGAATGCAGCTTTTCTTTGAGAAATTGTACCCGAAGATTTCCCGTCCCCGTTTCCATCCCATTGCTGCTTCAGGTCGCCTTGCTTGTCCGCTATGGAAATCTGTGCGGCAATGCGCTCATCGGCTACTTGAAGGAGAAAGGTTACTCTGAAGTGAGCATGCATGGCTACTGATGATGTTAGTGTCTTTTGTTCTTGGTGCTGCGGTCAGTGCGACTAACTTGCTGCTTCTGCTTCTGGCGACTACGCCGTTGTGTCGTCGCTGTCGTCAGCTCTACTCCTGACATGGTTACTGCCGTTTTGCATCTGCGTAGCCTTGCTCTTGCTGCCGCTGTTTTCCGTTGTATCTGCTGTCCTGGCTGTGTCCACGGATGCATTCGCTTTCTTGCATGCCTTTTTTGTGGTTAGCTGTAGCGTTGTCTTCTTTGAGTTCGTTCGGCCATCCTCAGATCGCTCTCGAATTCCTGTCTGACTGCAAGTCGAAGTTTTTAATGTCGTTGGAAGTTGGCCGTATGGATGAGGCACTTGAAGCCGCAAAGGCATTGAACGATAAGGTGCGTTCTCAGCGAGATTTTCATGTCTGCTTCCCTCCGCACCCTGCTGCTGCCCACATTTAGGAATTTTGAGGCCTCCAGTTTGCTGTGTGGCATGTATATTGTTATTATGCACCGAGTGCGGTGTTCTACGTATGTTATTGACTGCATCACTGGTCTGGGGTGTTCGTGCAAAATTTGGTGGCCTCCACTACCAACTGTGTCCTTATTTGACTCCTCGATCCCCTTGGATGTTCGTCCGAGACGGGGCTAATGCGCGTACTACTCCACTGTAATTTTGGTATGCGTTGGGTTTAGGCTGGATGGCGATTGCTGGCGGATGCCGCAGTGCAGGAGGGGCACTTTGGCCTCGCTGAGATTTGCCTCCAGAAGCTCAAGGCATTTGAAAAGCTGTCGTTCTTGTATTTGCTTCTGGGGGATCGGGCCAAACTAAAGAAGATGCTTCATGTGTCAAAGTTGCTGCGGGAGCCTCTGTTGCGGCAGCACCAAGCCTTGCTGCTGGGAGATGCAGAGGAGCGAGTAGACGTTTTCATGGAGGCGCAGCAACCAGGACTGGCATATCTTTGTGCGAAAGTGCATGGCCTGGACGAGTTAGCTGAACAGCTGAGGGGTTCCGTAGATGAGAAGGACATTGAGGAATTCCTGCCGAAGACGCCCGTAGCTCTATTTCCCCCTTTGCCCGTCATGAGGTGACCTGCGAAAATCATGGATATTGTCGCACAATCATGCCTACTGTGTGCACGCGAGAAATGTGTTTATTTGCGCATACACCTCCAGTGTTTACGCGAATGCTGCTTCATATCATAGCATATCGAAAGGTCTACCTGTGGGTCTGTCAGCCGCCGGGCGTTTCCCGAGGTGCGTTCAATTTGATGTTTTAAGAGGTAGTCGATTTGAAATCTTCATCTCACTTGTTTTTGTGCAGATTTGGGCCGGGAGAGGCCGCCACTTGGAAGCCTGCAGTATCAGGAGAATTATCTCCCTTTGCTGCTGCCCTACGTGCTGTTGATGAAATGGATCCAGAGACCGCTCGGTTGATGTTGCACAAGGGTGAATTTCACGTTCTTTCGTCTCCTGCGCATCGACCGGTAGACGCAACCTGCTAGTTAATGCGGCAAGAAAACGAGTAGTCATGCTTATCAATGGGGACGAGGAAATGGCGAATGATCAAGTGTCTGAGGCTTCCCAGGGCAACAGGCTCCGTGGAATGCGAAGCGTGTGAGACGTGCAGACTGGTTGCTGTGTTGTACTTGCATTTGCCTGCGCAGGCATGGATACGAACGAGGCAGACGTGGCAGCTGCAGGGCGGGCCACTGGGGCGATGGGGGATTGGGCGGAGGCTCCGGGGGTTGGCAGCGATGAACTGGAGGACTTTGCCTCCGTCGGCGCAGCGGCAGAAGGGGAGTGGAAAGATGCCATTGATATTGGAATGGATGATGAACCTACAGTTTCTTGCGCTGGAGGAGCAGCGAGGGGCCATGGAATTATCAACGGGAAAACAGGGGAGCTTCATGGCGACACACCTGGAACAGACCCAACGGCCGCCTGGAGGCAGAAACCCATTCCTTCTGACCTTGTTGTCGCGGGTAGGGCAAGCACAGACTTGTCCAAGGCTCCCTGCCCTGCGTTCACGCCTGATGCAGACTTCCGTCGGGTTTGTGGTTAGCTTGCAGTGCAGGGTCGAACAGAATGGACTTTAGCTCATGTTTTGAACCAATCGCCGTCTGTGTTCGCCTTCCTTGGTATCCCGTAGAGGTGCATGCATGCGACTGTCTCTATTGCAACAATCTGTTTTATTGGGCCATGGGTTTTCTGCATAAACGCTTGACATGGCGAAGACGAGCTATTTGTCTATTTCAACTGCAGGGGACTTCACTGGCGCCATCCAGATGCTGCGGCGTCGTCTTGGTCTTCTGCGTGTTGCTCCATTTGAGGCTGTATTCCAAAAGATCTACGAAGCTAGCTGGGTTCAGTTGAAGGGCCACTCTTTTGCTCCACCACTCCAGTTACCTCTCACACGAGGACAGCCCTACAAGACAGCAGCCCCCCCCCGGCTGATCACCAGTGCATACCTGCTTACACAAGTCAGAGAAGCCCACAAACTGGTTACCGGTAAGTTCATGCATTTGGCATAGACGCTTCAGTGGGTCCACATGTTGTTATGCTAAGGGAATGGACTGCGTGCTTCTGTGTCTTGCAGGGGGCAAGTTCGCAGAGGCCCTCGCTGCGTTCCGTAAGGCCCTTATTACCCTTGCACTTGCAGTGGCAGAAAATCAAGAAGAGGAGCAACAGGTGAAGCACCAAGCGTGCAGTCTTTCAGTGCCTGATGTTCCGCTGTTGGTCGTTTCCTTGCAGTGGAGGCCTTCCAGTTGCCAGAGCCTTCTGGTTGTAGTTAAAATTCACGTTTCGCCTTCACGTTCAGTGGTTTTCTCATTCATAGTTGTTTCGTAGAGAATGCTCAAGCTGTCAGTGTTCGTTTGCTGTTGTCGCTGCAGTTGCTGGAGATGCTGGACATCTGTAGGACCTACATCACCGGCATGAAATTGGAAACAGAACGTCTGTCCCTGGCAGAATCTGACGCACAACGCAGTACGCCAGCCGTTTGCATATAATGCACAAACACATCTGACCCTGATACTGGTTTTTGCTTTGAAAGCTGTTTTAAGCCCGTGGTGGGAGCGTGGATGGATGGATGCTTATGTTTCGCGCGCTGTGGAGAGCAGTGTGTTAGCCTCCTTGGAATCTAGTGATATTTCCTCTCCAGATGTCTTCGCCTTTGGCATTTCAAATTTTGCTGCATGCAGACCTGGAGCTTGTCGCATATTTCAGCTGCTGCCGCCTGCAGCCGTCACACTCCTTCCTGGTTCTCCGTAGAGCAATGAGTGTAGCATGGAAGGCACAGAATTTCATCACTGCTGCGTCGGTACGTCGGCATATTCCCTTAGGGCATATGTGTCTGTATGCACGGACCACAAGCACTTAAGCGCCAAATGTATCTCCTCTCCGGTTGAAGGAGTAGGGCTGTGTTGGAGGTTGCGGTCTTGCAGTTTGCCCGTCGACTACTCTCTGGAACGTACTCGGGTTTAAAGGGCGCACCAGAAGAGCTGGCAAAGGCGAAGAAGGTCCTCCTGCTTTGCGAGCAGAAGGGAACAGACGCTATTAATATAAACTATGAACCTGGAGAAGCAGGTGAGCATCAGCATACTCTGGAGAGGAAAGCGTCGCAACACAGCTTGGCAGTGGTCCAAAATGCCGTCCATCTCCAGCAAGAGTTTACGTCCACTCGCTTCAGGTCGTCGGGAATAAGACTCACAGGGGTGTCGTACCAGGACGGTGCAAATAGGTGACTGCAACACGGTTATCCCTCCTGTCTGTTGCTTCAGAAAATATGCTTCTCTGCACGTCGACGCTGACGCGGCTGAACCCAGGCACCCCTGTTGTTCGCTGCGGTTTTTGTGGGGCAGTGGCCCAGCAGCGTCTCCAAGGCGGGTTGTGCAGAGTTTGTGAGGTTTCGGAGCTCGGCGCCAGAGTGAGCATGCAAGTCCCAGTTACTGTACCACTCATGTGTGCCCTTAAGTGGCTTAATTGTCCCAGGATGTAGAAATGCAGCCCAGTTGGAGTGGTTGGTTGTTCCCTCTCTTGTGTGTGTGCGGCTGCTACTTGCAGGTGGTTGGCGTTCAGTTCCTCCCCATTGTCTGAGCTGCGTGGTAGCTAGCTGCACCTAATCAGGAAAGGCAAGAGTCTTTCCTCGACCCACGCCTACATTGTGCTAGTGGCGGTTGTATTTGTAGCAAGTCTTCGATTGTGCCAAGTTTAGTCAGATATAATTGTGCAATGTTCGAAAGTGGAAAAAGAAAAAACACTAAGATTCAGACCACCACTGTAGAGCTGCCTTTTCTTTTTATGCCACACGCGAAGTGGTGACTAAAATAACACTTCCCATGAGTAGACATGGGAAGAGTGTGATTTGTTTGTGTTGAGGATAAGGGAAAACGAACATGGCGCAACCGAATATGCGGCACAACTTGCTGCAGCGTGCAGTAGTCGTTTCTTCGGCTGTATGGAGAGCTCTTCTGTAGTGACAAAGTTAGTCATATATGCTCTAGCTTTTCCGTGTGCTACGAACACGTCATTTGCCAGAGGCGTCTAGCATATCAAGAAGCCAGTCTCGTTTCAGTCTGCATCCCAGCTTGGAAAAGTTGGACTGCGGCATCGTAGCTGTAGCGCAGAGACCCAGTTTTGATGGCTTCATAAAAGGTGCTCGTTTGACTTCATACGGAAGCCACCAAACATTTCTCACCTTTTCCCGCGTTCTGGTGTTCCGTGAGCCGCCGCGAGCCCCATTGACAGGGGAGCTGAATTCGAGAATTCGGCTTTCCTACGGGCAGCAGCATCCTCCGCAGCCCCAGCGGCATGCCTTTGTAGTACATGAGGACAAAGTTTACATCACAGAACTTGGCTAACGGACCTCCGCATTAGTCGTGAACTGCGCTTCCAGAACAGCAGGTGACCAAGGAGCTGAGGAACTACGGTCATTCGACGCTGGGCATTGCTTCACAAAGAGAGTCCCACGCCACCCGAAACTTGACTGCAGCGGTCACTGAAGTTGTCGAACGGCCCGTGCTACAGGACCGTTACGGTATATGTGAATAGAAATGTACATGAGCTGCGTCTTTGTCACGACCAGGACGCTGAAGTAAACGACAATGCTGGATTGACGACACGTTTCTAGTGGGGAGGCGCCCCCCATGAAGCACGCAGTCTGGGGCGCTGCGGCAGGCGACGATTCTAAAGAGACGGAGCAGATTACAAATCCTAGTACCTGAATCGTTTGGTATTTGCGGCATGCATTGCCTCCGACCGTCCTGTATACGAGCTTGTGCGACTGCTTTGCGAAATCGACCGAGCTAGCCCGTCTCCCAAGGCGTCTGTTTCCATCTCGTTCTGTGCCTCGCCCTCCGGTGCATGCAAGCGGGTGATACGCCACTTCCACTTGCGTTCCTCGTCACTCCAATCGGCGACAGCCTCATGATCAGGCCCCAACTCCCCTGAGCAATTCCCAGAAAACCCAGTCGACACGAGGTGACGTCACGTACAAGGATTAATAACAATAACCACCCCACAATAACGCATATGCACAAGAAAGTATAAGCGCACGTATGCACTAGGACTGCGCTCCTGTGGTATATCGTCAAGGTATGGAGGAGAAAAAGGGGTGAAAATAATGCGGAGAAAGAACGCGTGTGCTATGTGCCTTGTTGCGAACCACTGAGTAGCATGACGGATAGGTCAGATACAATATGCTTCTCTAGATATCGCTTGAGTGGTCGAGCCCCGAATGCTGGATCAAACGCCTCTTCAAGCGCGTGCTCTAACGCCCTATCTGTCAGCTGCAAGTCAATGCGTTTTTCGCGGAGACGGTGCCGAACTTCTTCAACTTGAAGCCGCATCACCTGCACAACGATGTAGGATCGAACGGGGGCAACAAACGGCAGATATACAATGCCACAATGCTTAGTGACCGTTGTCGATGCATGGGCACATACACAGAAGACCCCCCAAGCCGCCAAGCCTCAAGGTGGAAACTTTAAGTGCCTCGGGATCAAGGTCTAGCAAGCTGTGGGATGGGAATGTTCCGCAGCGTTCACCTCTATGAGATCGCTGTTACTCAGCGCCTTGAATGCAACAATGTCATCCAGGCGATTGAGCAGCTCCGGTCTGAATAGTTGGCGCACTTCCTTCATCACTTTTGCAAAAGCTTCAGTAAATATTGCCTCTGCTTTATCCTGGCCTGCAAATCACAAACATCGTTTTTGGCATCTACGCGTCTTCTTCCTCTGGGCAAGATTAGTCAAGCCAAACGCATCTTGCATGCAAACGCAGAGGAGCGAATTTTCACGTTTTCTTGCTGGCTTAGAATGCTAAGGTCCATTGTACTAGTTAATTAACTGAACAAAGAGCGATTCTTACCACCTATGGAGCTTTTTTCGGCGGCTGCAAGGAGATGATGGGCACCAATGTTGGAGGTCAAAATGAGCAAACAATTTGAGAAATCAACTGTGCGGCCTTGAGAGTCAGTGAGGCGCCCTTCGTCCAGAACTTGAAGCAGCACGTTCCAAACCTGAAGACAAGGCCTCCAATACTTCATATGAAAGCTCCACACGAGCAAAACTGCATATATACAGTTAGCAACGGTATATTTGCATTTGACCGGGAGCGTGTGCGCTGCCCACTGTTATTCCATATGCTGTGTGCATATGCTATGAAGAGCATGTGCTGCATTCCCATTACTCTCACATATGCTCCGCCTCACCTGATGATGAGCCTTTTCCACTTCATCCAGTAATACCACTGAGTAGGGATTCCGCCTGACTGCCTCTGTAAGCTGCCCGCCTTCTTCGTGGCCGACGTAACCCGGTGGCGCCCCAATTAGTCGAGCAACGGAATGAGCTTCCATGTACTCTGACATGTCCAGTCGCACTATTCGCTCCTTTGTGTCGAATAATTCTTCTGCCACAACTTTGCATAGCTCCGTCTTCCCCACACCGGTCTGTTAAGAACGAAAAACAAGAGTACACAGACACAACAGGAGTTGCGTCAACGCAACCATAAGCGGAGATTCTTGGAGTTCCTACAGTGGCAGCAGTCGGAGACAAACTGACAAGCTGATTCACTACCAGTGTGGATTTCCACTGTTCTTCACAGATAGGGGCTGCCGCACCGCACCGGGCCCAAGAAGAGGAAGCTCCCGATTGGCTTATTTCGTCTGGCAAGGCCAGCAGCTGATCTCAAGATGGACTCCGATACGGCAATGACAGCTGGGAGCTGGCCGACGACACGCTGTGAGAGTTTTTCCCTAAGGCGCAGCAACCTTTCCTTCTCTGTTTGCGTCAACTTCTGCACGGGAATGTTCGTCCAGCGATGCACAACGTCAGCTATCTGTTCCGGTCCAACTACCTGTGCCGCAGTAAGAACGCAAAGCCAGACAGGTAGAGAATAATTCATTTCTTATTCGGGCAAACGCAGTTTTGAAAGCCAGATTGCAAGACGACAGACTGGACTGCTACTCCACGACAGGTGAAAGGCTTTACAATTCCAGATACTCCATTTCTTCTTCCTAAAATACATCGGAAGCCAAGAAGAATGTACCTCTGTTAGCAGAGGCTTGTGTGTCTTCTCATACATTTCCTGCTCCTTGCGTAGCTCCATCAACCGCTTTTGTAGTCCAGGGAGTGCGTCGTACCGCAACTCTGCCACAAGGTCCATCTGACCTAGCCTCTCTGCCTTTTCAATCTTTGCTTTCAACTCGTCCTCTTTCAAAGCAAGCTGCCGCAACTCATCAAGCGTTTCCTTTTCGCGCGTATACTGAATCTGAAGCGGTTTCAGTGTTTCTCTGTGCTTTGCAATCTCTTGACGGACCTCGGTGAGGCGCTCTTGTGAAGCAGCGTCGCTTTCCTTCGACAGGGCCGTCGCCTCCACCTCTGAAGCAAAGCACACACAACAAGCAACCGGGGCCCAGCTCCCGGTAGACTGCAGACTGCCTAGTGGCCATGCTCTCGCTAGGTGATGAGTGGCATAGGTGAGATATGCAGTACGAAGAAAGCTATGACGAGAGTTGCCCCTTGGCGGAAGCTTAGTCACAGGTTGTCCAACAATATCAATAGCGTGCCTAGCTGGAATATAAATCGCTCGAGGCGATCCATAACTTCTGGCTTGCTGTCAACTTGGACGCGGGCGATGGCACACGCCTCGTCCATGAGATCTATGGCCTTATCCGGTAGAAACCTGGAGGTAATGTAACGATCCTGTTGAAGCAATTCAAAGGATATGCAGCACCGGAAAGCAGAACCACCTACAAACTTGAGTTTTGTCAAGCAAAGACACCAACACCAACAGTTGTCACTACTCCCCATGTCTTGATGTAGTGCTTTCAAAGGCAAGCAGGCTAGAAGAGGCATAAAACCCAGCTAGAAGCCGGAGATGTTGTAGGGGACAATCTCACCGCCAGTTGAGCCGCTTCTACAAGGGCACTGTCCAATATTCGAACTCCGTGGTGAGCGGCATATCGATCTTTTAAGCCTCTAAGGATAGAAATGGTTGCAGAGACAGATGGCTCATGAACGTGCACTTGCTGAAAGCGCCTCTCAAAAGCGGCATCCTTCTCCACGTGTTTTCGGTACTCATCGAGGGTTGTTGCCCCGATGCAGCGAAGCTCCCCTCTGAAACAGAAAAGCATACAAGAGCCCATGCCAGCTTGGTGATCGATCATTTCATCAGACTTCATAATTAGCTGCATTTCATACACGACTCTACGTAAGACGGCGCAAGTTTCATGCGGCACACTATGAAGCTGAAGGGCGAAACACCAAGCTTCCTAATATGTCAGATATTTGGACACGCTAAGGAAAAAGTAGACTATCTGGCAGCTCCTAGTGTTCACAATCCACTATAGCAAGCCAGAACTACTCTTACAGCCGCCGTCGAACGCTAATAAGCACTTAGCAAGAGGTACCTGGCGAGCATTGGCTTCAAAAGATTTGCAGCATCCATGGCTCCGTCTGTCTTGCCAGCCCCCATAACCATGTGAATTTCATCAATAAAGAGAATAATTGAACCTTCTGCGTTCTTGACCTCCATTAGTACTGCTTTGAGGCGTTCCTCAAACTCCCCGCGGTACTTCGCTCCAGAAATAAGAGCTCCCAAATCAAGCGATATCACGCGGCAACGGAGTGACGACGGCACATCACCCTCGACGACCCGTCTAGCCAGACCCTCCACAATTGCGGATTTCCCTACACCTGAACATCAGACAATCAGCTGAAAAAGCAAGAATAATTTCAAGACCGCTGCGTCTCTAGATGGGTAGAGGTAGTCCAAACACAGGCACGGAGGAGATTCGTGCTCACCTGGCTCGCCAATCAAGACAGGATTGTTTTTCGTTCTTCTGCAGAGAATGCGAATGACCCTTCTGATTTCTTCGTCCCTACCAATCACGGGATCCAGCTTCCCTTGCTCCGCTAAGTCAGTGAAATCTACTCCGTACTTCGTCAGAGCGTCAAAGTTCTGATCAGCCCCTTCACCCGTGACTCGCGCTCCGGCACGAATCTTCATGCAAACTTCCTTCAACTTCTTGTAATCACAACCAGCTGCCTGGAGTGCATGCTTGACTGTGCGATTTTCACATACTGCCAACAACAAATGGTCGACAGCTAGATGAGTGTCCTCTGCGAGATACATCAACAATAGAAATTCAAGTTCCCTAGTTGCTGTTAGCATACAAAAACGAGCAATAACGCATAAGAAAGATTTCTGCATACTGAGAATATGGTGTGGGGTACATAATCCATAGTTACTCTGGTTTGTCGTATAAGAGCTTACTCATCTCTGTCTGAATGGTTTTCGCTTGACGAAAAACCGCTGTGCATGCATGATTCGGCCCGACGTATTCTGGTGGGGGATTTTGCGCCGGGAATTTCGAGATTTCTAGATCCACTTGCTCATGCAAAAGCGTCATATCTGCACCGACCTTCCGCAGAGCCTGGGTAGGAAGCTGCTGTGGATCTTGTAAAAGAGCAGCCAAGAGGTGAAGCGGATCAATTTGCGGAGCTCCACGTTCCCTACATATGTCCTGTGCTGCAGTGTATACCTTCCTCACCAACCCGGTCCACGACGATGGATCCATCTTTACCTAATTTGAGTTGTTATTCCTCTTGATTGCTTGATATTGTATTTTGATTTTTACGAAGCAGCTGAACCGGGAGTTTCGTGCGTGTGATGGCGGGTGTGTGCAAGACCTCGCTTAGCGAGCCAACTGCGCAGTCAGCTGACCATAAATGGATGCTCAGCATAAACGGGCCCTTACAAAGAAAATTGTTGAGTCAGTTTCAAAGAATTCGTTTTCAGGACTTTATTTTTGACGCAGCCACCAGCAGCGTGCGCGGGCGTTTTCAAGCCCACATGTGCCACGGAGTCACGCCGTGATAGTGGAGCGACAGCGCTACGGTTCCAAAGTGGGCTACTTCGCCATTATGTTACACTTCAATAAAGCTGGGATAGCAACTACGCAACTCATCAACAAAAATATGTTGTACGTGCACGCATTTCAGTTTCTTCAGTCAACGCGAGCCTATGCTAACCACGCCATTGGTTTCCTCTAATCGCTGCTGCACTGTCCTTAATTTTCTGTTACGTCCTGATTGAACTCCAGAATCATTAAGCATTAAGTACTTTCCTCCATTGGCTCACAGCTTATATCCTTCAGATGGAGTAGTCCGGTGGCTTCTGTGGCGACAGGACCAATAAACTAGAGGCCACGGGCGATTGCCGGGCACACGCCAGTCAAGCTCCAAATTTAACTTTCCTACTAACGAACTAAATTGAAAGTTCTTCTCATTCAGCTAGCTAGTTCAACGGCTGTTCAGCCTTTTATGCATTCTATTCAGTTTGTTCCTAACGCGTGAGAAGGCTTTGGCGTTCTTCCAATCTGCCAGAACCGTAGTTGCGTCGGCGCCAACCTGGGGGACAGTTCAATAAAATATAGAATGCACATATCCACGAAACCAAAGAAGGCATGTACAACTCACTTTCGGCCTTCAACATTCGCTACAAGCTATGTTATGGCTGGCTGCTCGTACAGATAGGCAGGAAACTACCATTTGAGCTACTCTAGCAGCTGATAGCCCGTTTACAAAGTGCTGTGTGTGCTGCTTTTATCGCCAATGGAACCCAGGGGAATGCACTGTGGGACTAGATGGGCAGTGTCTGAGGTGAATGCCCTCTGCGTCACAATCTGCCGCTTACCAGTTTGGTGCCCACTCCATACTTGAGAAAGAAAGTGGATCCCAGTCTATATTGGGGTTTTGCGTTGCAATCATGTACTCGATTTCAACTCCTTACTTCTCTATACAAATTTGACTGACCCGTTCAAGTTTGTATTTTGTGTTTCGGTGCATGCGCTTGGTTTGCTAGTGCAACGCCATAGCTGCATTCCTTGCATAGTTATTGTATTTCCAGAGTGGTACCTACTATTCCTTAATTGTCTCAGCTAAGCCTTCAGTATGGCGTACAGTTCTGGATGCCCTATACTTGCCAGTAGTGCCTTTCAATTTTCGTATACGGTTCGAGAATGCCCGAAACAGCGCTCCGCTTGTAGGAACTGCTTCCACTGCCACACGCGTGGTCTTGAAGACAGAATGAAAATCTAACAGAGGATTCTGGTTCAGCTGTGGTAGCCCATTCACCATTTCTATTGAAACGCCCTCTTTTGCACATCGTACGTGAACTGCATAGCTGCTCACCTGCGGTGACGCTACAGGGCTTTCCCAATATAAGCGATTTACCACAGTGCTTCAGCCTAAAATTTTTCAACAATCAGAATGAATATTCAAGCAACGTCTTACAACGGGAAGCAGAATGTTAGTACCCTCAATACTTTGCTGCTTCAAGCTACCCAATATGACAAGTGTAGCTCGCCTGGTGAGCGAACAGCAGAAAATCCCTCCTATTGAACGAAATGCATGCGTTGAATTGCGTGCAATAGGAGGAATCTTCTGCACAGTATTCATGGCTCTCATCACAAGCACAAACCACGGTTTATATATGCCTGTGGTATGCATTTTGAGTGATTACGCAGTTAAAAACACGCCGAACTCCAGAACCGTTCGGTCAACTCGACTTCAAGATAAAATTGTGCAAAAACGGCGAGGCGGAATACGTGTTTTCGCCGTATTACTACGAAGTTTCAACGGAACATGTGGAACGGTCCATGCACTAGTTTTACCATTCCCAATTTATCACGCGCTTCGAAGGGTTCACATCTCGCGGCAGGTCTTGCTTGAGACGTTGAGAGGCTTTGGGGCGGGGAAGAAGCAAACCCTTTGTAAGGCTCGTCCTCAGCGAGGGATGATCCAAAGGCAGTGCTGCTCCGAGGGTCCTCAGGAATAAGAGGAAGCTCTGCGCAGATCGTCGCACTAAACAAATGCGCAAGTCGTTCCACGGGCATGCGCTCAGCGTGACAAACAATCTCCAGCGTGCTTCCTATAGCTTGTGTCAAGGTGCTCCACATACAAGGCACCGTGCTGTGCATAACGGGCACCTCTTGGGTTGGTGCCAGTAGAAAATTGCCACCAAATTAGCATGAAGCTTGCAGTGTAGATTGTGATTCACCCTCAGTGCTTTATGCGCACACTGAATCTGGAAGTATTGCTCTGAGTGACGCTGTGCGTGCGCGCGCGTCAACTGCACTTACATTCCATGTTGGTGAGGCGTCAGCAAGTGCATGTGCATTGCCTACAATAATGAGACCTCTGCTGGCCCTCGACAATGCAACATTAATCCGTCGTGGGTCAAAGAGAAAAAACTCCCGTAAATTCTGCGAAAATCAAACACTTGAAGGTTGGAAGAATAAACTGGGTACAAGAGGCATCCACACCATAGCATACATGCAAAAAGCTCGCTTCGCTTGGTGGACAAAATGCGAAGTACACAAATGCGTTTAGAGAATAAGTAGTGTAACATGAATGGATGTGTAACAGCACGTGTGTATACTTCTGTAGGCTTGCCTATCCACAGTGTGCAGCCAATGCCAACAAGCTACGGATTAGGAAAGTCCCAATGACCTGCAAAACATACCTTACGAGACGCCTTTACGGTAGATAATATGATGTACTCTCTCTCATGGCCTTGAAATCCATCAACTGTAAAGACCTGCGGGTGCGGACGGCACCTCTCGTCCAGTACGTCAAACGCCTGGATCGCACCGGTACCACAACATACGGAGAACAGCACCCAAGTACAGCACATCGGCAAAAGGAAGTCAGCCAGTAAAAATTGTTCCGCCTCAATCTGCTGGAAAAAGTGTCAACCAAATAACAGCCACCATAAAGTTTAATGCCCCCCACTAACTTCAGCAACCTCACTGGCTGAACGAATGAGAGCCGACTCGACCGCTTGACGCTCCCTCGGGAGTTGTGCTCCCTCTCCTGAGTTGGATGAACACAGGATAATTGCAGCATTACCAATAAGGTCGGGACGTTCGAGAGGCTCCAGAAAAGACCCGCCTTTACAGCTTCGGTAGAAGCAACAGTACCTACCACGGGGTGCAGAACGCGAGAAAGGAGCTGCGCTTGAGCCTGGTATGGTGTCAGAACTGCAATATCCTTTTTCGAGGTACCGCAACTGAGTAACACTTGCACGCACTTGTACACCATGAAAGCCTCCCTAAGTAACAGCAGAAGAAAAAACATCCGAGAAGAAACAGACCACAGCAGCGTGTGCAAACGAATTCCCTCCGAAGTTGCCAGCCATAATTTGCCTGGCATCAGATACCCCATCCTAGGAGTCAACCCAACTGTAGTCTAGTTCAGTCTAGTTACTACCAGATGGCAATTATGCAAGGTCCTAACCACAGCATTAGAGACAATGTGCAACGGCAGGGCTGAACTTCTGATTACGGACAGCGGATTTTGGAGGGAGCTTTTGACGCGTTGCTCCGCAGGTAGGCTCTTCAGCAGTGTTTTGCATCCGTCTGCACTACGTGTTAATCCTGCAGTACCCGAAGGATCGAAAGTTTCCGCTGTGCCTCCTGGTGCTGAAGAGGGCAACGCGACCTTTGCCAGCATTCTGCAAGGTCGTGATGCCCAAGGAGATGTGTCCAAAAACAGAATGGGGAGGACGTCAGGCCAAGGGGATGCATGCAGCTCCTGCACCCAATGAAACGGTGGGGCTGAGTGTTCTGAAGATTTCCCCTGCACTCCTAGCTGCTCCAAAAGCCTCTTAGCAAGATCTTTGTCTCCTTCACTGCCGTCAGGCCACGGGAAACGATATTTATCCTGACTTGTCTCCAGCGATTTAATTGCAACCGTCTGATTCCCTCCGAATGAATATTTGCAGTGAAGCGAGGCCATCTTCCCAAATATGCTCCGCGGGCCAACGCTGCATTGACTAGCCACTCTACTGATATTCGAAGCTGCAACTGCATGCTGTGGAGATTCCACAAGCGGCGTCAAATCGACGCCTTCGGGCCGCCGCTGAAACTGCTGCTGGCTCTTTTCAGCTTGGTTCGACGGCAGTGGGAACCCGTCAACGGACAAATTGCACGTTCGAGAAGGGTGCGTTAGCAGTTGTCCCTCATAAAAGTGCGAAGATATAAATGCGGCTAGGAGTGGAGGCATTCGGAACTGAAGATTCAGCAGAACCGACTTACACGCGCCGCCTGCAAATCCAGCCGCAGCACATCCGCTGCGCCCCTGGATGATGAAACGCCCAAAAATAAACGAAAAACAAACCAGCTAAGTGCCCAATACTGAAGATCTTTGCTGACCTTTGAGGGCACTAAACAAGGAGCGAGGCGACGCTGATGCTGCCAGAGCTGATGCAGGTGGCAGTTGCCGCTCATCGCCAATCAGCACCACCTTTTCAGCGCCGTTAACCAAAGCCCCAAGGCCTGCAAACTCTGTAAGAGAGAAGCACCGTCAAAAGAGCGTTTATCCAAAACCTAAATAAAAACTTTCGTATATGTGGGGTGATACGCGGGATGCGCCTGGCGTGTGCACGGAGGACCAAGGGGAACGGCGGGAGGCCGAAAATGTCGCTACACGAAAACATCGAACACCACAGCTTGCTTCGCAGCAAAAGCCAGCAAACGCCTGGCCCCAGGCATCCGCAGATAGCATCTTCATTCAAATGAGTGAACTCTGGGCAATGGCAAAAGGTTAGCGGAAGTGAGGCCAAGAAACGCATTAGTCACTAAGGTGTTTGGAAGGAATAGGTAGTCGCAAGAAGAATGGACTAAAGAGGCAAGCTAGAAAAGGCCAAGGAGCCTAAAATCATTCACACGGATACATCAGCAGAGTACGAGAGAGGCCAGCACGAATGAACAAGGGAACTTGCTGAGGATGAGCACGCCTGAAACCACCTAAGGTACTCTGTTCAAAGAGAAGCAGAAGCACGGTGGCTCAAGCAGCTATTAAATTAAGTACGAAATGATTACCGGTAAGCTGCGAGCTTTCATCTACAAGAACCCGACGAGGTTGCAACTTCAGCTTGGCTAGGCGATGGCCCTTTGTCGCACATTACCACAGCAGATACATCCAGACCATGTTTCAAGAGCAGGAAATCCATGGACAGCAACTGAAAATAGTCAGCTTTAGGGACGGGCCAAGGGATTCAAATGAGAAACTCAGCAGAGGCAGCCACAAAACATAGATTGTCCCTACAGCTGCCAAGGGCGGATCCAGCAATAAAAGTGTCAGCAGTAAAACCAGCGAACTTCCGATTTACCTGATATATTGTATCGAGCAGCACAAGTGCCTACGCATCCGCCCCGCAGCATGTGGCAACAACCAATGCGCATCTACAATTCTTGGAAGCAAGTCTGTGCTGAGGCCTCAAGGTGACGAGCTAAAATGGCATTTGGTCTCAACGTGAAGTAAAAGAGTCAAAAGAAAGGGTTCTTGCGTACTCTGTGTGGGGGCGATGATGCCTGGAGCGCTTCCAGTACCGCTTCTTCGTCAGAAAGGCGAATTGTCTGTACACCTGGAGTCGCGAAGCAAGCAAGCAGCAGCAACTACTGAGGCCGAGCTGGATGCACTGCAGCACGTGGGGTGCTATCCTTGCTGTGGAGTATCCAAAGCAACTGCAGCAAAAGCCCTAATGTGCAAATGCGTTGCGGTGTACCCTCCTGGTCAAGCTTGTTCTTGAGAGAGCGAAGTGCTGCGTGCGTCCCTGCAGCAACGAAAATGGGAGCTCTACACGCGCATTGGGCGTCCTCACACCGTGTTCCTGAATGGAACGTACATGCCGACAGCCATTCGCGAACTATAGAGGCAGCAACAGCTGTCTTTCCCGTTCCCGGAGGCCCTGCAAAGGTACAGCAGCACACGCCAACAGGACCAGAAACCAGCTCACCAAAGTCATCAGCCCTTCTGCTGCTGTGTGGAAACGCGTTCCCTTGTGGGTTAACAGTCACCAACCGAGTATGCTACAAATGAATTCCAATAGATCCTTTGGAGCGCTTTTGGCGCTAACTGCATTCCAGAATTGATGAATTTGGTTGGCCTGCCTTCTATAGTCACGATGCGGGTCCCTTGGGTTGTAGCTGCAGAGACGGCTTCACGCTGCCTGGGCGTAAGAAAGCTTAAAGAGGTTTCCGAAGCCATCCCCTGCACTTCTGAGATGTGCGCTGCAGCTGATCCTGATACACCAGAAAGTCCAATCCCAGATAATGACGTGGCTACTTGTGCACCTCCGGCGGAACAGGACGATGCTGGTGAAGGAGGACCTCTGCTAACTTGAACAGATTCATGTGTATCTTGCCCCTCTGTAGCTGTCAAGACTTCCAAAATACGATTTCCACGTGGGTAGGCGGCTGACGGTGCTTTCTCTTCTTCCCTTGCTGATGCTACTGCACGAGTTCCTTCAAGCAACAGCTGCATTGAAGCACTTTCGGCCAATTGTGCAAGCGCCTCTACCTGACGAGCGTGGACCGCTGCAATAAACGATACAGGCATTGCCCAAAAGCGCGCCCCTGGAGAAAGCGAGAAACCTTCACTCCGCAAGTGCTCCCTTTTAGGCTTTGTGGAATTTTGGCGAAATAAAGCAGGTCCCGCTGCATCGGCAGCTGGTGCGTTGATGTCGTCGCACGAGCCACAATCTCCATGCGCTGATTCTGGAAAGGGGTGCACACGGACTTTAATATTCGGCAGTCTGCTGCTGCTACATACGGATGCAATGAAGGCCGGGGACGCCAACGCAAATCTGTTGGCTCTCCAAGATGTTGCCTGATAAGAGCACACACATTTTTCATCCTTACACAGCTGCTGAAGTGGTCAAAACTCCTAGAAAAAGGACACGAACAGCTATAGTCTTACATGCACCGCCAACAATAGCAACAACAAAAATGAAGAGGTCAGTCACGGTTTTACCATCTTACCGTTTCCAGTTGTTTCAGCACATGCTCGAGCTCCTGCTGCTGTTGCACATTACTTATCAATGAAGGAGAATTGTCTACTGATGACTCATTGACAAACGATGTGCCGCAGGTTTGTGCCCTCCAGCATGCTGTTTTTGTTACTGTTGCTTTGATTGCCTCTGATGACGTTTCACAATCGGGACAGTTCATGGGGCTCCGAAGTAATTCATCCGCAGACACGAGGAGGGTGCGGCCACAGACCACGCAGCGGATACGGTACTTCCCCCCTCCATTCTTTAGCAGCTTCTGCAGTGACTGTGGCACGGTCAGCTGTTGCATTTGCTTCAGGCTCTGTCCACCACTTGTGTAGACAGACATCGTCCCAGATACATCTGAGCGTGAAACCATTAAAGCAGAAGCTGACTCTGCTGCGGCAGCTGCTGCTTGCTCCGTAACACAAGAGAAGTCAAATGAGTCACCATGAAGTAACTGAAGCTCTTTTGCCAGCAACGCTGAAACCTGTGTTCACAGTACAACGCCCCTGATAAACACTGGCTACACAACGGCAGGAAGCAGGCAGACAAAAATCACGCGATGCAACAGATCAACACCGGGTTGTGCAAGAATAGCACTTGCCACACGACGAACAGCAGAGGTGAATTCTACAGCGGCAGCATCATCAACAGTTCCCAACGCAACACAACAGACTTCGTCAACGGGCTTCAGAATGAGGAGAGACCCGCTCTCCAGCTGTTGCCAAAAGCTCTTCTGCCGGCTAGGCGGCGCATGCTGGGGCCCATCGATGGCCTTGAATGTCCATCGGGGGGCAGCACAACCAACACGCGGAGGCGCACCTTGCCCCGTGGCCTCAAGGAGGAAGCTGTCGGCACAGTCAAAGTCCCGTAGACTCTGTAGCAGCATCAGCATTAGCAACAGCAATGCACCCATTCATGCACTTGGCCCCGAATCGTGGCTAGCTAGGACTAGGTACCTAGCTCCATCACAAGTATAAGACACTAATGCCTCCGAAACCCTGCAGTGCAAGCGAGCAGAAGTGGAACTGCTGAAGCAGTACACGCGTAATGCCCACCTGCATCAACTGTGCCCCCTTTTCCAGGGCAAGCATAGCCAGTCCGCCCTCCACATACGCCAGACGACGGGCAACATCCTCAGCTGCTACTGAATTCACATAAGAAACCACTGCGCTGTGTCCAGAAGTGCCTGCAGGTCCGGTAGCTGTGCCCAATCCTGCTGCATGCTCTTCTAGTCCCAGCCGGACACGTTGTCTTAAAACGGAGACGGAAGCTTCCGTCGCATGTGGATGAAGGGCCGCAGTCTCCAGCAGACGCAGTAGCTGCCGGAAGCTAACGACAAACTCCTTACGGCCTGCAGCAGTAGCATTGGAGGTTATTACAGCAGCACCAGAAATGTGGGCAGCAACACAGGTAACATGGCGCCATTCGTATCAGTAACATGAATGACAGAAGCCGGCAAACAACCCGTCTTGCATAAGCCCAAACGGTCAGGGGAGATCTCGGCTCTTCAGAAACACAATGCACAGCAGTGAATGCGTACCGGAGGTTCCTATTTTCTTCATATGCTTCTTGCAAATAGGAGGAAACTTCAGCAGCAGTTCTTCTAGCCGCTGCGGATCCGTCTCACATAGCAAAGCCTGCCACCTCTTCCAGATCGACGCAGAAGTTAACGAGCAGCTGCTGCAAGCAGGCACAACTGCCACATCACCGTTGTCCACTGCAGCCGCATCTGGAGTACCGATTGGTGAGGCACTGCTTGGTTTAGGTACATCTACCTGGCGCAGTTGTGAGGCACCACTGGACGCAGCCGTTACTCTAGCGCTTGCCGGCTCTACTCGAGATGGTGCAGTGCAGCCAGAACTGGCCACTAGAGCGCATTTTGTCGTTGTCCTGCTGGAAACAGTTGCCGGCACTCCCTGGGAAGTCACACAACGTGTATGCCCATCTGATGCAGCCGCTAAACTTGAGCGACGTGCTCGTGTAGGGAGAGCAGCAACAGTACTAGGCCCCTGGCCCTGTCGGAACACCTCGTTCTGTCGAGCGCTAGGGCACAGGCGATCCGTATCTACATCAGTGGCTGAGGAAATTACTGCCGCTGCTTCTGAAGCAATTTCCGCTTCCAGCACATGGCAGCACCCAGATAGATTTTTGCAGCTACTGCCAACACGGCGCGCGCCATCGCCATCTCTGTTGTTGCCAGTGCCATTGCTCCGCGTCCTGGATACTCCAATTGTCGCCTCAGAAATGGCTTGCACGCATTGATGCTGTTTCCCCTGCAGCTCCTCTGGATGCACCTGATATTCTCGTTTCTGTTGCTTGTGATGGAATTCCTGCGACCACTTGAGATAAGTATTAACGCGGGCGCTGCGCGCAGGTGAGTTACTACATATGTCTAATTTGAAGCCCTGTATGGTTGAAAGACCTCCGTAAACTACAGGATGACACGGAGATGATCGCGCACGCGCAGTAGCAGCTGTTTCTGTTACTTTCATTTCCTCTGCTGTGCTCCCGTTGATATCTGGGTTTGTCTCTGCGACAATTCCAATGAAAGCTGGTGTGGCAGCTCGCGCCGCCGCTGTGGCTTGCCTGGTGGTAGCTGGCGGATCCGTTTCTGCGAGCGCTGCAGCCGTTAACGATGCTCCCAACCGACACAACCACCGACGGGGAGCTGCATTGTTGAACAATGAATGGTGACCCCCGATAAGGTTGGCGCTGCCGCCGCTGCCAATGCTGACATTGCCTTCCGTAAGCCGACCCCTTATGGGCAACTTCAGAGGAAAATATCCCCCATATATTCTATTAAGAGGCAGCAGGCTGCGGACAGAATTTGGGAGGGCGGAGCAATACCTAACCAATAGTACCTGGGGACAACGGAGATATAACCCCGCAAGAAAATATCTTCCCTCAGAGGGCATTGTCTTCACAGCCGCAGTACATCTGCTGCAGCTGCCGAAGGCCCCTGGGATATGATTCACCGGGATGGAAGTCGGAGCACACGTAATCGGGAAGTGATATGCCATATGCCTCAAGGAGGCGGCCGTTTCTGCTGGTGGGCGTTAAGGCAGCAACTGCCGTTGATGCCACAGCTGTTGCTACCGCAGCTGTTGCTGCTCAAGCTGTTGCTGCTGCAGTTGTTGCTGCTGCAGCTGTTGATGCTGCAGCTGTTGATGCTGCAGCTGTTGATACTGCAGCCGTTGCTGCTCAAGCTGTTGATGCTGCAGCTGTTGATGCTGCAGCTGTTGCTGCTGCCGCTGTTGATGCTGCAGCTGTTGCTGCTGCCGCTGTTGATGCTGCAGCTGTTGCTGCTGCAGCTATTGCTGCTGCAGCTGTTGCTGCTGCAGCGACACTGCATGCAGGCAGAAGCTACTGCGTGCTCCTTGAGCCCCTGTGGAAGGCGTTCCATTATCTCCCGAAAACCCTCATAGCCATGGCAGACGGTCGGAGGCCCCGCATCAGGGTATACGGGGGAGGTTGTGCGGAGTAAGCAAGGGAGCATGCAAGGTCCAGCTCAAGGTTACGGGAAACTCTTAACTGATACAGAGCCCCAGGTATTCACGAAATGAGCAAGTCAACACTTAACGCCTGAGGCAGTGGTTCTGCGCCAGTGAGGGCGCACGGGGGCGAGCGCCTGCTGAATGGAGTTTCTCAGATATATCTTGTCTCACGGCTCAAAAAGGACAACGTAATAGTTGAACGAGTTCAAAAGACAATGAAAGCCCCTCAGTAACTAATTACGACTGATTTTCTTCACTGAAACGGGGGGCGGGCGGTGCCGACTGACGAGAGCGCAGCTGCTCTGTGACTGCGCCCTGTCGGAAGGCTCGAGTCTAGAGAGGGTGTGAATATGGAGGACTTGTAGATGCACATCCTGACAAGGGTTTTCTTCTTTGATTCTATTCTATTTCAAATGAAGACTAATGCTACCCCAAGTTTTCCGCAGCCGCATCCCACCGTTTCCTGGGAAAACATAGAGTCCTTGCCTCGAACAGTGATGACTCATAGAGGAACTTTAGGCACGTGAACGCACATTCATTGCTCTATTTCAGTTTGTGTACATGCGTTTCCTCAACACCTGACTTAAATTTCTTACACCGAAGCATCACGCCTGTACATCGGGGGAAGCGTTAACTAGATACCATTACCATCTGGTGCGTGGCATGCGCGGCCCGTCTCTGGCATCTCTAGGTCTACAAACAGCTTATCTCACTGCAGCAGCAGGCATACTAGTAGAGGCAGGGATCCACTCTAAACCTAAACGCCCTTGCTCGATTAACTAATTTTTGTGTTTACGGCTCTCACCACAGATTGGTTTGAACGGTCAAAACGAACAAACTGTGGTGTGCGGTCCCCGCATTGAGCCTCGGGTAGTTGAATTATATTGTTGGAGCTGTAGAGGATGAAACAAACTTGCATCCATGGTTTCATATGTGTAGAATTAGCTACACGCCGTGAGAGACATGAATGTGAAGTATACCTGAATAGAGTGAGCAGTATATGAAACATTGTAAAACAGCGCACGCTTATATACGTGTGTCGCAGTGCTTGCACAGAGGTCCCTGTACCACCCTTCAGAAACTGCGTTGAGAGTTGCTGTTGGATCTAGGCCTGAACGAACTGAAGGACATTTGGATCTGCCTGCTCTGCATGCTGGTTGGATTTAGATGCTCCTAGTTTGCTGTTCGAAGCTTCAGCTTTCTGTTGTGTAGTGGTTCGCGGCTGCCACTACAGGTAGGGCTGTACTAGCGGCGCCGACGCGGCATAGGTTGCGCCGACGTAGGGTCGGCCTTCCTAATTGCGCGTGTACATCCACACCGATTCGCAGGTTTCTCATCATGGTTAACTCATAGTTGCGGAGTGGGTAGGAGATGTTGTTGGGATTAGCATTTAATTGCAGCTAGTGTCACACCCGTCCTGGTAGCAGTAGGTGAGGAAGACGAACTCAGTAACATGGACACACTCCTGTGAGGTTCAATAAGGTTCAAAGACCAGCAAGATCCATAAGGGGGAAAAATTGTTTCATCCTCACTGGAGACTTAATTGGCATATGCTCTGTAGTTCATCAGGAGTAAGGAACAGATCCTGGCATTTCAGGTCTACAGCACGAGACAGCAGCGTTGCCATTTGCAACTTTGAAAGGGCTGAAAAGGAGAGAGGAAAGTTGTACCCACCTCTGCCTTGTATTCCCACAGGCGCCATTATCTCCGTCAAAGGGGCTTTCAACTCGACCGTCTGTATGAGGTCCGCCACAGAGTATCTCCGGTCAGAAAACCGTAAACGGGAATTGTAGAGTACCTGCGATCTGTTGCCGCCATCTTCTTGGGCAGCTGCAAGGAGGAGGTCTGCTACCGCCGCCAGGCGGCCATTGGCAGGGCCTTCGAGGACTCCATAAAGAAACCTAAGCGCATGCAGGAGGCTCAGCCACTGAGAAGGGTTCTGAAGTGGTTGCCACCGGCAATCTGTAGTGTCGCAACATCTGTGAGAGTTCACTCACAAAATCACGAGGTGAGAATTCGGGTTTCCAGTGAGAGTTCACTATCTGGGAGACACATGGGAGTTCTTTTACTGTATTTGTCTGTTCATGCAAGAATAAATGCAATAAAGTTCTGGTTAAAAGATGCCTGCTTGCCCTCCGTCTGAAATGAGGAATCCTGTCAGGACGTCGCCTCCTGCTTCATATCCATCTACAGCCGTCATCCCTGCGTTACTTTTGTCCTGGAGCAGATGCCCGGCCTTCTGCTTTTCCCACTGCTCAACGTATTTTGCCTCGTAGGCCACTTTGCTCCCCAGCGGGGCTGCGAGAAACAAACGATTAATTCCTTGCTGCGGAATTGGGATGGAAATGCAGATACTGGACGACACTGCTTCGCCCTCCTGAGACATATTCACCCTCAACACCAACAACTCCAAAGAGAAAATTGGGACTTCTGCCACGGATGCGCAGGCTTTTTTATCCGTACAGAGTGCGTTTATGGATGTGCGCGCCACAGCAGGAAGTTCTCCCCGTCTCTAATGCTGGCGTGAGTTCCCTTTGGGTTATTAATTTTCCACAAAAGCTGTACACTTCGCAGTGCAGATCCACCGTTGCTGCCGGTGTAAACGGTATCTGGGCCGTCATGGGACTAAATATACTGGCTGCAGCTAATTCACCCCCTTGCCTGGTTGATCGTGGCTCGATCAGGTGACGTAGAGTAGCTGAAGTGTTGAAATAAGGGCTCTGCCAGCTTGATTTCTATGGAGATTTGAGTGCCGCTACTCATGAAGTCGGGGCCAGTGGTTCTGTATAGTTGCACAGTTTCACTGCCTTCTTCTTTTCGAGCCACATAACCGGCAACAGGCAGAACATCAGTGCAGAAAGATAGATGTGTTGCCCGGCAACTCGCTAGAGCGCAAAGGCAGAATGACGCTACTCCGTGAGGTGGCCGGCACGAGGCGGGCTCTGGCCCTGCCAGGAAGGCGTTTGTAATGTTTGTTGTTGCTTGGTTTGAAGGAGTTTCTGGATTGATCCCCGAATAGCGCTGCGCCTTCGTTGTTACCCGCTGCCCTTTTGCTGGAGTCCCCGTGGAAGTTTTAGGTTGTTTCAGCAGGGGCCGCCCTATTGCCTTGCTTTTGCATTGTCCAGCAGTAACGTCCGGATACAAGCTGGACTGGTCAATTCCTGGTGCATCCCAGGTGTTCAGAAGCTCTATTTCTACGCGGTGCTCTTCAATAAAGTCTTTTAGTTCGTTCTGGTCCTCCACCGAAGGCCCCCAGAAACACAGGAATCCGGCATCCCAATGGACTCTGTTTGTGTCCAGGTATTTTATTGGCCTTCTGGGTTCGGTCTCTAGGACCCTCCGGAACACTTTGGCCCGAGCAAAATATTCAGACGTTCCATCGACACCGTATTTTGTTTCGCTGGAACACTCTCCCCTTACCTTAATCTCGGAAGATGCTCCTTTAATTTCTGATACCGGTGCAGCTGAAGAAGCAAGTGGAGCAGCGGCAGTAGCTGTGCCAGCACTTGCTGTGGCTGCAGCTGGCAACGCAGGGTTTTCGGTGGTGTCCTCTGACGCATCACAGGGTTGGGGCTTCTGGAGGCACTGGGAGGTCAACGGGAGGTAGCGCACATCTTTAATGAGGAACCAAACTGGATTTAAAAGATGCCGCAGCTCACAAGAAAGCAACGATGTGACTGCTTTTACTCCAATGCGCAGCGAAACAACCCCTACAACACAGCTATCACAAGAAGAGACACTGACGCAGTGACAGGTTCTGTGCCGCAATTACTATTGCCACTCTTCTTGAATGGAGAGTCAAGCCTTGAAGCTTGACGGCGTCGTTTTGGGGTTGTTTTACCTGGAGTCGTCGCGAGTGTTTCTTGAACTCTCTGTGGTGGCTGCATGCTTTCACCGTCTCTCAAGAGTAACAGTGCACCAACTGGCATCTCAGCTGTTCTTGAATCGCCCGGTGGAATGGTTGATCGAGGAGGACCTGCCTTCTTTGGTCCTTTGTCTCTTCCATCAGGCTTCGCAGAAGCTTTGTTCTGAGCGTCTTTCCTCTGGGGTCCGTCTTGACTCGAGTCTTGAGTCCTTACAACTGTAAACGTAATCGTTTCATTAGTAAACTGTTCGCAAAAAGTGGCGGGTAGACTGAAAGGTGTGAGGTTAAGAGCGAATTTAACTGCTGCCAGTTGACAGCACTCCTCTGAAGAATTTACCTCCCCCTCCCCCGTCACTTCACAAGGTTGGGAGCAACAACCTGGGCCCTTGCCCCCGTTCTCCTCATCAGAGGACCACGAAGAGAAAACGCCCGTTTCATGGATCTTCCCTAGAAACGTGCAGTATGCCTGTAGAGACCCTAGAGCTGCCTTCTCAGCAGTAACAAAGAACTCCACGGCAAGGCCCGCTGCCTCGTTGTACGGAGCTTCCTTGGCCTCCGCTGAGAGGCGAGGCAAAGACGCTTCAGCAATTGCTGTCTGAGTAGAACCCCCTTGTTGAGTCATCTCTGGTATAGGATCTGCGCTGAGCACGAGCATGCAATGACTGCCTACCAATACGCGGACAAAAATTCGCTCCGTTCCTAACACGCGCGAAGGCTCAAAACAACCACCGTGAGTTTCCTACCAGCTTTGCTCTATGACTAAAACTCAAGCTGCAGCCCTCGTACAATCCGCTTCCTATGCTGGAAGGCATATCAAAGTTCGTAAAATGCTACAGGGCTGTTGGCTGTGTGCGTGTTACGCACCAGAGGTGCAAGGATGGCTGTCCCACCAAGCCCTGGGCGCTGACGTCATTCAAGCTCGCATAAATTGCAAATTCCATTGAAAGTCTTCGATGGGATATTCGTCTACGTTTTAAAGCAAATGGGAAGCAGCACACCCTCTAAAAAACTTGAGGACGAGGAATGTGGCTCGTCCTCTGGACCGTCTTCCCGTTCTCACCATTCATAAGTGTATTTAAAGGACTATATGTGAACTTGAAGCATATTTAAAACAATAGTACTTGTGCTGGTAGAAGTCCACTGAGTAAACCTATAATAGAGGGGCTGCTCCTTGGAACAGGCATGCAGAGCCGGACCACTGCTGGCCCCACCACGCAGGCGCTTCTCAGTTGTGTGCAGCCAGAACCTTCTCGACCCGCTTCAGCTTCGTTTTGCTTCTGGAGATTCAACATTAAGCAAAGTCGTTTCATTGAACAACGCTGTTAGACTAACCTGTAACTGCGTAGTGGTGAGGACTTTGCAGCCCTGTCCCCCTGCGGTTCAACTGGCATCGATGTGCTTGACCCCACACTCGAGAGTCGCAGGAGCTATTTGCATTTTGTCTGGCTTGTGAGGCTATTTTATGTTTGAATCAAGCAGATGGACTATTACGTTCGAGAAGAAAGGGCTCCTGAGTGTAGCCTGTTCGACGTACCCCTAATCGGTGGGTGCTATTAGCAACTGTGTGTCTACGGTCTCGTGGGAGGCCTACAGGTATTTTCCCCACATATAGCTTGTCCCCTTTCTCTACTCCTCTTTCCTTTCTGTGAAGCTGCAGGGGCTGTGTCGGACGCCTTCTGCTGCCAAGGTCCAAAGCGGGACTTCGCAACGGAAGTGGAATTTCGGCTAGCCAACGCTGCGAAGATGTACCCTGCTGGTTATACTGATCCTTCACGCTATGCATATAGAGCTCCCGTGCAATACGGGACTCTTCCTCCCGCCTACTGGGAGTACAGGCCACCCATGACCGTGAACTACCCGCATGAAGCGATGACCGAACCTTTGGGCTATTATTCAAGTCCTGTGCAGCCCTCTCCCCACCCACAGAGGTGGGCGTATTACGAACCTAGGAATTGCAAAAGGCCGAGGCCAGTAGTGCCTCATGCTGACATGGCTTTCCCTGGGCCTTTCAGTGGTACCTGGCAAAGTACACTTGGTGGGGTTCCCCAGCCCCCTATGCAGGCAACAACTGCAGTTCCTTCGCAGTTGGGAATGCCCGTAGAGACATGGGGGCAGCCTCAACTTTCTCCTCGTATTGACGCAGTTGCCCCCAGTGTGTGGCAAACAGTCGAGGTGGTGGGCGTACTACCATTTTCTGGGCAAGAAAAGAATCCTGGGCAGAGTCAAGAAAAGGAGACAGTTACGGGGGCCTCCAATGCGAGCCAAAACGAGCCAAATAACGAATCTCCCGGAGCGGTGAAAGAGGTCAAGGTGGCACAGCGAGCCCCCGCCGCCAAGAGGAAACCAGCAGGTGCCAAGAAGGGCCAGCGAGGCCACGCACAACCCCAGCAGCCAGAAGGAGACGAGGCAGTTCGCGATGACATGGCCCCTGAATTAACGAAAGGATCCGCCTTGGACAAGTACGCATCGGCAAATTCCATTGGCTCCGAACAGCCAGCAGACGAAACAGAGCCCACCGGGCAAGCAGAGAGAGCAAGGGAGCCCCCTGTTCAGGATGAACAACGGGAAGATGCGGTTGCAAACGAAAAGGGAGCTTCATACAAGCTGCAACCCACAGTGGTACAAAATCAGCAGCATAAGGTAGAGGCCTTTTCCATTTGCGACCAGGCAAATGTTCAGCAGAAAGGTGGCGAAGCATCGCTCGAAGGAGCCTTTGCAGCTAAGGAGAAGCAATGCAAGCTTAACAGTGGCATTCAAAGTCAATTTGGAGTGGCAAATGCAAAGGGAGAGAAACCAGAAGCCATTGCGTTTTTTTCTGTAGGGGTGTCTGCCCCTTCAGTTGGCAGTAGCCTGGGACCAATGAGTCCTCTGTCTCAGAAATCGCCAGGTAAGAAACGAGAAAATACAATCCTGACTGGGGTAGAGCAGCTCAGACTCATGTTATCTGCTATTCGTTGGAAATTGACGGGACATGTGCATGCGTCGCGTTTGTAGGATATTTCGGCGACAGCCTTGTTGGGCGGGCAGATGCGTCGGCGGGAGCTACAAGCAGCTGGCCAATTGGGTATGTTCCTCCACCGGACGACAAGTACAAGGAGTTGGTGGTGGGCGGCCAGGTGTATCTGGAAGGAGGGACCTTTTACCTGAGCGAAACTGGAGCTTATCTTCTGGGGCTGAGGGGCTGAATGTGGGCATCACTTCTGAGAGGGATATACAAAAGGAAAGGGGAGAATGTGGTGTGAAAAACTGCGCCTGAAAAGGGGCAAGCAGGCATATACTTATTCGTTTAGTTTCTTCCCCACGAACATTTAGGGGGTTAGTTGGTTTTTACCTTTTGGCAGTTAAATGTTTTACGCAGAGGATGGTACATTTCGGATGATCCGATGCAGTATGTTTTATGTGGTGCAATGTGTGTTTGTTGAATTGATGGGGACCTCGAGAGGGTATATTCGAGGTACGCTAGTTGAGGTGCAACTCTGGGAGCTTCATGACGACTAATTGGTTTCAGCAAATGTCAAGGAGGCTCCTTCATCGATCCCCAGAGGATAATTTGCTGGGAAGATTTGCTGGTGTGTCGCTGAAGATGGGGACTGGCAAAATTGGCGGACTAAGTACCCATTTCGGTGCACACGCCTAGTCTCTTGAGAATGAAGCGATGCCGTTGTTTTCACTTTTGGTATTGTGCGTCGGCAGCACATGCTGTGTAGTATTGTAGATTTTCCGTAGCGCCATCCGGGCATCACAAAAGAGTCAATGCTTTGCACGAACGAACCCGACAGCCAGGTTGTCCCTGTCGAAAACAGTGTAGTACCCCCGTAAGAGGACCTGAAATGTAGATGTCACAGTCGAATTGCATGCATATGTTTTACTTGTTATTCTCACTTGTCCAAAAGTCCATCCTTTCAAACCCTTAGGACAAACGATTTGCATTCAACCGGTAGTTGGTCGCCAGAACACCGAAGCTTACGTCTTCTGCTTCTGACTCATCCGCTGCTATCCCCAGCATGCACTCATGTACACCATCGTCGTTGACGAACTCCAGCACGTAGTCGTCTGGACTAAGTTGTAGTTCAACAATAGTCGGCACTCCGTCTGGCGGTCCTCAAGGGTTTGGCCAGGGGGGGTGTTGAGCGGGGGGATGAAGAACGAAAGACCTAGTGTCTCACTAGTGGGCACTCCTTGGAAATGGAAATTCTGTGGAAGCAGAAACGTTCTTGAAAGTCGTATGCGTATGCCAAAAGTGGAATCAATGGCAATCTACCAGATCTGGAAGCGTGATCTTGTCGTCGCAAGTAGACACGCGCAAGTCCGACAGGTAGTGGTCCATCACTCTCTGTTCCGTCGGAGTTGCTTCCAGTAATACAAATGGGAGCTGGCTTTCGGAATCAGCACAACATACTGTGGGGGCGTATATTAAGTATGTTCCTGTGTCCACTATTGAAGCGCCCCCGGCTGATTATTGGGCATTTATTTTTTTTCAAAGCTAAGCTGCACTGAAGGATCCTACTGCCGTCTCCAACTCTTGGGCGCCCCAAGGCATTCATAGTTCTTGTGGAGTAGGAGGCCAGGCGCCCACGTTTCGCAACGCTTAAGACCTGAACTATAGCAACCCGAGAGTTTTGCGCAAGGTTGTCTACCTAAACTTGTACACCAACGAAGAGGATATAGCATGATAGACCACCTGTCCAGTAGCTGTTGGATGGATCCACTGCTACCCAGCTGTCCGTACGGAATATATGGAGGCTGAAGTCATGAACATTGAGTGCGAAGTCCTTGCCTGAACTCCTCAGCTGGGTTTTCCTTCTTTGACAGGTCCGCGCCTCCAAATGTTAGTGCCCCGCCTGATCGGGCCAGTTGAGCATACGGGAGAAAGCGAGAGGAAGGTGGAACGTCGAGTTACCGTCGGCAGTGAGGTAGTACGCAAACTGGTTCTACGAGAATACGCTGGGTGCCTGTGCACTAGAGGAGAGGAGGAAATTGGCCTACTGCGAGGTTCCTTTTCTTCAGTGCTCCGGTGGTAGCTATGTGGTCAATACTGCCCAAATGTACTTTGGTGTTCAAGGTTGTTTCACAAGCGTGAGTAGCACTCACAAGGGTAGAACTCCACGCTGGTCTATCTCATGGTTTTTGAATCCCAGGCCAACAATTCCATCCTACGAGCGCCTTCACTCAGTTTGGCTATTGCACCCCCGAAACTTGTTACTACCGTACCCATTCTAGGTCCTGGAGGAGTGGTATGTCGATGTGTGTCTGTTGAGGATCGCAAAGGGTACAAGCACACGTGAGTACGTATGTGTGCAGCCAGTTTAGAGCAAGAGAGACGTACCGCGAAGCCAATGTTCGTGTGGGGGACGGAAATGCCATTCCCCAAGTGGACCATTTCAAAAGCTGCGTAAATCGGCTGCATTTGCATTCCATTGCAAGTAATTGATCAGCATTTGCCTCACCATCGTAGCCTTGGAGGGATCCGCTAAGATACTGCACATCCATATGGCTCACGCTGCCATCTCTGTTCAAGCGAATTTCAAACGTTGAGCTTCTCCTGTATTTCCGGTGTCCTCGGCACTGAGAGGATGTGCTACGCAGGCAGGCATACAGGTCAACCATTTCTACAGATAAGCCATTTCCAAGCAAGATTAAAATACGTGAAGTGTGTATGGATGCTATACAGGTTCTGCTTGATGGAGCAAAAGGCTCATCTGGTTCCTACCAGGTCTCGTCAGGAACCCAAAATTCGCATGAGCCGGTGTCAAAGAGAACACGGAATGTCGAGACTGGATCCACTCCGACTCCAATATCCGCAAAATATGTTGCTTAGTTCGCGATTAAGCCATCACTTCTTCAAAGCACACCTTTTCTGGGAATATCGTGATAATGGTACCTAATTTTTTCGAGGCAAGGACCTGGTCGTGCAGGCGGATGTTCGCAAGGCGCGTAACCCTGCTCTGGCCCAACTGCAATAGGCTAAAGTGCCGCCCGTCACGGAAAGCGCGCTTCTGTTGGATGGCCCAAACGTGGTTCCTCTCCAAGTAGGCATCAATTTTATCCAGCCTCACAGAAAACCCACTGTGCTCCACGGGAGCTGCCGATGCAAAAATTATTACCTGGCACAGCGCAACAGCAAGAAACTGCGGGGGCGTCATCATATATTTGTGCATATATAAAATATGCACTACTGGCTATGCGGGATAAACCTTTGTCGGATCAGGACTCGGCTGGCAGGGTTGAAAACGTTGAAAATGGAGCGTCCAGTGATCCCAAGCGTCAAGACACTGCAGATCGTCGACTTAAAAGCCATTTTACGGCAATGGTGCAGCATTTACGGTGATTCCAATTTATTTCGCGTTTTTATACTTTTCTCGTGCTCCTTGAGCTGTACGTGAACGTAGATACGTAGATACGCCAGCATTCACCGAACGCGAAAATGGAACGTCTGGTCTAGCCATAGAAATGAAGTTCTGAATTTCGGAAGCACTGCAAATCTACTCCTAACTTCTTCTTCCCAGCATACTCACAGTAATGGAAGTGGGTACCGTAGATCAGGTAGTCTTGCCGGGGGGAGGGGGCAAAATTCACCTTTTGGAGGACCCTCAAAGCAATCTTCTGGCTGATATGGGAGTAAAACAACACTGTTGAATACTAACTGGTGCAAAAGGCATACATTATATAGGGTTGTTAAGACACTGCTAGGGCTGGGACCGCGCTGCTGTCCAGGAGATCCTGCTTACATCCTAAGCGTGACGAGTCAGGGCTTCGATGGTGACAGGACCAGCTGGAGTGGTCTTCCACGCTGTGCTTAACTGTTTTTCCGTCTACATTTGTAATGTCAAGTATTAGTTTGCGTGTTCGGTGCGTCCTTGTATTTTTGCGGTTTTCCCAGCATGCCCATACTCTGCAGTGGGCGCATACTACCACAAGCAGCAGCTGCAGCAGCGTGGCATCTTCCAGTATTTCTATGGTTTGAGATTGGTAGCTCTCAGACAGCAGTATGCATGTGCAGGGATACCCCACCTCTCTGAAGCGCAGAACGTGAATGCCCACACTTCCCTCTATTCCGCTGCAGCCCAACAGTCCCATGCAGTGCCTACCTTCGCGGATTGCCGCAGACGGAATGAACCATGGCTTTGCAGTCTCGGTATGGGCTGGAGGGGTACCTCCTCGAGCTAAGGGCATCAACAGCGTGGTGGTGACAACCAGGCAACGGGCGTGTACGAACAACACTGATGAGCTTCCAGCAAAGGATGTACATGTTGTGTTTTCTGGGAGCCACGTCTTCAAAGAGTCCCGCAGGTCATCAGCAGCGCAGCCACTGAATGAACCAGCTGATTGCATCCACTCACGCCAAACTCTGGTGGTGTGCGGCGATGCTGGCTCGTGCTCCGTGGAAAGTGGTGATCTCTGGGAGAACCTCTTCTCCACTTTAGTCGAGCTAGAGGACGAGGAGGGAATACTAATCTCTTCTGAGGAAGAGGAGTCATCGGAGGGACAGTCAACGCCGTACCAATTGCTAACAGACGATCGCCCGCCCGCTGCTGCTAGGGTTTTTTCACACAGCGTTGCCGCTGGCCTGGTGGACAAAGTCTCAGATGCAGATGCGTCTGACCTTCTGAAAGCTCTGGGACCCCGTCGAGCAGCTTATGCAAGGCGAGTAAGCGCGGCGCTGTCTACCAGATGCCGGTGGCGGTGTCCGTCTGACCGCCAGAGCTGCGGCAAATGTCAAGCTCCCTGCAACTGCATGCTGGCGACAGGCATCACCTCTCCTTCTTCCGCTTTTTCTCTTGCTTTTTACTCGGAAGCTTTTGGGCTTTTGTTTTTCTGTAGAGACAAACTGGGCCTTGCCTCTTTGCTAGCGGTGGCCCCGAGCAACACCGGCGCAGATGCCAGGCGCCCCAGCTTTATCGTAGCGACGTCTGCAGCGAACATGAGAAGCTATGACCCTCCGAGCAGCCGTGGAGAGGGAGGCAAAGAGCGGGCCATTGAGGTTCCAATAGACGGGGTGTGGCTACTGGATTTATGGGGACTAGCGGCCGCACAGGCGTCAATTGCTGTTGCGTTCAACTATTCTGAATTAACGGAAAGTGCCGAACATTGCGGTGCTTCTCTTGTCAACATGCCCAGTGTCTACTGCGTCTCCTGGGAGCAGCCGAGCATCATCCGGACGACCCACATGTGGTGCCTATGTGCCATTTGCGAGGAAGCCAGAGAACAGTTTTGGAAGCGAATGAACTGTCAGTGCAGCGTCCAGCTTGACGCGCATGAGTGCATTTTACCCCCAGAGATGGACAAGCTTTGGGGAAAACTACACGGGCGCAAGGAGGAATTCGCTGTTGCGCCTTCGGTACTTTCTGCGTTAGGATATATAAGTTGCTGTGGCGTTCAACAGGAGGGGGGTCCGTCCCACCTATCTTCGGCAGCCGTCTTGAAGAGTCTGTTTCGAGAACTTTGGGGCGCAGTCGCGAGGGCCATTCCGGAGGCATTGCAAATGATCAATAACACCTGTGTGCCCTCTGTGAGTTGCACTGCTCCTGCTACGGTTTTTGTAGGGCTTTTATTTTCGGGGGGAGTTGACTCGACATTACTGGCTGGAATGGTACTGCGGGTCGTCGCATCTGCCATGGTGAGTGCAACGACACGGGGACGGAGGTATACGGCACGTGGAATGGTCGGAGTTTATCGGAGTGATGCGCTTGTAAGGGGGTAGAGATAATATGCCGCTATGTTTCAGGCCAAGGCATGCACTGATGCGTCAAACGAAGGAACACATCACACTGCGAGCCCGCACCACGTGGTCGTTGTAGAGCTTGTGTCCGTCGGTTTTTCGGCAGAGGCGCCGGACAGGCTGACCGCATTGCGGAGCTTCCAGGACCTGCTCAGGCTGTTGCACTCCCTAGGTGAACGCTACAAGTCGCAGAGCTGCAGATATGGCGCAAGACTTCCTCCACCAAGCAACAGTTTAGTGCAAATCGGCAGCTGGGCCCTTGAACTAAGGCTAGTGGCAGTTGACGTGGCGAGCAGTGACAGTGCAAGCTGCCGCAGTCAGCTACTGGAGGCCATTTATCCAAAGCGAAGCCACATGGACTTCAATATTGCTGCCCCTCTATATTTCTCTTCAAGGTAACGGCAAGGCCCATTCGTCGAAAACGCACTAGACTTGTTCATCTTCTTGCAGCACCTACACATGCACACGAGTTCTGATTCACTCAGTGTAGCACTTCCAAACCATTCTGATGCCTTGAACGCAGTGGACCGCAGTATGTCATGTGGCTGTTGTAGGGGAATTGGGTATTTGGTGTCTCCGAACTTCGACAAGAGCGACGAATGGCAGAAGCTTCTCCAAGAGGGTTCTCTGTGGAACGAGCTCCTAATCCGTCCTCTTTTTCGCCGACCGCCCAGACACTGCCAGCCGGAAAAGAGCATGCAACGCGCAGGCACCGAAGATTCTGCAGCGCAACAGCAAGCCGCAGATCTAGGGAAGAAACCGGCTGTTTCTGCACATAACAGTAGACAGGACAATGGGGCGAAAAGTGCATGTCGGGTTTGTCGCCGACAGGCGAAGAGTGGCTGTGCTCATGGCACATGCAAACTATGTTGCACAAAGTTGCAAGCTGCTGCAGTGCAGCGAGCATCTCCTTCGCTTTCACATACCCAGGCCTGTGATACAATACACGTGGGGGGGCAGGGTAAACTCAGAATTTCTGACCTGGGCATTGCCGCGCATCCATCGTGCCCGGTACACCGGAAGCCCCGGCTGCTGTACTTGAAGGAAGGTATAGGCGAAGATGGTGGATCAGATGCTTGTGGCGCAGGGCATTCGCGCAAATTCGATGTTGTGTCTCCATTTAAGTCCCTTTCTGTTCTTCCTTGTGGAGTGTCTCTGGCCACCAACGAAGCTAGACGACCCTTCATGGCAATGGCGCTGGATGACCTCCACAAATGGTGCACTTTAGATGAACGCCGTTGGAGCTGTGTTGACAGAGTGACAGGCAAGTTGCACTTTTTAACACAGCAGGACCAGATCTTGTAGTAGACACAGCTGCTGCCTATGGACTGCAGCCAGCCGGTGCCATAGAGGCAACCGGCCCGGTGATATTTTGTGTCATTCGATGGGAATCAGGCACGTATACTGTGCAGAGCACAGTGTTTCTAATTGGAAGCGGCGCGGATGAAATATTTGGTGGCTACGGTCGTCATCGAACAGCGAACTTGACTAAAGGCTGCGAGGCACTTCGGGACGAGCAAATACTGTGAGCGTCACATTTGAAAGTGCAGTAAGGTTACGCAACAGTTGCGCTTTGATCATTCTATGCTACTGAGGTACTGTTGGGTGGTAATGCTTCTAGCGACGCTCCATCTTTGTGGGAGTGTATGCAGGGATCTACGACGTCTCTGGTTCCGCAACATGGGCAGGGACTGCCGCGCACTTTCAGCGTTTGGACGATGGGCACGTGTGCCATTCCTCGATGAGCGTCTCCTGAACTTTGTTTGTCGTTCTGTACCTTTCGAACATATCGTTCAGCCATCAGTAGACGTGCGTGAAGCAGCGGAAGAGGCGATGCAACGCCTGCTTATGGAAGCCAGAGAGCCGACGCCTGTCGACAGCGAGGACGAGTTAAATTGCCCATCGGCGAGTTGGAAACGCACCGACATTTTGGAATTGGGAGAAGAATCAACAATGAATCCAACTGTTACCTCTGCAGCTGGAGGACAGAATAACGACACAAAACTCAAGCTAGGAGAGGGTAGCAGTGGCTTGTGTCTAGGTAACAAGTGGCTCGTCCGGCTATGCGCAGCCTTTTGTGGACTGTATTTTAGCGCCGCAGCCAAGAAGCGAGCCATGCAGTTTGGTTCACGATCTGCTAAAGTTTCAAATAGCGAATACTTCCCTAGCAATCGCAAAGCCCGAGGAGATGCCACTTTAGGAAGCTCTGACGAAACTCCTCATATCTGAAAGCCACGGTGAGGGTTCATCACTGCCAACTGCACCTTTCAAGGCTGACTGGTTGCATCTTTTCAGAAAATCCTGTGTGTCAGTTGCTTTTTGTAGTAATTCATCATCTGTACCTTACAGATGGCATGGCGTCTTGCATATGCACGCGCCGCACACTGTATCACCATAGATTCAACAGTGCACTTAAACACAGTTCCGCGTAGTTGCAAGCAGTATGCAAGCAGTATGAGGAACTATGCAGTGACAAGAACACATGCAGTGTTTAAGTGCGAAGAAACGGGAGCACGCAGAGGGACACAAATATTATATCAGTTACGTTTCAACAATACCATCCCCAGGAATAGCAAATATGCGCAGTTTCCCTTCAACGAGTCAAGTTGCCGACTTCCTAGACTGCCTCCTACAGTATACTGGCGAGATACGGAATCCTCAACCCGGGAAGTACCTTTGGCATCTTTGGCCTTTTTGACAGCACATCTAGCAAGTAATCTGCAATCCATTTGCCGTACGTCGAGGTTGTTCTCCTGTGTCTGCCAGCTTCATAGTTGCCTACAGGTATACACCACTGCATCGGACTCATGTAATAGCTACGGCTTGCAGGTTCTGTAGGTAATCCGTGGCCGATTGGCTCCCGTATGCGAAGTATGTGTGTACGAACCTCACGAAAAGTCCCGTCGAGTGTCCACCACTAGTGCGGACACATCTAAACATTTCTGGCGGTCTACACATCACTGCGTATGCCATTTGAGTGTGTATCTTTACGGCAAGTGGGTCCGTTAGCTATGTGATCAGGGGGCAATCATCAACTGCCAGTGAACTGCAACCTCTTGGTGTTATGCCAATAGTTTTGCCAGGCGTGTGAACTCCGTTCGCCGGGCAAACAGGAGCACTGCATTTGCCTTCAATGAAGGTGCGTTGTTGCACAGTGTCCAGGAATGAGAGCTCTAGGTGGAGGCGCGAATCATTAATGAAGAAACCTGTTAAACCAATGGTACTTCAGTTCACTTGGCCACAATGGACCACGCTAAGTTTCCAGATTCATGAAGAAACTCTTGAACCGTCCCTCCTCCTTCCCCAAAACTGTTTTCGTCTGCAGTAAGCCTCAACTACCCGTTCTGCACCTTCTTATCGATTAGGACTCTTAATAGCTCAGGGATAATCTCTGTGCACCTTTCAAGCGAATATTCGCGTGTTCTATCACAGCATGTGCTTCTTCTCTATGGCGCGAAATTTCCTCCAAGAGCAGAGGGCAAACAACACAACGAGCAGAAGAGCTGCTAGAGCAAGAAGAAACACGCTGGCATGCTTCACTGCGATATCTTTCTCTAGCTGGCTTGACAAATCGGTCAATCGTGACAGGATTGGCGATTCGCCTTCGTGTGGGATGCCTGAATGCACAGAAGTATTAGTGTACTATTAAAGTATTAATGTAAAGGCAAATAGACCCTCATGTGTGTCTTGAGTGAAGACATATGCCGTTGAATATAGTGGTTTTGGTGGGATGGGCCGCCCATTGCAAGCGTGACACTGCTGCTCAGTTTATGGAAGCATAGAAAACCCACTTGATTTGATCTCCACTTGTTTGTGGATGTTGTGCAGTGCAGATGTGTGCTGTTGGGAGTGACGTTTAAAAAGATCCTTAAAACCAGTCAACTCCGACTTCAGCGACTTAACGGCTTCTGGCCCCTCGTCCACCCACAGCTTTCTTAGGTCTTGCCTCAAATCGTTTACTTCGGCACTCAGCGTGCTTATTTGGCTTCCGATTGACGTCAGCATTTGCATTACCGTTGGGTCTCTGAAGCAAGTGCAAAATGCATCGTTACAAAAAAGCATTCAGAGGAAACTGATCCCACCTTCAACGGTGGGCGAGCCTTTCAGGACATGGGAAAGGGCCTGGGTGCAGAGCATACGGATGGGTGTGGCTTGCGGCCAAGTAGGTGCCTGCATGCGGATGTCCTGGATAAACCCCATATTGTTCAGCATGCGCTGCGTGAGCATGAGCGTCAGTTGCTGCCTGGCTTCCATCTGTCGGGTGGATTGCCTGTGGCGAGCCGGGGTTATTGTGCTGAGGAGGAAGGGGATCTAGGCTCCACATTTTCACAAAGTGTAGTACAACCTGGTCTCCTGCAGGGTGATGCCCAGGTTGGGTTTGGACTGAACCTGGCTTATTGTGACCTGTAAAACCGATGAAGCCATGGGCATGCAAATGAACATGCTCCAGCGAACATGCAGTCACCCACGCCGAGGAAACAGACTCGCGGATTTGAGCTACTACACCTTGGTTCCCAACTACGACACGGAAAAGGACCGGCTGAAGAACAGAAAATCACAAAAACGTTGGGAAGTCGCAACCGAGCCTGAGCTTCCCTCACTGTGCGCAATCAACCCCGTTGACCCTCGAACCAAATTAAATTTAAATGCATTCTGTGACACTAAGAAACAGCAAAGCCCTGGGAATATCTAACGTACTGTGGGCTTATTCCTATATTGGTAGAAGAAGGCAGAAGAAGCGGGGATTTCTTTGGAAAAGTCCCTGCTGTCGTCCGTGTTGTGAACACATGAAATTGACGGGTTGATGCTTCCTGTTTGATCGACTGCTTTAAAGATGACGCCAAAACCCTTGGGATTACTTTTGTACCCTACAAGGCTCCAGCTAGCCTGTTCCTCCGGTGTTCTCGGGTAAACGCTTGCGTACGGTTCGTACACATACCAGAACGCAAAACCGTCCGGCTGGCCGTCGCTACTGGCCACACCTCCAGGAGAGCCGTGAACTAGTGGATCCCTGCCGAACACTCCGAACCCAAACTGCACCTCAAAATGGACCGCAGGGACAGCAGTTCGCTGCCAAAATTGACCGGTTCTGTTGGCATCTGGTGGCATTAAGACAATATGGTCTTCCGACGGAACAGTGGACATGGCAACGTCCCAGTAGCCTGAATGTAATCATTGTAAAAAAATCTTGAATACGCACATTAAAATTTATGCGGACACGACAAGAGCAAGCAGATAGACAATCGCTTATATCACTAGCATTACCCGCACACTCAGGCAAGCTTTGCGTCTCAGTAGTACACTCACCAAGGTTTTCCTGCGTTAGAGGGGGCTTCCAGGAATGGGTAATCAACTCAGTTGTGCCACTAGACTGTTCCCAGAGGTCATATGTGTTGGGGATTGCGCCCATGGTAACGCTGTCATGGGTGTGAGGTGAGGGTGAGTGGTCGTGTGCCCCGTAACTGTGTGAACTGTGCACAGGTTGGGGAGGCGGAGCGGGAGAATGGTCATGCGGAGGGTGGTGATAGCCATAAGTTGCAGTGTCGGCGGGAGGAACTGGGGAGCCTTGTGCTAAGCCTGGTTGCGCGCTGTGGTGGCCAGGAACATCCTGCCCTCTTGTGTTCAGAGGCAACAAAGCTGCTGCCGCTGCGTAGGCACAGAATGCCCTTTGGAAGTATCTCGACATTTCGGATGAAAATGCAGAAACTTTGGCACGGTGGTGCTCAGAACAGTGTGGGAGCCACAAGGGCTCAGACCAACCTTCCTGAGCTTACAAGCCTCACTTCCCACTTTATTGTTGCTTGTTTATGAGTCGTTTCCTACGGAGAGTAGGGTTTCGTATTATCCAGGTAGTAGATGGGAACGCGGTGTCCTGCACCACTGGTGCGAGGATTCAGCAGTGCCTTGAGTTCAGCTGAGACACCTGCGGGATACTTCGGAAGAAGGTACACCGTGACTAGAAAAGACCTAATAGGACCCTCAATAAACTACCATCGGTAATTTCAAGGCACAAGCTCTCTGGCGTTGGGTCACTGCTCGAAATAAACAAACCTGCAGTAACCTGAGAAAAACAGCGAACAGAGTGGGGGAGTAAGTAGCCTTCTTCCACTCTCAGAAATCAAAACCTTATTTTTAATATGATGCGACTATTCAAGTTGTTCTGTGTTGGGCCCGTCCATCCCAACACACTCCGCCGCCAGGCACGTCTCAGGTCTGCTAGGAGCGCGACTCCCCGGCAGCTACCTAGCTGAGTTGCGGGCTCCTATAGAGAAACCTGAGCCTATAGAAGCACGCATGAAGCCTGAAATGCCTTTATAAAAATTATATGCATTAGGAATTGTGCTCTAAATTGCAAGCTTTCTCGATACTCAAGATATATCCACTCACATGAGCGTACGTGCTTGGAGCAATGGGGTTTTGAAGCGTTCCTTGCACCACAGCGAGTTGATTCGGGCTTCTGAAGGCAGCGATGAGCCCTTTTGCTAATAATGTACCATACGAGCACTACGTAATGATGGAACAACCATTTTAAACATCACCCAGCCCGTGTGAACTCAGCTTTCACTCCATGGAAAGCGTTGCATAGTTTCCTCGGCTGGGCTGAGATGAATTTAAATTTGAAGTTAACAAAGTCTTAGTTGCTGTAGAAGTGGTTCATGCGTACTTGATGGCTAAAATGCCTGCAGAATTCGTTCATCTGATGCCACTCGTGACTTGACTCCGTACTGCTTGTCAGGAGAGTTCTTGATCCTACTCGAGGACCATCGTGAGCTGCAGTGGAGCCATTAGCGGAGGGGGGGAATCACGAGATTCATTTGGCATCCACCTATGTTTTCAGTTGTCCTTGCTCCAGCGCCATGGATGCAAAGGTCTGGGGGTGGTGATGAGAGGGCGCACACTGAGCAACAACTCCAGCTAGGAACACTCGTTTTCGATCATACAAAAGCTCCCTTTTCGTGCATCAACTAGCTCTGCAAAGAATTACTAATCACTTACCTAGCTTTCAGTAGCCGGCTCGCACGCAGTGCACTGCAAGGAAACGTGAATTCGGGTCAAAGTTGATAGGGTCAGTGCTTAGGGAGCCTGTGTAAGCTTCCACTCTTTCCCAGTCGCCGAATATGATTTTTCCACATAGTCTAAATGCTAGATGCTACAAAGCAGAATAAACCCTGATATTCATGTTCATTCACTGCTTCTTTCATGTAAATCCTCACTCGCCTGAAGGTGATATAGATTTAAGCCTTACGACGACCAGACACTGGGGAGGAGGAAGGCGAAGATAACAGCAAGCCTGTCCTGGTTCTTCTCCGCTTCCAGCTTAGGCGAGGTGGTCTGCCAGCTCGTCTACTCAGCATGCTGCCGTAACGTAAGAATGGGATGGGACTCGCACGTAAGTCCGTGTACGTGCCTCAAAAGCCTGTGGGAGGACGTGTAGCTGTTTGGGTAGGCGGACGCTGGGAGTAAATGCAGGAAAACAGGTGTGGCGTAGACAAAGTAGCCCGTTGAGTACTAGTTAGCTGAGGAATACTTTTATGTTTAACCATCGTCTACGGTGTGGTCATATGCGTATCTGCCAACCAGCACCACGCACGTGGCCTTCTGTTCCGAGGGTGCCTGGAGGTTGAAGGGTAAGTCAGCTGCTTTTCGAGAACAACTAAGCAATTTGACTTGACTGTTGCTTACGACCGTCCTGTGCTAGTTTATCGGGCTCATGTTACATGCACGCCGTACAGATATCCCACAGAGTGCTCGTCAATAATTCGTCAATAATTAATGTTGCTTTTTCTTCTGCTAGAATCATGACGATGCGCCTCTTGCCCAGCTGTATCCATCTATGGCGTTCGGCCCATTTCCTCATCTTACACCCAACCCCTTCATTGTGAGATTTGTGAGATCTACACTTTACGAATAGCTGTTCCAGCTAAGCTTAGTTCCCCGCCCTCTATTCCTGGTCTTTCGTACATAAGTGCTGCGAGATGCTTAACGTTATCTCTGAAGCTCGTCTAACTACCTCGTGGTGTCAAATATAGATACTCCCTGCCTGGCCACCAACAACCTCTCTCTTTCCGGTCATGGTTTAAAGCTACATGTCTCCTATGGCTCTCGGCTATATATGTACGTGTTGTATATCCGCATAGACTTACGACAAAACTTCGATGGAGCGCAAGTACTCTAAAAAAAACTCCCTGTCAAAATGAAAGTGGCTCCCTCCCTTCGCATGGCACGCAGGCCTTCGCAGTGCTCCTCATTGAGCTATCTCGCGAACCTCTATCCCTCCAAAGTCGTTCCATGCAGAAACTGCAAGGGAAAATTTACGCGGTCGGCACAGCCGCCGCAGAGGCCGTACCACGAAGGGGTTTGCGATAGCACTCCGTCTATTGATACACTTGTGGGCAGAACTAAGCTGCAAGGGGCAGTCACACCACCAGCTGGTACAGCTACGCCTTTCCGCGATTCCAAGCAAGCCACAAACGACGGATAGAAGACAACCATGCGTTTGCCTTCTGCAGCTTGCTCCTCAGGTACCTACGTACGGCTTACACTGCCTCCAGAGCCGGATAGCAACTGCAACTGTACATAAAATCGAAGCTATATTGGAAGCTGCAAGTCCCGAGATCCCCCGCACTTGAATGCCTTCCGCAGGACTTGCCATGCGGCTTGCCCCATGAACTTGAGCATGTGGGAACCGCCTGGGATGTATGACACCAAGAAAGAGGCCAGCCCACATAACTGCAGGACCGAAAACACGAGGGTGAGCACATATGACTTCGCCACTAAGGTGGCATATAGCGTTAGAAATAGAGACGAGAAGTAAACCGCTGTGAACGGCAGCCTGAAAATAAACGCAGCAAACATATCCACCACAATGTGGAGATCGCCCTTTTCATGTTCACGCTCAGACGCACTCCGTGCAGTTCTATATAAGGAAGTTAGCTAACTGCTAGAGTGCATAGGTGTCACAATCTCCCTGCTTGTACGACAACTAGGCAAAGAATTCAGCAAGCTTGTACGCCGCCAATACTAACCGTGTGGGCTCAACTAGGTGTCGAAATAAAGCAACTACACCACGTAAGAGTGCCAAGGCCGAAAGAAAGCAAAGAGAGCCCATCGTGAAGAGCAGAGCAAACTTTGAGGGGGCGAAGACGAGGAGAGGGAGGGTAAGGAAGGCCAGGAACATAAACAACACGCCGACGGCCGCCACGACTCCGAACATCAGCATATTCTGCGAAGACAGGGGGTTGTCAGCAATGGTGGCTCGAGTTGCATTGACAACTGAACTGGCGCCATCCAGAACCCGAGATGCTCCATCTTTTACTGCAGATAGGCCGGATTGTAGGAGGCCGTTAGGCTCTTGTGAGCGCGGCGGAGCCTTCATAGATCCGCTTGGAATCCTCCCCGGGATTCCCCAGAGTCCACCATCGGTGGGCACTTCGTTGGATGAAGCTCCTACAGCTTTTGTGCTCAAGATGTTGCCGAGGAACCCTGGCACGGCAGGCTTTCCACCTGCGGAAGGGCTACGTAATGGGGTTCCATCTAGTGATACCATTGCATAGCCCTTCTTCTCCTGCTGTTGCGTGCCTCCATAGAATGAAAGGCTGTTCGCAAAGTCTCCAAAACTCTGCTGAGAACCCATCATCTTCCCTGACTGGCCAACTGCGCCAAGGGTGAGCACCTATGATGAGAAGCTAGTAGGATTAAACGTTCACAAATCTAATATATTTAAGACAGTTAAATCACAACAGGCGAGTGTTCCAAGGCAGAGAGCCCGTTGGGCGATCGTGCACACGACACTTCCAAACGCCGCATGGAGTCGCCCTTGTCTATGCTGACTGACCTGCAAACGCCAGCGTTGCACGAAGAAAGACAGATAACACAGTTGTGGCAGTCCTGATAGGAAAAGAAAAACTCCTAACAGACACGGGGCCTCCTAACATCTTTAACGTGCTTGATGGTATCCAATCTGCAGTGAAGGCTGGCTGGTGCTGAGCTGGCGTGACAAGGCGCGGTAACATTGAGTACCTTTCTGTTGCATGTTGCCCTTACCATGGCATCACGAAGCAGGAAGCAGGTGAATTATGGATTGTATTTTATTTTGTACGCCTATAATATCCAAAAGGCATTACGAGACGCTGCATCTCACGTTCTCGTTGACGCTACGCTGCGGTGGTCTGAGGTGCTAAGGTAACATCCACGAGACTTTGCTTGATACGATAGTGCGATGAAAATGTAAAGCATATATTACTGACAAAGACCGCTGCTTGAAATCCTTCACTTTGTTGGAGCGTTGGATTCCTCGCCTTCTTCACGACTTCCGCCATCCCTGGCCGTTTCGCAGCAACTGTTGGAAGACTACGCAAGCTTAAGGACATCCAGAGCACACATGGGTCCTTGCAGTTATTTTCTTCTTATGGACACTTTGGATGTATATAGATCCGTTTTGGTTGCTTCCCCATAGTGTCTGATCCTTATCTACGTGACTCAGAGAAATCTTACGGTCAACGAATTCTCAGTTCATGCTCGCAGTTTTTTCTTGTTAGCTCATAGAGAGAATAGCTAACAAGGCCCTGAACCTGCCTTCGATCATTGCCCATTTTCCGAGTTATCAGTGCCACATGGCAGCTGTATAAGGAAACGGAGCCTACTCCTAAGCGAATGTACTGCTTCCTCGAAGTCAATTTCCACTTTATAGGAGGCGCTCCAATCCTTGGTGCAATTCTGGGTCGGAAGTTCTGAACGCATCCATTAACTCTGTGGGATGCGCAGTGACTTGTGCTGCAGGGTTCTCGCTGCTCGCAATACCTCACAAAATATAGTCGTGTTCTTCACAGCTAATCTCTCGACGTTCTGTTGGGCTTGAGCAATGACCACATTTTCAGCTAGTAGGAGAGGGATGCTGCTACTGTATATCGGTGCGTGCGCAGTTCAGGAGGTGTGCTCAAGTTTATGCCCAGACAAAAGGGCCTGGCATGTTAATTGTTTACTTTTCGCCGGCTTCAGAGTGGTTACTTTAATTTCTCATTAAACATAGGTGGCTTTGAAATGACACTACAAAGTTTTGGTGGGAAACTCCGGCTCATGTGAAGACTCTGCCAATCAGCATGGGCGGCAGTCATCGAATCAACGTTACGCTTCATCTGGCTCTCCTGGTTCAACTACACCCAACAGGAGGAGCTGGTAGGTGTGAACTTTAAAGGCAAGGCGACAATGAGCTACCGGTGCAAGGTGTTAACGTAAAGTTGCTCAGTCGTTTCTTCGACTCTCCAAGATGGCCATTTCATCTAGTGCATTCAGTTTTTCGTAGCCTATGGGAAAAATATAGTCCGATGGAATGCCCATGGCCCAGTAGACAACAGTAGACTAGCAGTTGCCTCACTTGCGCTTCTATTGCACAAAGATATTTAAAGCACTAACAGAACTGCATGCGTAATGAAAAAGCATGGGCAAGTGACACGGCTTTAAGCGTTCCCAACCTTAGTTCGTCAGTTCAGAATAGTCTCAAGAGTTCACGAAAAACGGGCCTAGGGACTACAGCAAAGACTACAGCTTTCAATGTATGGGAGCTGGGGTCCATGAACTGGGGAAGGTGCTATCATTGGTCTTGTTTGCAAACCTCTGCCGAGGATCCCACGTTTGCAAGCTCTGGGCTCATTAGGCCTATTTAGTGACATAGGGGATGTACCTGCGATTCCGAAACATCGGGCAAAAAAACCCTTTACTCAAGTAGCCCGGAGTGACTCAGATGTATCTTGCACACAGTGCTTCCGTAAGACTGAATCCTTACAAATGAAATTACCAACAGATAAGTTTCAGAGCCATCCAGAATTTCGCGTTTACTACCTGCGTGACTGTGTAGTCCAAATTCCCAGCTGTATCGTTCCACCTAAAATCTCGGAAGCCTGAATGCCGTGGATGAGCTCTTATCATCCTGCAGTGCGTCAACCATCCACTCCAGATAGAGCAGGCAGCTCTTCTTCAGTCTTCTCGTCTTTCTGATGAGGCTATCTCCTACAGTACGGCATACATAGTCGCAAGGATTGCCTTCGCCTACATCATGGTAACCCCAACAATTAGTTTTCCCTTCACCTCATGCGGGCTCCGAAGCGATTCTTAGCTACTCAAGGAGTATCACCCGGGAAAGCAGAATGTTCTCCCAGATGAAATCGCTGTGTGCTGTGTAATTGAATGCCAAATTACTATGAAAAAATTATACCAAATACTCGTAGAGAGATATAGGACTAGGCGATCACAAGAACTGAGAAACATCAAAACATTTATTTGGGACGGCCACTGCAGCAGCCAATTCTTCCACTTAAGTACCTGCGTCCTTCAACCAGCGGCATTTGAATTGTTCTCTGCAAATGAGCGATTGCTAGTAGTGCCTGCACAGTCGCAAATCAGCGAGCACCACAAGTGGCCGCTGTTGGTACAGTGGCATGTTTCAATTATACGGCTGCGAACATATGGCATCAAAAAGCAGACCATCGTTTCAGCAAGGCTCCAACAAGCATGCACCAGCTAGCAGGTAACACGCGGAACCCACCTGCGCAGGTGCCATCATATGCAAACTGGGCACCGGCGCAATTAAGAGAGCATCTGCTGGGGTGAGTATTGCCCTGAGTGTCGCAGGCAGGCTTAAACTCGCGAATGCAAGCACAACCTGAGGAAACAATAAAGCATGCAGACCACAGAATTGTAGGGCAAATGAGCGCTTATGTTTTTTATCTTGACATTAGTTCGAACCATTCTTATCACAGATAGCACTAAGCTTGGTTGAAACTTGCCCCTCACCGTCTGTAGCCCCACAAGCACCTTCATGAGCAAGAGTTGCACCTTGACACCTCATTTTACAGGCATTTGAATGCGTTTGGCCCAGGGTGTCGCATACAGGGCTGTACACTTCTGGGCAGACGCATCCTGCGGAATCAACAGTTGAACTTTGAACCTCACCTATAAAAATGTAGCCTTTAGAGGGCTTTCACTCTGGAAATACTAAACGTGAGCAGCACAGAGAAAATCTCACCACCACGGGTACATTGTACGACTGTTGGCTAAAACCTGGCGGAACGTTCAAACCAAACGCTTAAAGCAACAGGGCAAAGCTGGTTGAAAAGCGCATGAGCAGCTGAAGAACATTTGCTGCATGGTGTAGCGGAAGGGTAGATTTTGCAAAAGGACATTACCTGAACTGTTTCCGCAAACGCCTTCATACGCAAGACGTTTACCCTGGCAGCGCAACTTGCAGATGTTACTATGTGTTATGTTCTCCGTATCGCAGACTGGGCGATACAGTTCTGCGCAAACGCAGTCTGCATGATCAACAACCACAGGGTGGCACAAGCAGGCATCAAACGCAAAGATAAGTGGCTTCTAACGAGCAAAATGTGAGTTTACGAGCATATAACAACGTTTAAGCAGATCAAGCACGGGACCAGCTAGAGCGCATTAACTCTCGTAAAGATCGCTAAACATCCACAGTACGAAGTACCGGAGTTGTGCGCTGGCAATATCAGGGTCACCTGAAGTATTCCTGCAAACACCGTCGTATGCGTATCTTTTACCATTGCACCGTAGGTGGCAAGCACTGTTGTGTGTTGTATTCTCGGTATCACATACTGGACTATACAGCTCCGGACAAAAACAGCCTGCACACTCAACAGCCACTGCCAATATGACAATCTTGCCTAGACATGTGGTCATGTCTAGTGGATACGTCCACATATGAATGCTTCTGGACAATTGAAAAACCATAGGAAGGACAGGAAAGGTATTCTAGTGAGGGGAATGTTCCTTACCGGCGGGGTTACTACACCTGCCATCGTAGGCAAACCTCTTGTTTTGGCAAAGCATGTAGCACCTGTTCAGGTGCGTGCTGCCTTCAGTGTCACACACAGGGTTCCGGTGATTAGGGCAACGACACGCTGAACAGGAAACGAGAATGCAATAGATATGCCCTGTTTTCCCTGGCTAACTGCGCGACCATTGCCTCGGGAATATTTGCCAGCGTTCGCAACGATGGGAGCAGCGGTTTCCACTACAGAAAACTACAAAGACCTCCGTAGGAAAGAGAATCTTCCTTGTGTACATGGTACAATGCGTTTCTTGTTCATGCACGTGCACGCCGCACAGTAGCACGAGGGATACCAGATGCTTACGTGTGAGGTTGATTGCCAGCGGTTGGGGCAAAACTGGTACACGCACGTGATCCTTGCTTGTGCGGAACTTACCAAGGGAATTTCCTCACACAGCATCACAGCCTTACATGTGGGAGCTTTACCAAAACATGGGTGACTCGTGTACCTAATAATGAATAATGCTCGAAATTAGTGGTACATTTGATTTGCAGGTGACACGCAGGGTTGTGCAATGTAAGACCAGAACATCTCCCTGCAATCTTTTGTGGATGAGTGCACTGGCGAGTAGCCGTCAACTCCAATCAATTCAACATGCCGATTGGGCTCGGCGTAGTGATAAAACATTTGTTTTAAGCTTATGTATGAATACATTAAGCAAGTACGAACACGTGAACCACAACGGGAAGGAGAGGCACCCAAGATTAGAGAAAGTACTTTACAGTGTGTGCTCCTTTTTGGTCTTCCGAGTCCTGTACTAACCTGTGCCACCTGGGTGTACGGGTCGTCTTGGAGGGCAAGCACCTTGCTGAACAACTCGGACTCGTTCCCGCCGGGCTATGCAGAAGTTTCTGTACGTTCTTCCGTTAGAACCACACACAGGCCGGTAAATCGAAGGGCACGGACGACCTGCGGATGCATTCAGCATATGACACAAGCAATTAAGAGCAGAGTAACCATAAACCTTCGGGCCTAAGCAGTAAAATCCCACAACTTTAAAAGTAACAAGCTGTCAGCTTGCAGTGCCACAGGAGGCGAATGAAAACCGAGTCCAGCAATCGCATTTAAGAGAGGGTTTAGAAGGCAGGGTTGCCAACCTGTTAACCAAGAAGACCGTGCGCAAGGTCCTACGTGGTTGAATGCAACCCCGGCGCAGCCCAAATAGAAACGGTTTCTGTAAGTCTTGAAGGCCCCCCTCACACGGCACTTCCCCCCGGAGAACAGCCACAGTCTGAGGGCAAAATGTTACTTGGCTACTACATGGTAAGGCACTGTCAATGTAAGCCTGGAGTGAAGGACTGAGATATTCAACAATTAATCATACCCCTTGAGGCCGAAGCTGCCGCCGCCAGTGCTGCATCCAACAGAGCGAGAAGAAACGGAAGCTGGAGAAGACAAAACATGTTTGCAGCTGTAATATCAGGAAGTTAAGCCAGGCAAAGGCAGTTGTAGGCTTCTTTGCGTTATATGGGAGAAAAGAGCTTGCGATATGCAAGCTAGTCGAACGGAAGAACCACCGGTCAGGGCACACAGTCAGAGACTGGCATTTATCTGAATGATGCTTCCAGATCAGAAGTTATTTCAGTAGCTTCCAGTACAGTATTGTGTGTTTTCGCACCCCCAAAATGCGTTGATGCGAAACCAGATTGGACTCACTGCACTGCTCCGATACCTGCTTCGCAGCTCTAAGACCCGCAAGAAACTGGCAGTGTTTTTTAAACACCGGCGGACAGAGCGAAGACAGAATGTTTACGCAGAACGCAGATCTTATTTAACATGATCATTTCTTCAATTTAATTGAGCGTTTCACTTGCCCTGGACGATTCGGCGGTAGAGCCGTACTACCGAAAAGCAGTCAAGTGACCCTCACAAGAGTTTCGTAGCGAACGGGCTCCTTCCTTCACCAATGAGCATTTAAATACCGAAAAGTCAAAACGAAGGCAGTCTTTAGACAAACTAGGTGCTTCAAGCCCACGGTCCATACCCCATGAGTGTCGAGGCAAAACAGCACTCGTACGCCATTCAAACTACCCCTCATACTGTCTCCCGCTGTTGTCTCCCGTGGAGACAAGCGATTGATCAAGCTACAGCTCTTCAAATGGCCAGATTTACGATAGAAAGTGTACAATCCTGCTCACTCTCTATGCCACTATTCACCAGCTACGATTCACATGTGCATTCCTCTGTCGAGGCCACTATTCTCGTGCTACGATACACAGGTGCAGCCGTACACTCTATGGATACACGCCGCACCGATGTTTGCAGTCCCTGTGTTGCTGAGGGTTTACACACTCTACAGGAAGTCATCCATTCCATCCCCTCAAAAGTGCTCTATACTAGCTAGCTACTACTCAAAGCAGCATTCGAATACGATTTTTTTCGGGCCGCTAGATTGGGTCCTGTCCGTGCTCATGAGAGCTAACACAAGAATATTCCGCATGCAACCCTACGAAAAAAAAAACACTTCATGTGAGCGTTCCAGATAGCTCCTTTGATCAAATACCGCTCGCCAGCAGTCTGCCTAACCACCTACGGAGTTGGCCTTTGTACGGCCACCAGGTAATGTCCGCAGGTATAGTCAGTCATGCTGCGCAAATGCTACGCATGAGCTTGTTGCTGCTTTTCTTCTAGCTGCTTTTGCTGTCCGTGTGGATGTTGTTGTGATCCAGCATCGCTGAGCAGCTCCTGGAGATGCTTTTTTACAGATGCCAAGCGGCCGTAGAGTTGCTGCATGCACCACGCGTCTGAATACCAATAACTTCGTCACCGGCAAATGAAAGATGAAACGGTTCACTTTCGAGAAGCTTACATATAGTGATAGGCAAACGGGGGTCAATCAAAAATTCGTGTTTCTTCCATGAACAATTCAGGCACCATATAGTCCCAGCATCACGTTACATTTGCAGCACGCAGGGGCTACCAAGGAAGCCAGCGTGTTTTCAACAGCCTGCATTGAATAGCTGAAGGCGCACCTGAAGAAAAAGATGTTTGGCGCGTTCCCGTAAGACTTCCACCCGCTTTTCTTCAGTCCTACTCCTCACCGCTTTCCTCTCCGACTCGTGCAGTCTAGTGAAGGATGCAATGCGGGCATTGAGTTGCAACAATTCAGCGCTTTTCTCGCCTGTCCAGCGTTGCAACCACACATTTGACACATTCCATGGGCTCTTTCGAATTAGGCCGAGCGGCGATCTCCATGCCTAGTGCAGCTACTGCTGTTGCAACCATGGTAATGAGCCAGCAGCTGCCGTTGTAGGCAACGAACACATATCCACAACGTGGCATGCAGCCTGTCTGTTTGGACCTCACCAATTGCTTTGGCGAGTTCCTTCTGACGGTTGGTATAGCCAGTCGTCAGCACCTTGTATTTTTTCTCTAGCTTCTTGGTTCGCTGGACAGCTGCAGCCAGACCAGTTTTCAACGTTTCAACTTGGTGTGCATACACTTGCAGTCGTTCACTCGGGCTCAAGGTAGACGAAGAGACGTACCTGCACAAACCAGCCAATAAATTGCTGCTGTAGCATCGGCACCAAGAGTGGGGGGTACGATCAACCTTTCGCAGCATCTTCGATTCACCACCACGCGTCACTTTATCACTCGCGCATAAATGGGTGCAAGCACGGTTGTCGCAAGCCTAGCGTCTTCGTGACACTGTGCAACTTGCTGTCGTCTAAAGAGACACACGCTACCTAGCATGCGTGCGCTTCATTCTCACGATTTGGAGGCTGGATTGAAGACCAGTTGCGTCTCTAGTGTGTAGACAAGCTTGTCCAGCCTCGGGTAGTTTTCGTCCAAGCCCCAAGAGGCCAACTCCGTTTCCACAAGTTCTCTAGCCGCCTGCCCGTACACATGCAACTGCATAACCTTGGTGGCACTTTTGGTGTTTGTCTTCTTCATACTGCACCCCAAAGCGAGGGCATACCACACCATGACGATACTACTGTCGAATTTCTGCAAGGTGCAACACTGAGCCGATCTTGAATACCTGCATTTCTTCCAAGCTGCACGATTCGAGCCCTGCAGCTGGCGGAGGCGGCTGCAGATAAAGGGCCACAATGCACTTCAAGCTGTAGTTTCGCCACAATAAAACAGGGAACGAAAGCGAAGCAGGCGAAAAGGGTGAAGGGATGCCAAACAGAACCGAAGGTAAAAATTGCTGGAAGCAGCACCGGAATCCGCAGGCATGAGAACTCACGTTGACTCCTCGAAATGGATGCTCGTAGCAGTCGTGTTGAACGAGCAAACTCTGCAGAGCAAACGCAAAGAAAAGTTCCACCAGTGTCCCGAAACAGGACATCCCCCAGCACAAAACGATCTACAGGATCAATGCAGGAAGGCGAGAAACCTTCGCCCCTAGGAACGTTATTCCGTTTATAGATAGATACGAAGAATCCTCCATGGTAAGCAGAAGGGCATAAGCATAACACCAGCTCAGTAATTCGCCAATTGCGGGCGTGTCGAGTTGGTTGCTGGTGAAAGTAACGACTGAAATGACTGGCCAACGGCATCAGCACAAAACGGTCCCTTATTTAAGCGAACAAACGCCTTTTCTTCAAAATATCAAATCCAGTCTGCCCACCATAACGTTTTCAGTAAGAGAGGCGGCCTCAGAAATTGCGGCAACCGCCGCATCCTTCTCATCCTCCGTAATGATCGTATCGTCATCCTGTTGCAGTTGCTGCTGGACAGCCGCAGCAACTGCAGTCGCAGGGTCGATAGATGCGCTTAACGGTTTAGACGGAGGAAGGATGGGCCTAGGAAGCTGCTGCTGCATCACTTGGGTCTGCTCCAGGAAACGCCGTCGCTCTGCCTCAGCTGCGCGTTGGGCCCTGCGCTTTTCCACCTCCTCCATGTCAAGATCCTAAACAAAAAAACACCGGAATTTTGTTTGCATCAAAACCCAGTTTTCAAAGGAAACAGGTCGATGAAGCGCCGCCTCAATTTCTAGTTGAAAGTAACAAACTGCAGCATGAGTGCCTGTTCATCGTGTCTCTCTACTGTGATATGCGCGTCTTCCATATATCGGAAACAGGTTCTTAGAAGGATGTGGACGTTTCATGGGAGAGGTAGGCATCGGCTTCACAGTCACTTGCAATCGATCTTACAGCTTCGGATTCAAGAAGCTCCTTTTCCTCCTCAGTAATGTCGTCCGGAATTTGTCCCGTGACATCATTGCGGGGGGCAGGAAGGGAGGCAAGCGAAGTCCTCGCATGGAGACGAGCGAGCTGCAACTCTGCTTTCGAACCCATCCCGCCACCCTCTGAGGTAGACCCAACGTCGGACGGGTCGTTTAGAGGGGTGGCGCTGGTGCCGTGACCTGTTGAGGTAATGCGAGTGGCTGAGGAGTAAGTAGCAAACAATGACCCAACACACTATTTCAGATGGAAAAAGAAACAATGAATCCGCTGTGATGCGTGACGCACGCAATCCCGTGCGTTTATCCACAAATCGAAGAACAACCTCCACGTTGTTTCTGCCTGACCTGCAGTTAATGGCGTGTCAGATATGGTGCCAGTCAACCGGCTTCCACGGAGCTGCTGCTGTAAAGCATTCGGCGTTCGAACGTCACCAGGAGTCAGTCCCTTCCCTCCCGGAACTTCCTCAATTTGGGCATTTTCCTCTCCCTGTAACGCATTTAGAAAAATGCGCAGCAGATCGTTCCTACATCCCCCGCACGCCATCTCACTTTGATATGCATGAGATATGCAAATGGCAGTGAAATACCCAGTGAATCCAGTGCAAACACTAGTAGCACCATGTTTGTTTCCCGCCACAAGTTCACGCTTGCGTGCGCAACTCTGTAATGGTTCATCCAGTCGGGGCCTCACGTATCAGGCACCCTGTCAACTTTCCACTTCTCCACTATTCTGTCTGCTCACCTCCAGCGGCGTTTGGACCCCAAGAAGAGCAAGCGCATTGCGCGCCTCCTGCTGTACACGTTCTGACCGTCGCGGAAGGCGGGAAATAACCGTAGACGGAGTTGACAGACCTGCAACAACAATATTTTCGTCCAACCCATGCCAATAGCCGAACGGGGATATAAAATGCAAATCCCAATGGACACTCTTCCTCAGGTCTCGGACATGAGACCAAAACTGCGGAGCCCGATCCCCATTAGAGAAAGCATTCACTGGATATTGAGCGCAGAGAGCATAGCAAAAATAGAATGCCCACAAATATATTGCCTAGATTCAGGGGGCGTGAGCGACAAATAGTTCCAACCACCTCTAACCTTGTGCCAGTAGAGTGGACGTCTCGTCATGCCCATCTGAACCCGTCAGGAGAGAGGCCTCGGCCCCAAGCCGTACCAACTCCTCCTGCAGATCATCGTACATGCGAGGCCTGTACAGTAGGTTGCGAAGATGCATTGGTTCCCTCCGCCTTCACTATCTGGAATAGGAAATGAAAAGGCGCCGCAATTTAAAAACGGAATGGGCGCCAGGTTCATACGCGTACCAGTTCATGTTCCTTCAGCATGGGTTCGGGTAGGTTGAGCTTCATTTTCTTAGCAATGGCTTCCCGTTGTAGCTTTTCTTCCTGCATTTTCAGGTATTCATCAAGATGGTCTTCGCGGAGCCGCTTCAGCTTCCTTGCATCTTCTTTTCTAAGCTTCTCTTCCTCCCGTGCTCGCATGTGCCCCTCCATGTGTTGAAGGCTATTCACATATAACCACAAAAAAGCCCGCAAACGCAAGTAATTATACATGGGATCAATCACTAATAACCACATAAACCACTCACACACGTCTACAACCAACAGTTACACGAAACCTCGTGCAAGAAGACGCCTATGTTCATCTCCTGGGTACAAACACGCTTTAACACATGCTACATGCTACATTAGCTTGTACGCAATGCAGAAACAGTGGGACGGGACTATTTGAAAACACTACACAAATAATCGAAACTGAAGACATTCACTTCTTACCTGATATTGGCAAAGTTCAGATTGCCCTCTGGATTCTCTTCTGATGGTACCTCGTAAAACCCTAAGGTCCAGACAAGCACTCCACAGGAGATGCATTAAGATTCAGGGCATCTCAAGGCCTTGTTGGGCCCCAGTTAGTTCGATCGGACACACACCAACGGTGTAACCTAAATTGCAGGCACTGAAACTCATGCGAACCTGGGGGAGGCTTTTCTTCGAATGGAACCTCTTCGTATGGCTGGAAATTCTTCCTCGTTCTTCTTTTTGCCCCAGTGATGATTCCTGTTCGCATAAGCACAACCCAACAGCAGCTGCATCGCTGCTGCTACGGCTTCTACCGCAGATATTCCACCCTCCTACAGATGAGCATGCCGTTGGCTGAAATGCTGTCACTCCAATTCTCGATGGTGGATGCATCACGCGCAGTGCACCCACCAGCCGCCTTCAGTTCCCTCTTCTTCTGCAGAGCCGCTAACCTGCGAGCCTCCTCAAGCTGCTTTTCTCTAGCCTGTTCCAAACAACCCACAAAACACTCCTAACTTCCCAAGTTGACTGGATTCTGTGGAAGCGGGTGCACAGGGCAGATGGCTACCTCCACCGATCTGTTGAGCGCGAAAGAACATATTTGTATCGATCGCTTTAACGTTACTTTCATATAACAATAAAAACTGTTGTTGCCATGCCATACAGTATACAGGGCACGGACGCCCTAAACAGATCTCGCCCACCTTCCGCTTGGCTTTCTTGCCACGCGTGTTCGCTAGACGGGCCCTGGCCTCTTCAAGCATTTCCTTCTCATCCTCCGCCATGTCAATCGGATCTGTACGGGGAGCATAATCACAACATGACGGTTACACTCCGTCCTTCCCATCCCCAGGAGTAACCTACGTCATCTCTAACCAGGAATGTTAGCTGCGATTGAGTTATACCCCCAGTGGCTCACCTGCACGAGACGGCTTTGTCTCAGGGTGAGGGTCAATCTCCCCTGGTCTCAATCTCCGTGGGTCTTCTCTCCCCCGCTGCAACACGAAAAAAGTCGGAGGTGCTGCAACTGTAAAATTAGAGGTAGCGTTGATGCCACTCACCCTGCCTACTTCTAGTGCTTACGTGGGGGAAACGCAGTAACTGCAGCAACACCACAATAGCTGCAGTAGCACCAGCCGCAGCTAGAAAGGATGCGAACGGCACTCAGGGTAGCGGCGGAAATATCGAAACTTACAAGAAAACCAACACCTCTCCCAGGTGCCTTGCGGCTTCCAGGCGCCTGTGAAAAACCCGTGCCACTAGGTTTTCCTTCCTCACCCTCCATCCCCTCTGCAGCAAACAAATAGAGTGTGTTCGCCATGAGAACGTGTCTGCAGAAAATTTAAACGCCCGTGAGAGCCACGGAGGCACGCACGAGATGCGTGACTCTGGTGTCGCCAGGGCAGAAAACTTGGCACTATATGTACGCCTCCAGGGAACAGAAGCAGATGCTTGAACAATAAGTGCAAAACTTGCCCTGTGCTTGATCCAGAAGCTCCTCATAGTGCATGAGACACTGGTAGGCTGTGCGTCCAACAATAGGTGCAATGGTGCGCCACTGAGAAGGCATGATTTTGGCCAAGTGGAGGAGTTTCTCCTCCTCCTCGAGAGTCCATTCTGTCTTCTTAACACTGGGATCCAGCCACTCGTACCTACGAGTACACTACACAGCCCACAATGCGTCTTACGCTAACAACACAGCCCACCCAGGGTGCTCTATTCGTCTTTATATCACGCAAGCAGTAGTTCCGAGGCTATGTGAAACTTTTATCTCTGCTAAAAGGAGAGTCTTACCATCTGGCTTTGCACTGCTTGGCAGATTTCTTTACCAGGAGGGAGGCAACACGGCTCCAGTTGTTGAGGCCATATTTCATGACCGCCGCCTTGAGTATTTCATCTTCGCTATTCCTCCACACTCCACCCTTGATGAAAATCCGCACCATCTTTTCCTTTAATCCCCAAAACCAGTGCGTTAGGATACCTGTTTTTCCTGGCTGCTCCCCCCGGACAACAGGCAAACGGAGTAAGGGCGACTACGGGCGAGAAGCCGCTGTTGCCAGGTTGATATCGCTGATGATGTGAAGCTCATGCAGGCCGCCAGCAATCCCTTTTCACCAATCTCAGCAGAGCATTCCGTGAGTGCATGCAAACTTTCGGGCATCAACTGTAGTGCACAGGCACTACAATGGTTTACTTTGTGGGACCTGTAGCGGTCTATTCCGCGAAAGGAAATGACATAACATCATATTAGTACTAATTGAGAGCATTTATGCGTGAAACACGGAAAACGGGCTACGAGCTTTAGCAGCGCATTAGGGCCTTGGGGCTGGCTTGGACGCTGAGGCACTGACCCACTTTGACGGGTCTGGACGAGACATCCGTTTTGGGTCGCCTTTTGCAAATACATGCTGATTCGAGTTTGTATTGGTTTATAGACTCAATTACGGTTATTTTAGCTGTTAGGATCTGTTTTTCTTCACTAACTATTTACGTGCATCATATAATTTGGTGTGGGGACCTACGTACTCGCAGCCGAGTGCGTGCAGTGCAATTTAACTTACGGTATTGTTTTTACCAGTGTGACTGCTTATATTTCCAGTGCTATTATTGTTAGTTTTGCTAATAGCAGCTTTAATTTTAGCTTTAGTGTTATGTATGACTATTATCCTGACCGTTTACGTATGAGTGTAGTTTTCGTGATTAGTGTAGCCATCTATCCGACTACTATGATTACTTCTAGCAACGCTGCCGCCGTTGTTACTACTCTTGTAGTATTTGTTGTAGTTATCGATATGGCATTTTCTTGTATGTCACAATTTTCTATATACATATGCATATAATTGCCTATTTTATTATTTTTCTTCTATGCGCACCCCAGGGGAAGGACTAGCGCCGTTGCTGTGTTAGCTGTTGGGTCCCTTTTACATACAACTGACTTAGTGTGCATACTTGTTGTGCTGAGTGGCTACGCCGCTGTTGTGTGTGTGTGTGCCTGTCCGTGCGTTACTGGAATGCTTTCACCTGCACTACGTAGAACACGTGCAACGGACATGCAGACGCTTGAGAACTCCCGCCCCCCGCTGTAACAAACAAGGACTACCGGCACGCAGGGCAACGCTCACCAGGATCACACACACTATCCATATGGCTGGGTTACAAAGAAGAAGGAGGACGTCGAAAGTGGAGGGGAAAAGCATTCAGGGAGTGTAGGGAAATAAGATGAACGCTGTGAATACCAGGGTGCGGGAGGCGTTAAGAGGAAATAGGGGGCGGAAAAGTGGAAGGAAGTGGCACAGCCCGTTGGCTTCAAAGCAGGCGGCGACTCCAGCCGAGCACCAGGTCGGGTCAAACAACAAGCTGGTGGCCGGGCTCCCATGTGGACCTACCTCTGGCGTTCCCCGCCGCTTGACAGGTACTGCACCTCGTCGCCGGAGTGTCGCCAGTCAAAAATGCAATCTACTGCGTGTTGGTCTCTCGGCTGTCCTGCTGCACCGCAAGCTGGGCCCTATCCCACTGCGGCTTCCTGAGGCACTATGTCGGGGGCACGAGCACCGTAGGAAACTAATTGAGGCGCATGGAAAACATGACAGGAGTACGTGGGGGGCAAAGCGAGACAGCAATCCATAGCGCCAGGGAGAGGCCAGGGAGAAAAGCTCCTCGGAGACGGGATTCTGGGGTGGATGAGTTTGCACAGAGGTTGACCTCCTCAGGACCGCCTGCAAACGGGTAGGACAACACACATGTTGCCCCTAGTGTGTTCTGAGCGATTATCAGCCCCTGTTGCAGCCCGTTCGGAGATGCGCGTGTCGGCGAGCAGCTCCTCAAATCACGCATTCAGAACAACAATGGACAGATTCGTGCTTATACGCGCTACAATAAGCATGGTTCAGCTGACAGCTGGCTAGAGAGAGTTGACAGTATGTTTGGCTGGGGAATTATATTTCTTAATATCCCGTGTACCTACAACCGCCTGCAAATCATGGCAGGAAACTCCCCAATTAGGCACAAATTGACGGGGAAGATACTACAAAACTAACCAGGAGAAGTATCATGATGATCTCTGCTATAGGTCAACCGAGAGGAGAGAGCCCTAGACGTACATCTAAAGGAGAGTTGCAAGTTCTGAGATCCGCATTTGCTTTGGTTTCTGTCAAAGGTAGGCACACTGGTGTAGCTCGTTCCCCCTTGAATTTCAGCCTTTGCCCACTCCTTACAATTCCAAACGCGTCACCCCAATATATATGCTACTCGCGAGGAGAATCTAGGGTGCTGCTACTTGTGCTGAGCTCCTCCGGGGTGGTACTGATGAGGGAGCGCTCGCCAGAACGTAGTTTGGCGTTTATTAGGCAATTGTGAGTCAAGCATACAGAGTCCCCAATGCAGAAGCTGTAGAACAAACAAAAGAAATAGCAGGGACTGCTGCTTTTGGCTGACGCTGCTGTTGTTAGTTGCTACTGCTGCTGGTTTGTAACGGAAGTTGCTGTGCTCAGCATCGTGCCTGATTAACAATGCGAGACACTCGGCCGGTCAATTCCTTCTAATCATTTACTGCTACAACATTACATTCCAGTGTACACCGGGTTGGTGTCGCTACAACTAGAACAAGTCAACGGGAAACGTTTGGGTGTATGTATCAAATTGTGCACATTGAGCGCAAGCGTTTGAGCCGATTGCTAACTGGTACACACTGTAACCCGTTAAGGTGATTCTTAGTGTACTTGTTTTTAGACAGCCAAAGTAAAGAGATGGAAGCAAACGTCAGAACATCAAAAACAAAGGCAACAGCCGACACCTTGCATTCTCAACCGGGATGCTCTGCTGCTGCACTCGTGAGCGGCTCGGTGGACCGCACCCTGACTGTGTAAATCTCTAGATCTTCGGCAATGAATATTAATCCCAATAAGGAAATCCAACTAATTCCAAAGAAATGAGTCGAGTCTCATGACCGAACGGATTGGGTTCAGCGGGGGCCCCCGAGGCTGCCTGCGCTCAGAGCACCGGGCCAGGCAGAGCTCCTCAATGGCTCACGTTTAAAGGGTGCTTTTTCACGGCCTTCTAAATTCCTTCTGCCTTTGTTTTTAGAGTTTTGAGGCGTATGCATTCTTTATCGCTTCTTCAGTAGCACAAGAACTTGCGAAAGGACTTCATCTAGGGGGCCGGCCTTCCGCGCCGACGAGCACGACTCGCTGGCTCTGTCTCCACGTGCCCGAAGCAACCACAGGGAATGACCGTTCTTTCCTTCACCCCTCTCTTCTCTTTAGCGCTCACCCAACTCGCTGGTGCCCCTGAGACGCCCTTGCTGGGGATGCACATGCAGCCCGGGGCCTCCTAGCTCCACCACCCGCCACGAAGCGACAAGTAAGCAGGAGGCGGCTTCAGAAACCAAAGCAAGAGGGCAGATACAACGCAAGGGGCCTCTTCAGTAACGTCTGACTCTACACAGCTGCTGCGCTTGAGGTCGTTGCCTTCTAGGTGGGGCGCAGCTAAAAATATCCTCCTACGGATTACAGAAGACGTTCAGTGCAGCGTCGAATGGACACCCAGCAAGGCATAGCGGCGCCCTCTGGTGCTGCCTCATATTTTGGAACAGCCAGGGGTGCTTGAAGGAGCTGATCCCGCTACGAGGCTCCCAGCAGCAAGACAGCGAGAAGTAGCGGCGGCAGCAGGAGCAACAGGAGCTTTCAGAAGCGGCAGCCCCCATCCGGACAGTCAGCAAGAGAAGCACCAGCCGAGAGCACTCGAGCCTTCTTGGCTTGATCTTTAAGCAGCAGCGGCAGGTTTGGGCAGCTGCAGCAGCGGCCCTCTTAGTCGGCTCCTTGGTTGCCCGGCTTCCGGCGGAGATCTGTGTGAGCATGGGACTTACTGTTTTTACAGACAATGCTGGCAAACATCCTTGACCAGGTCATTAAGACCTACGGCAAGGAATTTCTGGGAGACTGGGACCCTATCAACAACTTCAGGTTCGACACCAGTACCTTAAGAACTCAACACCCGTGCAGGAAACGCCCCTGAGGACAATTTCCAGGGATTTGTAGAATGCAGAGAAGCTTTCCGACGCCACGTATGGGAGCTTCTGTGGCAGTTGGAAGGTCCTTAGGGGCCTAGTGGTCCTCGTGCAAAATTGCACGCTATCCATGAGCACGCGAGCAAATAAACACCACATACACACTTGCGCTATGCCACCACTTGGACCCACCCGGCACGGAAACGTTTCTGTTTGATGGGATGGCCCTGCCCCGGCGAGACGGAGTGGCGGGAAACGCTTGTGCTGGTTGGCTTTCGTAGTGTTCATACGAGTGTATGGCACTGTGAAAGTGCTTGGCTGCTCAGCGTCCTACACGTGTAATTGCATGGCATGTTTGCATCCGTATTTTCTTGATGTGGTGCAGGATTGACTCGCTGACGGATCCTGAAATTCATCTAACCAACATTCCCTTCCCACAGCAGTTGTTTGAACTCGCCGAAATACCCTTTGCTGTGGATTATTCCAACATAGCCAAGGTGGGCAACCTACATTCTGCAAATAGACACATTTTGTGCATGGTCACTCATCCCGTGGCCAATCTGAAGAGCTATTTTGTCTGGAGCACAGAATATCGCGATGTGGTCCGCTTCCCTGAAGAATGCCGCTGAGCTTCTACCGCTTGTCTCAGGTCCGGGCAAAGTTTTCTTGGCAGACATTCTTTGGAACGCCAGGAACATATCCCTTTGCCATTGAAGCAGAAGATCTTGAAATTCGGTGCGCTTAACTCCTGGGGAGTTCCGAAAGCCTCTTTTGTGTTGCTGCTGCTCCTTCTACCACTTCTGCCTCTGTCCTCCTGCTGCTGCTGCTACTCCTGTGCGCTGCCCGTCTACTGGAGCAAGTAATTTCTGCTTACGCAGGCTAGTTGTTTCGAATCGCCGACTCCCGAAAACATCGGGGGTTAAGTAAAGTGGGGCGTCCGTTCTTTGTGTTCGACGGCGGGGCTCGTCCTTTCTGTACGCCAAATGCACTGCACAGGATCCGCCTGCTGTACCCGAGCGAATGGAGCAGCGAATTTTGGCGCGACAAGATCTTGAAGTCGAAGCTGAAGCGGACTGTTTTGTGGGAGCGGTTTGCCTCTTTACTGGGATCGGCCCAAGGAGACAGATCGTCAGTTGCGCAGACCCTAGAGCCAAGAATTGTTAACTCCTTGTCCATTCGAGTCCGCAACATTCATCTGCATATTGTTGATGACAACTTGGGAGCCACTCCGTGGGCGTTCGAGGTATGACAATGCCACAACTATAACGTGTGCTTGGCTGCCTCGCGAGCACAGTAGATGCATTCCTTGGCTTGGCTGCCACGTCCTCAGTAGGCACGTCGATTGCACCCTGTCTACTTTGCACCTTTCCACCGAAGGCGTTCGCAGTTACGTCGCTCCACACTTACCACCGCAACTACTCGTGTAGTCTGCTATACTCGTGCGGGTGCACGGAGGCTGTAGGCTTCTGGCTTTAGGCATGGGATGACGTCAACGGCTATTTACGCAATGCCATTATGCACGTAGACGAAAGTGCGTGTTTTGCTAAAAGTATTGCACACTTGGCCGGACGTGTGTCGCGTATTCCTCCGTGCTTTAATGCAGTGCCATGTTGATGAGTTCTGCATCGACTCCCCCAAACGGGGAGATCCCCGTATATCTGAAATGGAAGCCACAGGTGACTTGAAATTGCCACAATGAATTCCCAACACCAATTCAGAAGGATGCAAACTTTGTTGCCGCAATCAATGACTTTCGGTTACACCATGCGCTACATACATGCAGAGGTGTCTGACTGGTGCTGCCTATGCACGATACTCTACTGCCTCATACTTTGGGTGTATTTGCAGGGCTGGAGCAGTGCCTTTTGATGGGCCTGTGGATGCGGTTCTTGGGACTGCACATTTGGTACAGGGAATTTCCAAAGCCCCAACTCAAGGGCAAAGCAGGGGTTTCTGTCAATATTGACAGAGTGCGTACCATCCCTCAACACTAAACCCTGCAGCATCTTTAACTAGTCCATATAAAAATCCACTGGAATTACATTATAGCCGAAGGACTTCTCTTTGCTTAGTGCCAGCGGCAGACGGGAGCATATTTCGAGCCTGCGCTCGAAATATATATATATATATATATATATATATATA